GGGTCAAAAGTGAGATTCAGACGTTGTTTTAATATTGAGAAAGTAATTTATTCATCAAGCTGCGTTCATGTCGACATTCTGCCTTTTTTATGTCATAAAACCTTTCCTTTTTTTTATCCTGGTGATTATTAGGCACCAAAGTAACGACAAGGCACTCATTGTTTTTATAAAGGGCGGATTTCAGCGTTAACTGGGAGATTAACAAGGTGTTGACTGAGGCGAAAAGAACTATGCATCGCCTCTGGTGGAGGTGGAGCTGCGCACAGAGGAACTTTACGCTGTTAGAAGCTTTAGAATAAGAGCAGCTGAGCAGCAGAGCTCGTCAGGAGTGTCCACAGAGCTGAGCTGCTCTGTTCTTTTATCAACACTTCTCTTATCTGAGCAGCTGGGTGGAGTAAAAAGTGGGGTCAGCCCTGACTCTGTGGACTAAAAGAAAGGAGAGAGTCTCAGAAGCTGGAGTATTGATCGGACCCCTGAGGAGCCGGTCAGTCCTCTGAGCAGACTCCAGCTTTTGATCAGTTCTGTTTCGAGGAGAGAAGTCTTCCTTTCAATCGATGCCTACTTATTTCTTGCAACATCACATGTGACGAAAGTTGCACTGTCTCCATTTATCCGTAGCTATAGTTTCACTTTTAATTGGAGGACATAGCCTGGGTCCCCTTCTCTTGAACAGAAGCAGAAAATGGGGGAGAAGAACCCTCAGGAGGCGGCAGACAATAGTCCGGATCTGGGAGTCAGGGCTCCAGATGAAAGCATCCCAAATGGCTCGACGGTCACCCATCGTCTGTACAAAAGGCGCTGGATCATCGTGTTCCTGTTCAGCGCCTACTCTCTGAGCAACGCGTACCAGTGGATCCAATACGGGATCATCAGCAACATCGTGTTGAAGTTCTACCGCGTGGACGGTTTCGCCGTGGACTGGCTGTCCATGATCTACATGCTGACCTACATCCCCTTCATTTTCCCGGCCACCTGGCTCCTGGACAGGAAGGGTCTGCGCTTAACGGCTCTGGCCGCCAACGCGCTCAACTGCGCCGGGACTTGGATCAAGGTGGCCAGTGCCGGACCCAACCTCTTCTGGGTGACCATGCTCGGACAGTTCATGAGCTCCCTGGCCCAGGTCTTCATCCTGGGGATGCCCTCCAGCCTCGCGTCAACCTGGTTCGGGGCGGATGAGGTTTCCACCGCCTGCTCCATTGGGGTCTTTGGCAATCAGGTGAGCTGATGAAACAGAGACAGAGTCTTATATCGACTGCTTTTATCCGTTTTATCTGATGTTGACACCTGGTAAATATTCAGTTCACGTGTTAAAGTTTCCAGGCTGGAAAACTTCTGAGGGGCTAAAGGAAAAATTTGCTCATTGGCTCCTGGACCCTGTTAAACCTATGGAGATATCACCCTAAAACATAAAAATAAGAATCAAGTAAATGTTTCTTTCTTAAAATGTTGGCATTTGTAAAATGGAAAGCAGTGTATATAGTTTATATTATAGTCTAGTTGTTTTTTCTTCGAGAGCCCAGTATTGCATTGACTCTTGGACCCAACTTTTGTGTGGCTGATTGCCCAACTAACTAGTTCAACCTTTTTAAAAGAAAATTCTGATCTGCTACTTGTGTTTCTCACATGAAAGAATGTGCTAACCAGCTAAATTTGCAGTTGGAGCATACATTTTCATTCAGTTTGGTTGTTGGCCTTTGTGTACCTCTGATGTGGAACTCTTAAGGCACACGCATAACATTCGTTAGGCTCTTTCTTACTAATCTTAGCTGGTCTCTTTGGTTGTATCAGCCCTCACATGTCTGCTGAAAATGTTTGATTACATAAGAAGCCGTACTAACCAAACATCCTAGTTGATGTTCCCTGGAATTTGTTTGGACTGAACAAAACCAATTGTAACTTTATACTCAGAATCTGTAATCTGAAGCACAAAGGAGACACATGCTTGCAAATCTATTGTATGTGTGTGTGTGATGTATGTGTGAGCATGTCTTAAGGCTTATCTGCATAATTCACAGAGCCTGCTTACCTTGAAAAAGCTTATCAGTGTTCATGGATTTTTCTTATTTGTGGGTACATTTAAAATGGATATATCTACAAATTTCCCATATTTGCCATTAGGTTGGGAGGTAAGTGCTTATATCACAAAAACTAAGCAATTCCACCACTCAAGTATTTTCATTTGTCCTTATTGACTGTTTATATTGATGTGTGGGTGGAGTTTGTTATAATACATTTATGTAAACTTGAAGCTAAAAGTAAGGCCCTTGAGCTTAACATTTCTGTTAACTCATTTAATAATTATAATAATTTGGCTGAAAAATACATTCTGAAGAGTACACAAATCCAACTGTAAAACTTAATCAAATGCAGTAAAGCTGACATGGACAGAAAAATACACTGCAAAAGCAAGCCATCACTTGTCCGAAGTAAAGAGGTGCAATATTCTACAGTGATGGAATCACTGCTGGGCGTTAGTGGTGTTCTCCAAAGCAAGCTCTCTCTGAGTCATGTGATTTCAACCAGATTTAATAGTCAATTTAACTGCTAGGCAGAAAAGAGTACCAGAAAGACAGAAAATGATTGACTGATGACAGCTACCAAAAAAAGAGGAATGCAACGCAGGGAAGCCTTACGGTAGATTACATTTTTTTCTAGGCCTTACAGTAGTGACATTTGTAGGTGTCATGGTCAGCATTTTTTCATCATTCTAATTGTTTGAATGTTTGAACCTCCCACGGAGATAGCTCTATTCTTTAAAGAAAAGTAGCTCTTCCATTTTTGCAAAATGTGACTTAGGGTCTGACTTTCTTCATCATATCACCAGCCTATGCAGTTTGAATATATTTTATTAGCCTGCTGAAATTACAAAAATGGTCATTTTGATGGTACCAGCCATGCTTTTGCTTTGCACATCACAGAAGTTCACATGAGGCGCCATACAGCTGGAAACTTTCCTTCCAAATTGTTTATTTTTCATAGAAAACAAACGTAAACTCAAAGGGGAAAGATAAGGTACCACGAGGTGACGTCACAACATGGCAGCCGTATCACATGATCAACGGCTGCTGACGATCTCCCCAAGCCGTTGACGTTAGCAAGAACATTTAGCCTCAATGGTAAGCTAAAAGACACTAAAAACAATCCCAAACCAATCCCCATCATGTTATTCCAACATAATTAATCATGAAAATAGTTATGTATTGAAATTAAGACAAAGAGAAAATAATGCTGTTTTTATTAAGGTAAAATGAAAAATAAGCGTTCACATTCCTTTTTTACCCATTGCTAAAAACCATAAGATTTATTTCGTTATTCTAAAAAAGTATTTACATAATGTCAAAATACACTGTTCTTTTACAAAAGTCAACGATAGGAAATGCGTATGACGTTATCTTTCTGTCGTTATTAGCTGTTAGATAGGTACACTTGAACTGCTGAGTCTTTAAAAATTTGGCATTGGGAATGTGAAGTTCTGTTCTTATTTTTTCAGTATTTTCTGTATTCCTAGTCTATATATTTCGGGGTTACTGTTTGATTTGGCTGGGTGAGAGTTGAAACATTGGGGTATTTCCAGTCAATTGCTCCTAGTTCCCAATCGACCAACACACATCCTGAATAAATGAAAAATATTAATTGAAAGTCAAATTGACTGAATGAGTAAAATTACAGTATTGTACGTCCTACGCACATTACCTGGATGACGTTTATGAAGGCGTCCATCCACGTCAACACGACGTGACATTATACAAGCTAAAAGGAAGGGTTTTATCATTCATTTTTAGAGAAAGTCTCCTGGACCTTGGCCTTACTTTTAGGGGGCTGCTCAATGGGAAATGACGTGTTCACTGTCGCCATCTTCTGCTACTACTCTGCATTGACTCACTGTACTTCTGCTCCGTGTCCGTGTCGGCTGATACTAGGTATAGTTTTCTGACTTTTCTTTGGCACATTTGTATTTCTCATGACTTAAAACCTTCATAGAAACAATCAAATATATACATTTGTCTATCCATAACTGTTACTTCTTTGATACTACGTGCCTGTGTGTTATGATCGTAACGGGCTAAATGCGAAAAAATGAAGTAGATGCGGAACTGTTTATGACAGTTATGTCCAGATAGTTGTATGAATGTGCTGTCAGTTGGGTTTAAAGGACGTATTGGGTTATTTTTAAGGAAATAACTCGACTAGGCTTCCAACAAAGCAACCTCGGTTGAGGCAACAGGCGTTGTTTTGACGTACTGTCAGTCAGTCCTGACTCGACTTTACATTAGTTCAACAGGAACACAACCTGTAAGGTCCCAGATATTGTGAACATCTGTTGCTTTTTAGTTTGAAGTTTAGATATTACTTGACGGTATTCTGGTTTAGCTCGTCGCTGGGGGACTAAAGTAGCAGCTGAACTGTGAATGAAGGCTCCATAGTACTACAGACATTGGAAATTTCCACTGTGGGTATCTTTCTAAAGACAGCACCACCACAACAATGCATATCCAGAGGTTGAAGTTACTTATCAATCTGCCTAATCTTCACCAAGATGATTAGATCTTTAATGCCTTCTTATAAAAGCATCAACTGCAAATACAAAACTATTAGAGCTGTACCATTTTGTGATTGATGACAGAATAGCTCTCAATCAGGAGATCCTGTTGTCCTTTTCAATACTCCTGCTTTGAGTAATTCGGCTGCCATTGATTAATTGATCAAACCCTCCATTGAATACCATGTGATGAACCATGGAATTTTTTACATTTTTTACTGAACATTCTTGATTTCTGTTTATAGATCGATCGATAGAGATAGACAAGAGTAAGGATAAAATAAGTTTATTAAAGTGAAAATAAAACAAAACAGAAAACATCTCAGGAGGTCCAGTTACATAAGTATCCTCTTACTGGAGTATTCAGTGTCCTTCTTGTCCTCTGTGAACTTACTGACCTTGCTGACCCCATCATACTGTGGCATGTAAAATTCTGCATGTCATAAAATGTTTGCTACCACTAAAAGCTTAATAATTGCAAACAAAAGTTTGGGCCCAATGCCTGGCCATTAATTAATAAGATCCTTTTAAGCCATTTATCCAGTTTATTTAAACAACAGTTTAATTCTGCACTAATTATGAGGATTTCTTCCGCTTTTAGAACATGACATTATGAAGTTGTTTTCTTGAAGATTTTTCATACATCCTTAAGATTATTGTCCTACTGTGGAAGCCATGCTCAAATATTTACAGTTCCAGTCGCTGCTAGTAGCATATTTGAACGCCCTTCACCACAACCCCCAGCGACAGACAGGTGTGCGTTTCATGAAGTTTTTCACATGGACACATTTTCAAGCCATAGGTATATTAATTTCTTTCACAAGTTCTATTTAAGCTTCACAACAACATACTGATATTTTTTAAATGCATCTATCTTGTGAAAGTGGATTAAAGATTGAGGAGTTTTGTTTTGTGGGCAGGTCTGACCACTGCACACTAGAGCATTGCTGAACCACTCAGGAACCAGTTTCCTGAAAGTTGTTTGTTGTCAAACATATTTTAGTTTGTCTTTCGATTTTATTGTCCCTCTTCGTTTTGTACTTGGTTTTGTTTCTTTATTGACTTTGGAAATGACAAGCTTTTTTCTTGCTTGTTGAAATCTAATGCTGTTATGTTTCATAGTGCTTAGCAGCCATTTAACAGGCCCAGGAGACAACTTTTAGATTGCCAGTTTAGAAAACCATCAACATTTACATGAATCTCAACTTGTGTTTCCTAAAGTAGATTGTGAAGCATCCATAACTCCTATAAGATAACATGTGTCATGTGCCTAAATCTAGCTATGGTGACAAGTCCCTCCTGTAGTCGGTGTGGTGCTCAGCACTTCCTTTTATGTTGTGCTGCGCTTTGACCTGAACTCGAAGGAAGAATTTGAACAAAACAAATTTGTCACATGACTGTAGAGGTGTAGAACAGCAGAGCTGACAGATTCAAAAAGCAGGTATGCAGCTGATGGCTGAGATCAGTATCCGGTGAACACTGCTCATTATGTCGAGACTTTCTAAATCAGTAGAAGTAATTAGTGGTAATCTCCTCTTTGGGCTCAGCAGGTGAGCTTGTTTATAATGAGCAGGCAGGAAATGCCTGCTGGGTGGGAGGGGTTAGTCAGGTAAAGTGTGATGGTGCATACGGAGCGCACATACAAGAAGAACTTTTTCCTCTCCCCTCCAGTTTAGAAATGCTTCAGAAGTCCGAGTGGAAACAGAGGAGCCTCGGTGGTACTGGCATGAACTCTCAGGGTCATTTCCGTCAAGTGTGGATGGACAACAACGACAACACCATGGACCACAGCTCCCTTTCAACGAGGACAGAGAGAACTTGCTTTGGAGAGTTCAGAACCCCGCACAGGTTGGGGGACGGCAGCGACGCCCTGGAGCACTCGACGGTGAACACGGCTCACTTCTTCCCGCTGATGGAGACCAAGCTGTACAAGCGACGATGGGCCATGCTGCTCCTCTTCTGCATCTACTCCATGAGCAACGCGTTCATGTGGCTGCAGTACGGCATCATCAGCAACATCTTCATGGGCTTCTACAAAATTGACCCCATGGCCATCGACTGGCTGTCTATGATCTATTTCCTCACCTACATCCCTCTCATCCTGCCCGTCATGTGGACCCTGGACAAACGGGGCATCAGAGATGTGGTGGTGGTGGGGTCTGCCTTTAACTGCATCGGGGCCTGGATCAAGACGAGCACGGCCAGCCCTGACATGTTCGCCATGACCTTCTTCGGGCAGTTTGTGTGTTCAGTGGCCACAGTTTACATCCTGAGCATCCCCTCCAGACTTGCATCCCTGTGGTTTGGGCAGCAGGAAGTGTCCACCGCCTGCTCAATTGGCGTTCTAGGAAACCAGGTGTGTCTCTGATCATGTGGCTGGCTAACAAAGATCACATGGCATTGTGTGTGTGTGTGTGAGTGGGACAGATACAGTTTACATGCATGCTTGTTGGTGTGAGTGGGACAAATCCTCATTAACTTGAACCATCTTTGCAGTATAACTAAATCACTAAGTGACATTAATCATATCATCGCCTGCTAGTTTGACATGTGACTAATGGGACTGAGCTTCTCAGCTCCTGTGTTCCCAATCTTCTTGAGTCAGCAGGTTAAAAAAGTTAGCCACCTCTTCTCCTTTCTAAAGAAACATACAGCTGGCATCCACCTGTGGCTTTCAATAGCAGAACCAAAGGATTTGCTTGCAGAGTTAGTTCCACTTCTCTTAAATTACCTCAGGATTTCTCAGATGCCAGTTGGTGTAAATGTGAAGTTGGAAAATCATTTTTTTTTACTTTCAATTTATCTGTCTTTGTAAGTATTAGGTAATAGCTATGCTCAGCTTTTTCCGAAAGCTCAATTAGTTTTTTTTTTTAATGTTAACATTTTCAAAATAAACCATTTTTGTGAGTTGTAAATGAAGGACATTGATATTTTGATTTTTCATCTTAGCAGTCTCAAAATATATATATATTAGAGAAGTAATTCATAAGTATTAGGACAATCTGACTTTCCTCTCTGCACAGTTTATATAAACCATATGTGTGATAAAGCCTTCCAAACTGAGGGGACCTGGAAGGCACAGAAGCTGATAGGATGGTGTAAAGTTCAGATTTCACCAAATCACAGGGCGATACCAGTATTGTAGAAATGTTCAAAGTTATTTCCTTTATGTCTGTATGTGTGTGTGGTTTGTTCTCTCTGGCCAGGGAAATTGCTGGGGATGGTGGGTGACTTCCACCGCTTGAACCGACTTCCCCTCAACAAGTCCCCATGGCTTGGGTAATTTAAACGTACAGTGAGATCCAGAATCAGACATCCAGAATCCCGAACAGTGCCCACGTCACGATAGATACACAAACTGGGGCTGGAGTGCGACATCCTTTTGCTTTGGTCCATCTCAGAAAAATAAAAACTTGATCACTGTGTTTTCTTTAATAAAAAGACACATGATGTAAATGTAGTGTAATGTAAGGGAACTTTTGGTAGCATTTAACCCGCATTTAAAAAAACTTTAATGCTGCTTTATTAACTTTCAATGGTTGAGGAGTCTACTTTCGTGATACGGTTTAGCTCAAATGATTCATTACTAGCAGTTCAGAAAAGTTTACAGATGATTTATGTCATATCGATGCTTTGTGGTCCAACCTAGCTTTGATAGTGTGCAGTCTTTGATAATGTCTAAAGAGATTTTCAAAAGGCATCTGAGCCTTCTAACAGCCTTTAACTTCTGAGGCTCAAGTGTTTTTACTTTTTTGAAGCATGTCCCTTCTCTCGGATGTTACACAGAGAGTGGCACACCGGTTATTGTCAAGCTTGATTTTGTTTTGTGTCTTAGTCAAGCTCCTAACAAAATGAAGATGAAAGGTCACATTGTCGTGGATGTTTACTTGCTCACCATGACTTAATTGCTTTGGCTCCAGACCCGAAACTGAGTTTTCAGGTTGAAGCAGGTCACACCGCCCCATGGACCGTAAAATAAAGATACGATCTTCCCGAAGACCTGTGATACTCAGGATCAAAACTCTTTACTCTAACTCATTTTGCATGCTTTTTGAAAAGTAATCTTGATCTTATGCAAAAATGCAAAAGGATAAAAATTGAATATATATTCTGCTTGAAGGCCGAACAGTAATTGCGTAAAGAAGACTACGGTGAATCTCATAGGCTCTTGTGAATATTGCATAGCTCTTCATCTTAAGGTTTGACAGCCAGGTAAGTGAATGCTGCAAATGTTACTTAACACCAGCATGGTAAACTTTTAAGGCATGTTTGCTGTGGATTGTGGCAGGAGCAAATGTTTTAATCCGAGTGGATGTGAGTTTGTTGGGATGCCTGAGGGGGGGGTCTGAGATGTTTCTGTTTCTAGTCATTAAGACACTTCACAGCTTTGTTCCTTCTGAAGGAACATGTCTCTTCTCTCACCTTTCCCCCTAGAGTGGAGGGACCTCGGCCGGTGTCCCCTCCAGAATGTTCTTGAGGCTGTAGGAAGCTGAAGAAGTGGGCACTTCTCCTGTGGTATTCAGATTTGGAAACTTTAGTTACCCCGTCCTATTCGTACAAGACCTATAGGAACTGACACAGATCCTTAAAATTGGGGGTTATGTTTGATGTTACTGGGGAAATTTGAATGAATTGATATTGATGGCTGTCTGATGTGTCTACAGATGACTGCATTTGTTCCCTTTAAATCCTAAAGCAGAATTTCTGTTCTAATTAATAAATTCCCTTTGGCAGATGCCATTTTTTTTAGCACCACATCAGATCGTTAGTACAGCACCCCCTCTTTGCCATGCATCCAGTCACAATCCTATCATTTGGCCATTTAGCATGCATTTGAGGTGAAGTGAAAAACAGTGTGCCATCAGTCCCACGGATACTCAACGTTTGCTGCATCTTTATTTATTTATTTCTTTGCAGGGCAACATCTTTTTTCCACAAAGCTTCTTTTTTCTTTTCTGTGCCTGAAGCTCTTTGACTTTGACCTGACCTGTTTTTGGCCTTTGTGTGTAGCTGTCAGTCAAAACCAAAGTCTGTTTTTTTTCTAATTTTGGGCTGTTCATCTGCAGATGGGTATTGCCATCGGGTTTCTGGTCCCGCCGATCCTTGTGCCTAATTTGGATGACATGGACGAGCTGGCGTATCACATCAGAATCATGTTTTACATCAGCGCAGGTGTCGCCACCTTTATCTTCGTCCTTGTGGTCATCGGTGAGTGTTTACAGACGGGGTGGGACGTCTTAGCTCGTGTTGGCCCTCTACAAATCCCCACAGCTGGTGAGCTCTATTGTTATGAACTGAGACAGAGCTGTTGGGCACCTCCAAAGAGTCACACGCTCTCGTGGTGCTGCGCCGGGTGACAGCCGATTATCTGAAATGATACTCGCTAAACGAGAAAGAAGCTCTTGACGCACAATTGGCTCTTTTTATGGTAGAGCCTTTCATCCTGTGTTAAGGCTCCAGAGCCATCACTCAGGGGCAGCCGAGTGTCCCTGAGATGCACGTCTTACTGAAAACTCAGCAGCACGGGTTGTCTAGGAGATGAGCAGCAGCAGTAATTGCTGTAATTGTCTGCTTTCTGATAAGATTTAATTTGACACGTTACGAAATGCAAGCAGGAAGTCAGAGAGGCCCTCCACAGTGTCTGTGTTAAATTCTCCGTTTACCTCCACCGACAACTGAAAAATAGTGACAGTTGGAGACCAAGGTCTCCTTTATTTCTCGGCTTCCAGTTGCTCAAATGTTAGTGCTGAAAAGAGGAAGACAGGTGATTAAAAGTGGAGCACAATCCAACAAATACAAAGTTTACAGCAGTCTCTTCATTATAATCTTGAAAAAAGTGTCCTGTCTTGTTTGACATTATTGCTTTTGTATAAGTAACCTTGGTCTTGTTTTGCTCTATAGTTAGCTAGTTCTCACCTTTTGTTTTTGCAGCTCAGCAGATTCCATTATTCTCCTAAACAGTGTCACATTTGAACTATGAGGATATGACTGTGTGTTTCTTCTGTAGTGTTTCAGGAGAGACCAGAGATCCCACCCACCCAATCCCAGGCTCAAGCCAGGAGCATCCAGCCCGATGAGTACTCCTATATGGCTTCAATCATGAGGCTGTTGCGGAATAAACCCTTCATGCTCCTTGTGATCAGCTATGGTTGGTTGTGTCTCTGTATACTTCCCTACTCAGACTGACACGACACCTGGATCTTTTTATGTGATAACACTGTTTTTGTAGGATTTATTGTTAATCCATAAAATCAACAGAGCACGTTGAAATAGATTGCTCTGCAAAAATAACAGCGCAGAAGGAGTATGTGTGTTTTACTCCTTAATTAGTACTCCTATCTCTTCGTGGTGTATTCATTATGTCACTATGAAATGCTGGCTGTCCCTCCCAGTAACATTGTACTTTAATTGCGAAGTCCGGATGGGAGGTTGTTTTAATGTGAAAGGTCAAAATAGATTTCTGTGTTACTGCCTCCGTCATATTTTTGGAATTTCTCAGTATTAAGGTCCAGATACCACTTCTCAGCTGTTTATGATAAACCTGATTATGACTTTGTTTTGCATTTTTTAAGTCTTAATTTCTAAGATATTTTTTCCCACTATGAGCACCAAATGGGGGACACTCCTCTTATTATCAATGACTTAACTCGTTATGACTCCAACTGAAGTCAGACAGTACAAATTGATATATTTTACAAGTAATTCTATTAAAATGAGTTCAGTTTCAGACCTGTTAAGAGTTAAAGAGGGGGATTTTTCCATAGGCCTGCCCTCAGTGGGAGGCAGACACAGAGTTTGTGTCCAATCTGTTGTCTCCTGGAGGTCCGTGTTTCAGCGTCATGGCTGTCGCACAGATAGAAAGATCCTTTATTATGTGAGGATTTAGCTCAAAGTCACTTTGTAATGTGACCGAGGTAATGATTGATAGACAAATACTTAACTTAATATCCTGTGAACACAAAAAAAAAAAAAAAAGAGCTGTTTTGTGTCCAGTTTTACACAGAATGGTGATTTATACATGTTAAATGTCTGCAGTTGGCACAATTGTCAGAAAATAGAGCTTGTTTTCTCTTTGCTGTGTGCAGGGCTGAATGTGGGCTGCTTCTATGCCATTTCCACACTGTTGAACCGGATGATAATCGAACACTATCCTGTAAGTCCTCCTGAATCTGCGACATGCTGTTACCGTTCTCGTGCCAACTCTTTGGTCTTTGTTTTGTGAACTTCTCTCCTCAGTATTGTTTTGTGTGGCATAGCTCATTCCCCAACGTTTTATGTGACTTCTTTTGACTCTGAACTGAAAAGCTACACAGAGATGAGGAATCTGGAATGCTGCTTGTTGTCACCCAGGACAAAATAACCACTGGATCACCTGATTTTATGTGTTTTTCAAACCATAAATGTTAATGATTTTCTCTTTAGGGTGAAGAGGTGAATGCTGGGAGAATTGGTCTGACAATAGTCATTGCTGGAATGGGGGGGTCCCTCATATGTGGCGTTTGGCTGGACAAGACCAAAACTTACAAGTAAGACCTTATTTTAAGGACAGTAGCTAAACTGCTAGAAACATAATGGCTGCATCTAATCTCATGGGAGTGAATGAATGAGATATGTCAGTCTTAACCAAAAACGCTTCAGTAAGCAGAAGTGCTCCAACATTACCTTCAGACTGGGATGTCTTCAGTGTCTCTGGTCCTCTGCAGTGGTAGCTCCACTTTAAAACGGCGGATGCTTGCACGAATGTTCTGCCCGAGTTTTATATGGGATGTCCGACTCTGCTTATCTGGGCTGACAGGCTCTCTTGCTTCTTTACTACTGTGTTAGACTTGGTGAACAGTAGTAATACAGCCACTCAACAATATCTAATTATTGGAATCGTTTTTCTGTTTTGATCAGTTCAATTAAGTCTTTTGCTCTCTTTTTTACAAATAAATAGCTTGCCAGTGTCAGTGCCTGGCATTTTGACTATTACGACAAATTGAAATCCTGCGTCCTCAGACTCCTCACATGCCAGTAGGTTGCTAAGCTGTCAGGGCAGTTTTGCTCAAATTGATGTTGTGGATCCCCACACTCCCATTGTTCCGTGTGAGTGAGTGAGAGGACTTTGCTATATTAACAAAAATGTTTTGCAGCATACTTTACGCGTGACTTTACAAGAGACAGCCTCATCGGAGTAAGCCTGTTTTTCCTGGAGGTCTGAGTTGTTACAAGTGGTCTGCAGTGACTAAGGAATATTACTGTGATGCCATTCAAGAGATTTTCCTTTAAGACAGAGGCATTTCCTCCTTATATTGGCTCTCATTGGAGCTCAGTGGGCATGTCATACCATGTACCGTCTTAATGACTACAGTACTGGTAGTTTAACCAGAATTTCCTGTCGTCTGAATTATGACAAATGTATCGCTTTCACTTTGTACATATACAGAAAACCTTTCTTTGAAGTTTTGGGTAGGATTTTCTTTTTCTGATCAAACTGAGCCCTGTCACAGGAGAGTCTTTAACATGAATGTACATTTTTAAAGAGATTAAGTTATTAGAGCTACAGTCAACATTCTGTTTAGGGGCGTGTGGGAATTCATGTGAGCGTTGGTTATCGAGTCGCAGCACATTTTAAACTGACACTCTGATTTTCTTTTCACAGACAGACCACCCTGGCTGTATATATCCTCTCCCTGGTTGGGATGGTGGTTTATGCCTTCACCCTCAGCCTAGGTCACCTATGGGTGGTTTTTATCACATCTGGACTTTTAGGGTAAGTAACCATTAATGAAAAGAGGCCATGTTTTTGAACATCACAGGGTTAGGGTTGAAATTCACACTCAACAATCTCCAAAATCTGGATGAAATTTAACTCTGATGAACGACACAGTTAAGGTGGAGTAACTAACCACAGAGTGAAAATCCTGTGAGTGTTTTGAGCGACTTTTGCTGTTGACGTGGATGCAGTTTGTAATGCGATGATAGATAGAGGACAACCCAATGAGGCAGGATAAATATTTGAAAAATGCTGTTCGGTGCTAAAGGTCTGGAGATGAATTCAAATCCTGTGGTTGTGGAAAAGTGACATTTGATGTCCATCTCCTGACAGCTTTATGCAGTTTTAAATATTCACATTCAGGCGGCATGAATCTCTTTTTGGTACATTTTTTTGCTGCATTTCTCTCACGTTGCATGAGTTCCGCTTTCACAAAAGAAAATTCACACTCTTATCTGTTCAGCTGGGTCCTCGCAGCTATTTCTATTTATAAGCCGATTTATCCCATAACTGCATAAGTAGTTTCCACAGCAATTCATCTGCCCACTTTTTATTTCTAAAACCCAGACGGGTGCATTATACAGTCACTTGTCCTATTTTCAAATCCATGGAGCTGTTTTTCAGTTATTAACAAGGCTCAGGCAGAAATGTTGATTTAAGCCTTTAATTTGACTCCGTTTGCAGCTTCTTCATGACAGGATATTTACCTCTGGGCTTTGAGTTTGCTGTAGAGCTCACCCACCCAGAATCTGAGGGAACCTCATCTGGACTGCTCAACTGCTCAGCTCAGGTAAGTTACGGTATTGTCAACTGGTTGTTTTGGTTGAGTACAAGAAAAAGAACACAAATGTATTTGGTTTGGGAATGTAACAGGTTTTCTAAACTGTTGTTTCAGATCTTTGGAATCATTTTCACCATCGGTCAAGGGAAGATCATTGACGCATGGGGAACCTTCGCGGGAAACATCTTTCTGTGTGTCTTTCTGCTAATTGGAACGATAATGACAGGTAAGAAATGAACTTCTGCACTAAGCATAACATCTGTACTTGCTGAATTTGAAGGTATTTGAAACCTGCTGTTCCATTCACCCACTATGAGAGGGATTTGTGTCTTTAAGTGGGTCAGACTAAAAAAAAAATCCTCAAAGCTCTGAACTGTCATTGGTGAAGAGTGCCCTCTTCTGGCAAATTTAATAATTACAATTTTCGTTTAATTAAATCTATTTGACAGAACAATATTTCAAACACTTTTTATTTTTTAATAAAATCGTATACATGGAAAATTGTGATTTAGGTGTGTCCCGTGATGTACATCATCAACTTTCTTATGTGAAGGTTGCAGTGAGATGCAGTTGTTTGTGAGAAACAGTAGCCATTTTGATGTTGTGATCATTTGGAAATTTACATCAATATACATCCATTCCTGCTTGTTGTTTATTACAGGATTTATCAAATCTGACCTCCGAAGACAGAAGGCCAACCAGCAGTCTGAGGTGCAGACAGTGAGCGTGAGTACCTCTGTGTTTGTTACATGAAGTCTGAACGTGGGACCCTCTCATCCCTGTGGATTGGGGGGGTGTTGGACCCCCTCTGTTGGCTCTGGCCTGAGTTCACTCTGCTGCAGTTTTCTGCTGGCTGCTTCGCTCACACTGCAGCCCGTCTGACTGCAGCCTGACTGCAGGGATCGCTCTGCTTCATGGGTGGAAGGCTTTCAGTTTGGATTTATCAGAGACACAGCTTCCTCTCAGCTCTGCTTTGTGTGAATTCTAATCCAAATCTCTAAAGGAGCCACAGGAACACGCATGTTGTCATCCTCTTTGCTGAAAACGCCTCATAACGGTTTAACACTGCTCCTCCAAACCTTGATATGGGTGTAGCTGACAGCTGTCCAAAAATTGTTTAATTAAAATGAGAGAAAAAGAACATTGGTTCAACTAAACCTTTGAATTCTTGTGGCACCTGCCCATAATAAGAAATACACATACGGTAAATACGAGATCTAGAATCAACAGAATTTTTTTGGGGGTGAGTCTTTTAAAAAAAACAAAAAACAAATTAAATTAATTCAAACCCAAAACAAAACTCAGTGGCATCCAAAAGAAAGAAAGCTTACTTCACTCTGTGTGTACTCTGCAGCTCACCTGTTTCCTTGTTTTTAGGACTATGTGGAGCTCCTTTCTCTTGTCTTTTCTCATGCTGCTTCTGCTCTTAATGCTCTCTCTGAAACTATACAAAAGCTGCTATAACCAAAAACACCAGTACCACTGCACACTAACAGCATTTACTGGCCCTTAGTAACCACGAACTGTTAGAAAAATAAGAAGAATCCAAATTCTTGATGGAAAAATCTGAGAAAAATACAGGCCTTATTACAGTTAACATGAAGTTGGGTGTGCAGTTGTTTCTGGGGTCACTGCTGGTGGTGTCTTCTGATGGGGAAGGTTGAGCGTACGATGACTCTCAAGGCGCCTCAGAGATTTGAAAACCAAGTTATGATTCCAGCCTGCAGGCTCTGTGACATCGGTGCAGGACTACGGGGCCACAGCGTGCAGCAGCCCCCACCAGCAGGAGTCTTGACATAAAACCACAACTTGAATAAAACCAAAACACACACCAGACAAGGTAGGGTCACACACTAGTGATACTTCACCCCACACAGACGCACAAAATGATAAAACAATGTCACCAGTGGGAAGCAAAAAATGCCACTGAAAGTCCAGGACATTCAACAAACAGTGATGCAGAAAATCACATTTGCTGTCTTCAACTATTGTTATGAAATACACTTGTGGTCGTTTAAGCTGAACCATAGCACATTGTACTGGACTGCACTGACAAAATAATCTCTTTCATCCTCTTAAAGGCTCATGTGAAGCCCATTGTGAACATCAAACTGATATTTAGGAAAACTGAGCGATAAATCTTTACAAAAAAAAATGTTTTAATCCAAATCTCTAAATTAACATTAGTGACGTCTGTCTACTACTGAGAGTACAATTAAACTCCTTTGTCACAGTATTAGGATTGCAAATATTATGATAAACTGTTTTAAGATGTTTCTGTACAGAATCATTATTCTTTCTGAATGCTGGGATAATTTCTTTATTTGATTTTAAAAGACATGAATTCTGATTGTGTTTTCTGATTTGGGTTTTTCCCAGAAAAAGGCAGCGGACACAGAAGAAGGCATCTCTCCACCGGAAATTCTGAAGGAGGGAAAGCTGTGAGGAGAACGGATCTCTCTTCTGTGACAACAGGCGTAATTTACAATCAAAGAAGAACGTCTTACCGGCACATCAACATACTTTTAACGTGTTCAAATGACTGTGTAGAGCTGCTGAGTAGAGAGTATGAGGAGGCTTGGATATCACACTGATCCGCCTGCTGGACCTGATGTGATGTACTGCAGTGGTGCCAAGCTGCAGGATTTCAAACTACAATCCAAAGTGCAACCTTAAAACAAAGTCATGCACGCGGGAAATGCACTTTGGGATATTTCAAGTAATTACCGTTTTTATCCAGTTAAGACATTTTCATGTGTCTTGTAAGTGCAATGTAACTGCCCTTTTAGTGACTCCATGCCTCATCTTTTATCTTAATTAAGTTAAACCGAGCCACGCTTACCCCTCACCGTTAGTGGTAATGTGCGGTGTGTATTTCAAGAGCAGTATTTAAATTATTTCCTAATATAATACCAATATGGTTTGTTACTGAGCTCAAGTCTTCACAAAGCTGAAGGTACCCATGTGAGTGTCTGCCACCCAAGATCGCCTGGAAGCCTCACTTCTGAGCCCTGATGATTGTTTTATGATTGATGCCGTGCATCTGAGAACACTTCAGTTTTGTCCTCATTTTACGTAAGTGACCTCCCCAAAAAGACACCTGGTGTTCAGTACCTGGATCAACCTGCACATCTGGAACACAAAGAATGTGTTGGAGGAAGGAAAGGCAAATCAACTCTATCATTTTGCACACAAACTGTTTTTATCTTTTTCTTTTAGCTTTGAAATGTATTGCTGAGAAACATTGTCTATGTTGTGTAACAGGGTTTAGAGTTTTTCATGAACACGTTTTACTTGATGTGTACTTACAATGTACACACTTATTTACAGTTTTCTGATTGTCAGGGGTGCCTCTTAATCCTTTTGGTGGCATCTTGGGACATTTTATTGTGCCAAAAAATTACTACCGGTAAATCTTTTTAATTGATGCTAGTATGTACTGTATGTTAAAAACAGATTCAATTGGTAATAAATATTTTTAGATGCCTGTAGACAAAGTCGGATTTTTTACTGCATGATGATGATGATGGGCAGATTTCAGATATGTATTGTATCCAATTATGTACACCACATATCAGTTAGAGATTCAGAACATAAACAAAAAAGGAAATCAAGGATAACATCAATACAGATATGTTAACACAAACAATAAAAAACATTCAAATCCATTCAAAGTTGCCACAAATAGAGGTAAAATGACCAAATATAACACATAGAACATAACTGGTTACAAAAAATGAAAGACACACAAAATGATGCACAAGTGTCAGAGACCAAAACCAAGTAAACAAAAATATGGGACAAAAAATATCCACATGGATTAAACAGGAAGAGACAAAAGCAATGGGGCAAAGGTTAATACAAAGGTAAGAGACACTGAAGAGTCAAGTTAAATAAAAACATGAGCATGAGGAAACATAGACTCACCCAAATGAGTCACTACTAAACTGAGACATGAACCAAAATTACAATGAAAATAAATGGGAAATGTAAATCAAGAGAAAACATCCATTTTAAAATGAAAGGACGGATCCAAAATCACCATGACGGAAGCAAAGTTGCAATCAACCACAAATGACACGGCAATATACCAGAGAAACATCAAAAATGTTGAAAAGTTACATTTGTAAAAGGTGTGTATGCATTACTCTTTTCAGGTTGTCCATTTCTTAAATAACATCTTAGGATCCCGCAAATGACATGGATCAATGCCAGAAAAATTAAAAATAATGAAATACTGTATTTATTATTGAACACAGGGATCAAAACGCTTAAATAAAAATGCAATCAAACCCTGGAAAACACGCTTACATTTGGAAAAATACCCCCAGAAAACACCATTCTCTTATTGCTATTGATGGAAAACACTGAAAGTAGAAAGATTTCATTTAAAACTTAAATTGTTTTTTAAACTAAACACATTTAATGGGTGTTAAAACATTCCAGAGCACCACACAAGTTTAGCCATACCAGCATGTGTGACACAGTTTTAAACTGTGGAGTTGTCTGGACTCTGGTGGATCTGAGCCATTGTTACAATCATGAACAAAAGTTAAATAGCTACCCTCAGTAATCACGTCATTCACCTAAACCAAACTGAATCTGAGCTTGAATAAAGTGAAATTACAGGTATGGCTTGATCCTGTGTTGTATTGCTCATTTGAAGGTGTACCAGCACATATTAACCCCCGAAGTTTCACTCTTGACTACACCATTCAATCAGACATCTACAGTTCTAAATGTCTGCTGGTGGTGGATTCAGACTAGTTCCGCTTCTTCTGCCGGGCTCCCACTTCCTCCTGAGTCTCTGGGATACACTGGAATCCAATGAGCATCCCTAGGATTGAAAAACCTGGGGAAACAAGCATATCTTGTTGTTTTCCACTGATGACAAGAATCTCCAAACCTTGAAACCAAGTATTCCGGTTATCACGACAGTGTCCACACCCACTTGCAACGATGAGCGGCGCCATGACTCCAATCGTCAGGGGGGCAGTTTTGTAGATGAAGGCCTCAGACAGAAAGTGGCCTAACGCCAGCACAAATGTCCACAAGGTGATGTGATACAACCTGCAGAGGGAAGTATGGAACACAATAAAGCACATAAGCAGTGGACCACCAAAAAAAGCAATTAGCTCCAAAACCTGAGGAGCAGCCTTACGTTCTGTTCTGAATATCAATGGCACAGGCACAGCGAATAATGGATGACAGCAACGTCCAAATGCCAAATGTCCGAGCTTGGAGGCCGTTCACTGGGGACAGAAGTGTAAGAGGAAAGGATGCCATATTATAGGTGTCTGAATATTCAGCAGGAATCATTTTAATACAGTGAAGGTTAGGGAGCAGGTTCAACCCTCATCTTATCTGCCACTTTTTGGGCATGGACATACAAATACATACCTGTTGGTCTTTGGTATAAAATGCAGTGTAGCTTGATTGTTATCATTACAGAATGTTTTTCATTTTAAATCAAACAATGCAGTCGTTTCCATTGACAAATTTGACATCTAATTAACAGTTAATTTAACTGTTGTAAGATTGTATTCTGTTTTTTTGACGAAGTTTGACGAATTGTGGAGGAATCCTGATGCTGCTCACCAAACTCTGGTGTCCCCGTGTACAGCTTCTCAGACAGGAAGCTGTGATCTTTGAAACTCTGCACGGTGTTGCCCATGGCGATGACCGACACCATCACCAACCAGCTCCGGAGGACGTTCAGGAAGCGGCTCATCTCTTCTGTCTCTCAGACGCACCTCTCAGAAATCCTCAAATCCAGAAAGCAAAAACGATCGTCTCAAAGTCAATGCAAACGCAGTTTCTCTATTACATATCCACAAATAACAAATGCACAAATAACTAACTGATACAACTTAAAAAAACAAATATTTACCGACAACAACATCACATCATTTTAAAAACATCACAATGCCAATGAATCAAATGTCGTAGCAGGCTAACCTTGCTGTTCGTGCGAACTATAAAACAATGACAACGGAATTGACATTTGTTGCGCATATATTTACCTGGAAACGTCAACCAAACTACAGTGTTAAGATGTTACTAATAAAACCAGTTGTACAACACACAAAAACCAAAGTGGAACACAAGCCAAACGTATATTCTAAGCAATCGTAATGATGAGTCTCTCTTGACCCACAGGGTTAACCAATGACACAGCTCAAAAGATGGCTTCATTTAATCGTGCCATCATTATGATTGGTCCTCCAGTGACTTCCAATACCGCCCACTTCTCTTTCCAACCAATCAAATATACTGTTTCAGTACTTGCAGGCAGTTGGCTTGGGTGTACAGAGACAAAGAGTAGACAGGTAACAAGATAATCATCCGTCCCTGGTTAGTGTTTTGGAGAACCAAACGCCGTTGTTATCAGTGTTAGCAACCAGTCCAAACAGTCCGTTTTTAAAAACTACGCTGATTTGTAACTTTTAGAAGCAAAGTAACATACATATCAACACGAATCGAACCAAATTATAGTTAATTTTACCTCGACAATTGATTCCAATTCGTTCTGAACCACATGTACTTTAGCTTAAAAACCCTCTCCCCAAGATAACTCAGAGATTTAATACTATCCTGCACAAATGGACTTCTTCAATAATTAGGGAAGACACGGGGTCTTCTCTGATATTTACACCTGTTCGCGGTGTTGAACAGACGGTTTGGGGCCCAAATTTGGTCACGTGGACAAATATTGCCATCAGTGCGCATGCTCCCTCCTCTGTTGCTACTCAGTTGTTGTAGTTACCAGGAAGATTAACCGCGATGATCAACTGGCCCGGGTGTTCCAAGCTGGCTAAGGGTTAGCAGGCTCAGTAGAAATTAAAGGCAAGTCTATGCTGTTCTGTATAGATAACATATAAAATGTCTGCTTTACAGTTTTTAACTAAACAATGTGTAGCTACATACCCATATAGCTTGTTGATAACGTCATTAAGCTAGCGCTTCTTCGATTATGAGTCTTCTGTATCTACTTATTTTAAGAAGTTTAGATGATGTCATAGCGACTACAGGTAGAAAGAAAGGTTTTCTTTAGAGCTTAATACTAAGAGTAAACCTGTGCACGACAATGCCTGTCTCTGTCTGCAATTTATAGCGTTGTTATTACATTATTACATGTGGAAGGACTAGCACTAATTTGGTTGAGTTTACTAACTGTAGAGCTTAGTGTTTTTGATGTTATTAATGTCATTGTAAACTCTAGTTGTCTGATCCCAGGCAGGAAAACCTTGCGAGGCAGTCTTTCCTCTATTTAATGTGAAAATGCCTGCTGTAGTCCAGGAGAAAGGTGATCCCGGATCATCTTCAGAAGACGAGCAAGAGTGGGTATTAATGTTATTTTGCAGAAACCGCTACATGTGATGTATAGCGTCGTTATTACATTGTACATGTTCACCCTCTGACAAGTGAATGTAATTTCAAAACAGAGACTTAATCCACCTGATAGCATGACTAAAAGCAACAGCTGTTTCTTTCTAAATTGCTACTGTCTTTATTGCTTTGTGTTTATGTATGCTTTGCAAAGGTAGATCCAGGGCTTCTGTTCTCAAAGCAGATGTTTTAAGAATTCTAATTCATAGAAATGTAATGCAAATGCACAATGCTTTGTCAATGTTTTCCATGAAAAATTGATGGTGCATTGTTCACAGAGAATTGCAAGCTGTGGAGTTGCTTTTGCCTGCAGTCTGTGCAGATTGTGGACTTGGCAAGTCTTCATTAGGTTCTTAGCCCACTGATCCTCTTGGAGGACATAGCAAGAGTTGCTGCCTAATAGATTATTAATGTGGAACTATGGTGGATGAAAAGGCCCTTTCCCTCCTTTGCCAAGTTTTTTACTCATTTGCCATGATTTATGAATGTGTAATGTAATCTTTTCAGCATTCTTCAAGATATTCTGTTTCGTTATTTATTCCATGGTACATTTAGACAAAATGAGAGCTTGAGGTGCCTTCATTTTGCGTGATTGTTCCAATAAATTCTGAATTAGGGAGAGAGAGAGGGAAATCTAGCTCTTGACAGTAGATGAGACAGTTGGTCTCTTGTGTATCTGCCAAATAATTCCCTCTTAAGCTATTCTTAGCTACACCAAACTGGGTGCTTCTGTGTCTGCCCTTAGGCCGCCTCTTCTGAATTAGTTAGAACCGTCTAGAAATAGAGTTTAACCTCAAAATGACTAAAGCTGCTATTACTGATACTGCAACACATGGTTATGTGAATATCTCCCTCCTTAACAATAGACACTACCGTCATTACAACAGCAACAGTGATTGTGTTTGGGTAAGGTCTCACTGAGACCACCTGTCCACCTGTTCCCAGCTGAACATACACTTGAACATCTGCCAGTTTCAGTTGATGTGCCTCACTGTTGAATTTTACCTTGCAATCTTATCAGAATTAGTCAATAATTTAGATGAAGAAGACAGTGAACAACATTAAATAATGCAAACCACTTGAAGGTGTACTTTACAGGTAAATACAGGAGAGAAAGATCAGGTTTTAAGAAAACAAGTGTCCTGGAAGTAAACGTACTCTTGGACATTGGATTTTTAATTGCCAATTGATAATTAAAAAATAGTGCAGATATATGCCTATCGTGAGTTTAATGTCACTAAAATGTCACTAAAATGTCACTAAAATGTTTTGGTAAGTACTGGAGTGCGTTTACCACTATGTTGCATCATCTGCTCTTTGGGAAACACTCTGTTGGCATTTAGTAGGTGAGAAGAAAGGACAACATCTGTGTTCTTCTTTTTCCATTCTTAGATTATGACCAGTGTCCACTGCTGACCTCTTTTCTTTCATAATGTTCTCCAATACATTCAGTGGGTGGCATTTCTGGTTTTCAGGCAGCCTAGTTTAACTCCGAAACTTTTGTGTGTACTCAACAGGACAGTAACCTCTCAGTGGTCTTATTGGTAGCTCGTATCCACAGTAACCATCAAGCCACCATACTTAAATATCCCCCAAATACCTTGTCTGGAAGTGCCATCAGGGTATCTGAATGAAATAGATGTGTGTTTCACTCTTAGTCATACCTTGATATTTGGATCCTGGGGGCAGCAGTTGCTCACATTTTGCCCCCCTTTATCTATAGCAGTCATACCTGATTGAGTCCCACTCCATCATCATGTCAGCTTATCTTATATTTACCCCCTGATAAGCAGGCTGTGTCTGGTACTGCCAGATAGTCTGGACTTTTACAAGGGTGTTTGTTAGTACAGTGAATGGGTTTGTTATTGCCCAGCACCTCATGAAACTGTGTGAGGTTCTGTCTTTATCTGCCTGACTGAAATAAACACCATGTCCAGAGGCATTCCCTCAGGGTTAGGTAAGCTGCCCGTATAGGCAGCTTCACGTCATCCAGCGAAATTCACCACCTCTGTCACATTGTAACGGGTCTCTTTCTCTATATATGTTTTTTCAAAAATCAGATTATGTGTGATTCACTGTCTTATCTGATTGCTGTTCCTCCAGAGACCATCCTTGCATCACATGGAGCGGCCTTAGCAAAACAATCCCAGTTCTCCTCTTCTTACCTGAGGCGATCGTAGCTAAAGATAGGAACATCTGCTCTGTTGGAGGTACATAAAAACTGGTGAACCCGCCTTAAAATATACAGCTTTCGAACCTCCATGAAGTGGATAAAATACCTTTTTTCACAAATGCTTTTTTTATTTGTGCAGAGCAATATAATATGGCCTTCAAGATTGTACGCACAGAGAGCCGGCTGGTACGAGGCATACTCACCAATCATGGGCTCCATGAGGTAATGTTTATTCTTGAACCGTGTCAATTGAGAAGATTAGGCTACATCCCGCTTTTTATTTATGTTTTCTCCCAACACATGCAACATGTCCATGTCTGCCCCACAGGATAGTTAAGAGAACGCACATTTCTTTGCTTTTACTATGTGAAAATAATGTTATCTCACGATTCTTGGTCTTTTTTTTTAACTGGGTCTTTCCATTAATACCCTTTTTAATTTAATTTAAATGTTTCTCGACTCCAGTGAAACCACAATTAAAGCCAGATGAATATCAACCGCAGCCTCCCTAGAGCCAAACTTTAATAGGACACTTAGAGAACTGGGTTGTGAATTCTGCCCCCTGACCAATCAGTCGAATGAAACAAAACAGATAAAAAAGAGATTTCAGCGATTTGCCTTAAGTTTCTGCAGTTGTTGTTCATTTGTGGTACGTTTTAACCAATGCCTTTGTTTTCAGGTTCACCCAAACAGCAATGACTTCAACCTGATGTGGACGGGATCGCACCTCAAGCCTTACATAATGCGCAGCCTCCAAGACTTCCAGAAGGTCAACCACTTTCCCAGGTATGACAGAGGGCTCGAATACATCACGATGCTGCCTCTGTATTTCACTTTACAGCCCTTCCAAGAGCCTTGGTTCAGGCAGTGTGTTTTTTGGCTTCCGCCCGACACACATTTAGTTTGGAGTGAAGCGTGAAATGAATAACACTGTCAGACACAGGCCATTCTGTAACTGTCACACGCTCGTGTTTCTTTTTTTTTTTTCTCGTCTCTGCACATTTCCAGGTCATATGAATTAACGCGCAAAGACCGTCTCTATAAAAACATCCAGCGAATGCAGCAGACTCATGGCTTCAAAAACTTCCACATCATTCCTCAGACCTTCATGCTTCCCTCTGAGTTCCAGGAGTTCCGCAGTAAGAGATGCCCGCCGGGTTCCACCAATCAGAGCAGAGCCTCAGCACCCTGCCGTGGGCCGTCTGTGTTTGAGTGTCCTCTCCTGCCTCTTTCTCTCACAGACTGTTTTGCCAAGGACAAGGGCCCGTGGATAATTAAACCAGTGGCTTCTTCAAGAGGACGAGGCATCTACTTGGTCAGCAATGTGAGTGAGTCTGACCTTTTGAAATGAGGCGGTGCCCGTTTCTGTGGTGCTCTGGTGCTAACAGCTTCAGTCAGTAAACGTGAGGTGTTCCAGCTTCAAGCTGTAGTTTGTGGTTGCCGTCCTTAAAATATGTGAGCAAATGTTTAAAAAGAACTAACAAGTAAATGGACCATGTGTTATAAATTGTGCTGACCTTTGAAACATCGGTGTCAGAGGTCAGGAAAAACCCTTCGAGCTCAAACATAATCCGCAGTAACAGTAATATATTTTCTTTGTTTACTTTAAGTCACTGTGTGTCTCGGGACTGCTTGGGTGGTCTCAGTGCTTCCCGACAAGTTGGGATGCACTGCTCTAAATACCTCTTTCGAGCAAAAATAAACCCGATCTGGTTGGTGTGAATGGACTGACACATGTTTGCATTGACAGGGAAAAAAATTCAATCAAAACTGTCAAAAAAGCTGTGCTGCCTTATTGCTGACACAGAAGAAGGAAAATGGGCGCAGTTTCTTTCTTATTTGTGTAAAATAAAAAATGAAATGTCTGCTGTGAAGCTGCTGTGAAGCTGCTGTGAAGCTTTGTTGCACTTTAAGACTTTAAAGATGATGTACAAAGCAAACTCAATGTAGCCCGGCTATTTTTAAAGCGACAACAAAATGTAAACAGCCTCTCTTTGTTAGTCTGGACCAGAGGTGTCCTGCAGGTCTAGGATGTTTGCTACTTAAGCTCACCGGATTCATATCAGTGGGCCATTAGCAGGCCAGTGCAGGGCAGTGGCAGCCCTCCATGACTGGAGCTGGACACCCCCATTCTCGACTTTCCTCTTTGTGAACAATCACTAAAAAAATTGTTTAATTTTGTCTGTCATTTCTACTTTTACTGTAAAAAGTGCAGCGATCACCTGACAGTTCATTCATCAAAAGCAATTGGCAGTAGGAATGGATAAGTTTGAAAGCTATTAGGATCACTATGGAAAAAACATGTTTTCTCCTTTTTCTTCTTCTTTCCTTTTACTTTTTTAAGGTGACTATCTAAGGCTTTCAGGTTTTGGTATTTGATGTGGGGTTTTTTTACATTAGTGAATCTACATGTGGATTAAAAATTGGAATTAAAACCCATGGTTGGTCAATATTTCATAGATTAATTCTAAGCGGAAATAATTCAGACGGCTTTACTTTCTAAGTTGGTGGTTAAATGACTCATTTTCTCTTCATTCAGGCTTTAATTAAGCATCAATTATGTGTTTTCGGAAACTACATTGGTAGAAATACACTGAGGTGTGCTTGTATATTACACTGAAGTGTAAATTCCAGGGGACGCACAGTGCTACAGCAGACAGTCGGGACATGTCAACGCAGAGCAGATACAGAGAGGAAATACTTCACATCGATGCTAACTCATATCAAACAGCGTCCCCGACGCTGTCAGTGGCTTTTGCTTTTTGTGTGTTATTCATGTCCAAGCATGCATTCACATTAATGGTAAATCTTGTGGGAGTCGGCCGTGCATGTACTGACACAAAAAGTACTTTGTGAACTCAGGCAGTCACTTGGCCAGATGTTATCTGTGTGTGTGGGGGTGCACTGATACAGCTGTCTTTGAAATAAGTATCAACCAGACATTAATAAGCTCTGCGGAGTAAATCACACACTTCCAAGGCCTTGGCTCTTAGAGGAGCTCAACAAGGTTCTCACTCTTGGAAAACATATGCATGATTCCTCTTCTTCTCAGGCATTTTTATAAAACAGTGGAAAGAATGTCAGCTTGATATTTGGAGAGAAGAAAGAAATACGTTCATCTTTTTGGTTAGCTGTTTCTCTGAACTCCAGCCAGCATTGAGGTTACTCTGCCCCCCCTTCCAATCTCCTCTCAACTTCGCCACCTGCAACACATTTCAGCCTCATAAATGACCCATCTCCCACCACCACATTGTATTTTTATAGGCTGTTATTGAAGGTTGACCTGCTATGACCAGCGTCGCTAAAACTTTTCCTCGTCTGATTACTCTTTGATGTTTATGATTAACTGCGGTGTCACGTCAGCTGTTTGGAATCGAGTGTTTAATGCTGTTCTATAAGAATTAACTCGTAGCCTTGAAAATTGAACTCTGAAATACTGCCTGCATGTTCCTCTTTGTGTGCTCATCATATTTTCCTCCGTGTTGTTATCCTCATCTGCAGCCAAATCAGATTTCCATGGATGAAAATATCTTGGTGTCTCGCTATATTAACAACCCTCTACTGATAGATGGTGGGATACAGTTTTTCTAAATATTTCAAAGATATTTAGACTGATTTAAATAAAAAAGCTTTAGGATTTACGGTGAATTTTGCTTAATTTACAGAGTTCAAATTTGATGTTCGGTTGTACGTGTTGGTGACATCGTATGATCCACTCCTCATCTATGTGTACGAGGAGGGCCTGGCAAGGTGAGTGCCTGCAGGTTTGGGAATGCAAGTTTGTGATGTTCAGAGGAAAGAACAATATAAGGGCACAAGAGGTATTTCAGAATTAAATTGTGAAAACCTCTCAGGCCCTTCCATTAAGAAAGAAGCACAATACAGAACGATACATTTTCATTAGCATTACATATCAAACTCGTCCGGAACATCCACAGGGAAGAGAAATCAGGTATTTTAGGTTCCTGCACCCTCTAATCCACAATTGCATAATCCTAATGGAGGAAATGTCCATGCTAATATCATACAGGAGGACTAATGAGCTATTTGCTGCGTACAGACTGTAAAAGTTGTTTGTCATCTGATCATTTTGTCAGCTTTACAGTTCATCGCACTAAATAGGCCGCATTCTTTGTGAATGACCTCCTGTTAAAAGATGAATAGAGCCAGGGCCTACTTTAGCCCACATCAGAAAGACAGATTTAGAATGGTTCAGGTAATTGTGGACTGAGATTCTGCCTCCTTAGAGCGACACCCAGTGGTTTTCAAGAAATTCATGTGTATATTAGTTTGCATTGAAAGGCTTTTAAAAAGAAATTCCTCTGTGTCAACTTGTTGTATAAAGGCCAAATATGGAGGGAGGTGAAGTCCTGCTCTAAGGTGTTTTTGTTCTGCTCTATAGAAAAAAAAAGGTAGGAGTTTTAAGTGCTGATCTAAAGGGGTCAAATTTTCTCATTTTGCCCTTTTGTGTATTTTTTGCATACACTTGGAGGCTGATAAGAGGCACCTCTCTTTCTTTCTGTTTGATGAAAAAAGAATTCTTTTTGCACATGGAAATTTCATTCATGTGATCATGATGGATGTCAGGGCTTTATCAAAACAAGACCGTGTTTCCCATCTGTTTTGCAAAAGAGCACACAAGATGCAATTTGAATTAGAAACATGGTTTGGACAGGGGAATAGTGGGTTTAAAAGTTGTCCGTTTCTCATTGTCAGGGCTTTGCATTAATGTGGTCCCTGATCTTCATTATCGGAATATAATGTCAACAATAGACTAAATATATATGCAAAATGTATGACTTTATTCTACGTTAGTAGCATACAGAAGCACACATTTGCCTATTTATATGTATATATATAAATATATATATATATGTTATTTTTATTTTATTTTTATTTTTTATTAATTAATTAATTAATTAGTTATACATGTGAAATATTATGTTAATTAAAATCAGTGTACTTAAGCTACATGAAGGATGAAACTTTTTAGGTCATTAAGTTCATTCTGAGGCAGTCTGTGGTATCCCTTTTGGTGGAGTTCTTTCTCTTTCCAGAGGAGGGCATGCTAAACGTTGGAGACTCAGTGCAGTAGAGCGTGTTGTACTGGCCGTCTTTAAACAAAGCACTCTATTGTTTCCCTTGTAGGATGTGCTAATCAAATGTAACTGATTGTGTCATTGTCCAAAGACCATTACTGAGGAGGTCTTTTATGTTAATTGTGCTACGTTTTTTGCTCTGGCTGTTCAGAGTAGGAATAAATCACTAAATCAAGAGCAGGCCATCATAAGGAACAGGTAGGCCAGGAGAGGGTCAATGATTTATAGGATGACTGGCTCCTGGCCTTGCTCTGATAGAAGTATGTGCTCATGCTGGAAACAGTGTGCCACTGCCCTCTTATTTGCTGGCTTCGTTATCAACTGTGAGAAATAAATCATGGACAAATCCTGAATCCCGCTTTTATCTCCTGACATTCCTTTGGTGGTGTTGGTATTCAGGTAGATGGAGCGTGCCAAGGAATTCTCATTATTGCACATGTGGCATCCACTCTTCTCAAACACTACCAAAGATTAATCTCTTCCCACAGCACCCCTATTATTCAGTCAAGTGTCAGCCTCAGGAGTGTGTAAGGGAAATTATCCTTTTTTTCCCCCCTCCAGTTGTATAAATAAGCATTCCTCGTCCACAGATTTGCTACAGTTAAGTATGACCGAGCCTCGACGAACATCAAGAACACGTTCATGCATCTCACCAACTACAGTTTGAACAAAAAGAGCAGTGATTATGTCAGGTAAGCCACAGCAGAGCACATCACCGAGTTGAATTTGTGCTGTTACGGGAAGCCCACTGACTCATCCCTTTACTGCAGCTTGGGTGTTTGAAGTCCGTTTCTCTCTTTTCAGCTGCGATGACCCTGAAGTTGAGGATTATGGGAACAAATGGAGTATGAGTGCAGTGTTGAGGTATTTGAAGCAGGAGGGAAAGGACACCACATGTGAGTCAGACCCTCACCTTTTTTTCTCTGATTTTAGGATCCAAGACTGTCTGAGTTTTATTAAATCATGATCGTTCTTTCAATGAGTAAATCTTTTAATTTCTGTTAGATGATTTGTTTTAATTTCATCCCTCCCAGTGCTGATGAAACAAGTCGAAGACCTCATCATCAAAGCTTTGCTGAGTGCCGAACTGCAGATAGCCACAGCCTGCAAGACCTTTGTTCCTCACAAGACTAATTGCTTTGGTAATCATTTCTCAATCATCTTGAAGTATTTTTACTTAATTAAAAGCGGTCAACTGGAGTTGCTTTGTAGAATATAAACAGACACCACTTCATAAGTATGTATTGTGAATGAAACCTGAGCTTTGAGTCCCCCTTTTGCACACGCTGCAGATACACATACATATGTAGTCATACACGTTACCACACCCCTCAAATTTCCTTTCAGTTTCAGATTCACTGTCCAACAGTTCCCCCATACTATTTGTCCACTGAGCCATGCTGAGGTAGACAGTCATTCGTCAGTGTGGAGCCTTCCTGCCTGCTGCTGTGCTCTGACTGGCTGCCGGTTTGTGGAGGGCCTGTTGCCTAAAGCAGGAATTTGCTTCCTCTCCTCTGTTGCCATTCAGCTCTGCCTGATTTAGGCTGACTGTTTTCTTGGCTAGCCTTGCTTAGCAGCAGGCTCGTGTGAACTCCATTTTGGAGCCATTACCCATGTTAGTGTTGGCACTAATTGCCTGCACTCTTTCTCTGAGTCTGGCAGTCTCTCTGAGAGTTGGGGTTTGAAAGTGAGTACGTTGGCCAGGCCTGCCTCAGCATCACTGTCTCTCTCTCCCTTCTTTTCTTACCGTTTCTGTTTGTTTATAAGCTTCCCGCTCCTGCGCACACTCCTTTTCACCTCTCAGATGTTAGAAACATAAAAAACTTTGTGGTAGGCGTTCAGAGACAAAATAGCCCCCTGATTGGTGGTTGTTTGGGCTGTTTGGGACATGCAGCAACAGGGACTTACAATCAGAACTTCGCCTGCATAAAGATACAATCTCCACCTTCAGCATCTCTACTAAGACGAAAACACATTAACTCAGAGTGTAAATGTTGACCATGCGGGCATTTGCAGTGTGACTTACCAAACCTCAGCCTGGCTCTGATACACTCCTGAGGGACGTAAATAAACACCCAAATGATGCAGAGGTTAAAAAAAAGAATAGAATAACTGTATTGCTGTGTGGATATCTCATATTTTAGGATGATTAACCAGTTTGAAAAATTAGAGAAAAGTATTACACTTGGCCATATTTATATTTTGGGATTGTAATCAAAAGTTGGAAAAAATATCTTAACTTCCAGGGTGAGTTGTTAACTGTCAAGATTGAATTATTTATCTTCACTACACGTTCATGGAAGAGCATTGTGGAGTAACTGAAAACGGGTTTATTCATACTTATGAGACCACTAAAGCTAACAAAAATATCTCGAAAGAGTTTTAAAGAAGACGTCAAGAATGTGACTGTTTTGGTATTCCACCAGTCAGACTGCCCCCCACCCCCTCACCCCTACTGAAGTGAATCATGAATAATAGAAGGTGAATGGAACAAAAATACACTTCTTCTGATGTGCAAAAGTGTTTGTACACTGAGGAGAACCTGATGCGTGTTGGGGGGACTGGTTTCACTGTTGTGATTCGTGTCTGAACTGGCAAAGATTAAGATGATGTGACCTGCCAGCTGTTACCAGCTGTTACATGAGGTGCCAGATATTCAAAGAAATGAAATGATCCATAAAAGAAGAGATCTCTAGTTTTTGCTGGAGTGGCTTCTCATCATGTGTTGTTGTTGTTGTTGTTATTCTTATTTTCCATTCTTTGTCAAGTTTGTTTTCCTAGATTGAACAACGGCTCCTTCTACTAAATGCAGCTTATTATGTGAATGTGTTTGGTTCACATTTCCCACTTTGAGTCTTTTCAAAATTTCCCTTCAGAGCGTGTTTACTGTTGAATAGAAAGCTGGCCACTTTAGCGTAACAATGGATTTGAACTTATAGCCGTAGAATCTATGATCAGGACATCTGTCAGCAAATTCAGTCCAAAGAGAAAGTGTTTCACACAGCAACACAGTGTTCCTGAGTACATAAGTCATTCTACCAAAGACGTATTAAGGTAATGTTTTGGAATGGCCACATCAAACCCTGACTGGAATCCAGTGAAAATGTTGTGAATGGAGAACTGAGCTGTATTTATTCTGGGCCAGTACCAGGACTGATCAACAGTTACTGCGAATGTTAAGTTGCAGTTATTTCAGCTTGAGGGTGTCCCACCGGATACCAAAGGCAAAGGTTCACATGCTTTTGTCCCTCTAACCTTTGGATAATTTCCCTTTAAAGACAGAATATTTTCTTTGTGTACAGTTGGGTTCTCTTTCTCCCCATTTTAACTTGTCAAGGTCTCAAAATGTTTCGCTCACAAAAAAGATATTGAACAATCTGAAAGTTTTTTTTACATCATCATACTATGTAGTCTGATTGTGAAAAGTTCAAATAGAAAAAGTTTTGCTCTCATTCAGTCTTATTTCCCAGATGGGCCTCTGTTTAGATTATGTGTGTGTTCATGGCCACATATAACAGTTATAAAAAGGCTCGTCGAAGCATACAGTGATACCAAACAAATTTACACACTGCGTTTCTGGTATTGAACTCTTTTCTTCATGGTAAACGAGAGTGAAATAGAATTGAATGTTGTTTATTGGTGAGCAGTGTTAAAAACCGAGTCCGAAATCCTATGGAACAAACACAGTTAGGTCCTGCGCATTTGATGAAGAAACACAATACGCTGTGGTTGGCTGTCAATACGCCTGCTCTCTAGCTTCAGTCATATCACTTTACTGTTGAATTTAGTGTAATTTTGTTGTCTTCATATGGCCCCAAGCAACTAATTATAGCATTCATACTGTAGTCTGTCTAAAGGATTAAGTTTCCAAAGGCAGACACTGACGGTTCCAGAGGACCACCCTCATCCTCTCTGTTGATCTGTCTCCCCCAGTGTGGTCATATTGCATGCAAACTCCCTGTCTGTGTGTGAGTATATGTCCGCACATGTTTAAGGACACGCTGGTCGGCATGTAAAGCAGGAGCTTCACAAACATAAATGTCTGGTTAGGATTCTGTGAGTTCAGGTCAGGGTTGTTGTTTTTTTGTGGCTGTTGCTTGTCCCTTAAATAAAAACCCATCCAAGCCAACTACACGTCATATTCTGTGAGCTGAAGTTGGCTCCGTTCTCCCTCCTCCTGCTCCTGTTGCGCTTATCCTTACTACAACCTCCCACTCAATGATTTATAACACACCCAGCTTTATTCCTTGGCCTCAGCAGCTGCCTAATAGTAAACAGGTAAAGAACCAGAATGCATGGAAGCAAATACATGCGTGTAAGCTCAGAAAGCGCGCCGATAAAAGCAGCCATTGTTTCCAGTTTTTATACAGTCTCTGGCTTGTCTGAGAGGGAGTCATGCAAGACCATAAAGCACATTATAATCTTAATTTACTGCAAATTGTTCCCTGCCATTTTAATGTCTATTAATGACTTTAATACAATGTTTATTGTTTTCAAATGGGATTTCTTCCTTTTGCTCAAATTGCACGGTGTATCTAAATGGGCATACCGTAACAAAATCTTTTTATAGCGTCGTAATGTCTCATGTGGGAAGAAATAAAAACAACAGATTTTTTTGTTTTTCTTCGTAAGAAGTGTATAGGAGCGTGTGTGTGTGTCTGTCGGGAGAAAATGCCACCCATGCAGCTCCTTACCGCTGCCGTGTGATTAATGGACAGGCTTTTTTGCTGAGAGATGCTGATTACGAGATGTTTTGACTAAGATCTGATTAGCCAAGCCAAAGGCCTATTTTATTACACACAAAACATTCCACTTACTGGTCCTGTGTTCCACTGAGTGTCCCTCATTAAGTGCTGAGTGTGGTTGGATCTCCCGTCTGTGAACCACTCTCCCTGTTTTACATTTGTCAGATACTCCCACACTTCACTGTGGTGTGGTGTTTGTGTCCCTGTGATGACAGCTGAGCTGCCGTAAAACCGAGTCTCCAGAATGATTAACAGTTTAGGTCCCGCATTCACAAAAACAATGTATTGGGATAACTTGAACTTGAATTTGTTGTCCTCAGTGTGTTTTCACAACTGTGGCTCCAAGCTGCTGCGCGGGGCTCTTTGCAACAGCAGTGAAACCGTTTAGCAGCCATGATTTATCTTAGAGTGACGTGAATGTAATTCAATTGTCCTCGCCCATGAAGAAAACACACATGAAGGATGCTGTTGTTATTGTGGGCCACCAGGCTGCGTGGCCAGGGTGGGAAGATCATTGTTTCTGGGCGTTTGTCTCTTGTGGTAAATTTTCCAGCTTCACCCCTCCTATAATAAAGAAAAATAAACGCTCTTCATCATCCCTTTTCCCTGCCATGTTTTCTCCCTCCCTCTTTAATGGTCGTGCTGTGGATGTTCATGGCCTCTCGTCTCCTTGTCTGTGATGCTTGTTGTGGGCTGTCTGTGGGTGCATTTAAAAGTGCTCCCCCAGCAGCGGTCGAGCCACAGAACAAACGTGTCTGACACTGAGTGGCTCGGCAGGCTCGCGGGGCATCAACGGCGTCTGCTCCTAATTGGGGGAAAATTCATGGCACATGGAGCCTGCTTGTCGGGGGCTGGTAAGGTGGTGTAACACCTCCCCATTTTCCCCTGTTGTTGTGGTGCCACTGATGAGGCACTGCAGGCTGGAAGCCAGCATTCTGTTCCCCAAGACTAATGGATAATGTTTTATGATACACCCACACTTACCATCTTTGTTGTAGTCTCAGTCTGTGCATTTTTTTTTTTTTTTTTTTTTTTTTACAAAACTGGAGCGAATAGGATAAGCTTACAAGTGGAAAATAAAATCATTGTGCTCCGCTAAAGCGAGCAGTTTAGTGGTGGGGGTCCAGTCCATCCTGAGGAGTTAAAGATGGCAGAGGCTGCTTATGTTGCAGCTCTTGGCTCATGGGTGTATGGCAAACTTTGTTCTGTTCCATCATGAAAAATTAAATGTGCAGCTCCACCAATTTAGAGCCAATGACACTATCATACGTTTAACTCCACGTGCACGTGCTCTACAGTTACCATATCATGGGTAGTAAAATCCTGTTTGGATACTTTGTCTTTAAATAGATAAGTGGTTTATGTAAGACTCTTTTTTCTAAACATTCAAGACAAATTGTGTATCTTTGGACATTTTTCTTCCTGTCACCTTCCAGGCCCTCAAATGATGCATTGTTAATATGGTAGTAAATAAAGATGAATAAAATGTCAGCAGTCCGCCAGTAAAGGTGACCTCTGAACTCAGCATATACTGTAGCTCTGAGGTTCATCCATCAGTTTGACTTCTAGGCTAATTTATCACAAAACACTCACTCTGACTTAGCTCATGTGGCTAATGTCTCATACTCAGCCCCTATGCTGTAATGCTACTGTAAGAATACCCTCACCATTAAACTTATATTGTCCAAGCCATTTCAACATCACATAATGCTGCATGTTTAATAGATAGTTTTACACTGATTGTGTAATATGTCCATTTTACATGGAAGAGGCACTCTATTACTAACTACATGTTAGTCTGTTTGGGAACAGCAAAATATATTCACAAAGGTCGGTCCTCTGATAACATATCTAATTACATTAAGGGACCTCACGGACAAAGACAAAGAAAAGTTTGTGTGTCTAAGTCATTTTCCTGGGGGGATTCGGTTCTTACGTAAACATGTAGGACTACTTTACCACTTTCTAGGAAGTGTGATATCTATCAATGAGTAACTGTAATTACAGGCTAAAGCAGTAAAAGGAGCATATTTAAGAAATGCAGCCCTGCATTTCCAGTAAATTGATCAAAAGTCTTGACAATGCGTGGTGAAAGTGAGCGTTTGAAAATTTATTGATGCAGCATCGACATTCTTTTTTATATCTCATCCTCATCACATCCAGTCCAAACTATACCGTCCATTCATTTATGCTCATTATATTCATAAGAGTTGTTTTCACTGCAACAGTTTAGTTTTATTTGGGTGACTTTAAGTACAATTACAGGTCAGTGCTGCTTATCATGCTGGCTTTTGTGTGCTTAACACTGGCATTGACTTGGGATGCTAGAACAAACAGTGCTGGTTATTACAGCTTTAAAACCCCCCCTATTCTCAACACAGTCTGTTCTTTTGAAGTGCCATTAGAAGGATTTTTCCTCTGGGTCTCTGGCTGGGCTTTACCCTATCCCTGTAAAAGAGTGCGGTTTCCCTGCACGCTGCCGGCGGGTCGTTGGCTTACTGGGTGACACTCCCCAGAGCAGTGTGAGGCCTTTCATATGGCTCAGAGGCTGCCTCTGCTGCAGCGAGCCATATTTCAGTCAGTGAAATGAGACAAAAAATCCTGATGGAATGGATGCTTTTTTTTTATCCTGGGAACTTCCTGACCACTTTGTGAAAGGCTTTTATTGTGTCACTCATTGCTGAGCTGTTAGTGGAGTGAAATACTGTATATACAATACGTGGCCTAAAGCTTTTTAATTCTCTGGGTTTAGCCACAAGGGACACACCTTCACATTTACAGCTCAAGATGAAGCCAAAGCTTTTTCTAGTAGCCATTAGGATCCCATCCTGATTGTTAATAAGAAGTGACAATATGTCGACTTTTTAAACTCCTTGGGAATGAAATAATTATCTGCTCTACTTATGAAAATAATCCTGCTTTGCTTTGTTTTTGATCTGCTGTCTTACATAAGCAGCATCATGACAGATTAAATGTGTATGTACTCAGTTAATGTAAATGATCCAATCCCACAGTAGCAGGATTGGTTAATGTTTCTCTCTGAATGATTTGGTACATAACATGCGTGTAATCAATAACAGGAAGATGGGGCCACGATGCCAAATGCCACTCTGCAATAAAAGGCTTTTAATTCATTTTGTTTCTCCGCCTGCAGAACTATATGGTTTTGATGTGCTCATTGACTCCAACCTCAAACCTTGGTTATTAGAAGTTAACCTTTCTCCCTCCCTGTCTTGGTGAGTGACAACTTTATTTTATTCTTTTATTTGTTGTTTCAAGAGCCGATATGTTTATGTTTAAATTTATGCATTTGGCAGACGCTTTTACCCAAAGCGACTTACAGAGTAGACACAATATTACATTTATCGTCACTATGACAATAAACTATACAGAGGAGAAACACTAATCAGAGTCAGTGGCGACATAGAGATAGAGGTAGAGGGGACCACAGAAGGAGCTATGGGGGGGATAGAGGCACGGGTTAGGATTAGGATAGGAGATGCTCTTTGAAGAGGTAGCCCCGTCCCGGTAGCCTCCGGTAGTCCCCGGTAGCCCCCGGTCCCCCGGTAGCCCGGTAGCCCCCGGTCCCCCGGTAGTGTCTCATTGGACCAATAATGAATAAATAGCTCCCATATATCTCTATATAGATATATCTATATATTTTGTAGTTTTCTTTTGTGTTTTTTATTTTTAATTTTGTTTAATCTATTTTGTGCTTAATTACAGTGATGCACCGTTGGATCTGAAGATAAAAGCCAGTATGATAGCAGACATGCTTTCCCTTGTGGGTGAGTGCATATTAACCAAACCAGTGAATATTCATCAGTTTTAACACTTGAACTTACACTTCAGCTCATATAAATTCAGTGCTCGTAATTTTTTATTTTTCAATTTTTTATTATTTAACCTTCCTCTAGTATTAGTGTCGGCACCGACCCGTTTTTAGTTAATCTCTAGAGGATCACCAGCCACAAAAGTCCAAACAACAACAAGATACAAATGTTCACTGTACACAATGGTATAGATAAAGATAACTGCTACTATGATGCAAAGAATACTAGACCTTCAAGATTGACTGAATCAGTTGTGTGTTTAACATTATGTGCCAGCTTGCTTGTAAAATATCATCACCATAATCGATTTAAGACAAAAACGTAGTGGCTGGAAGCTTTTTTTTGCTTTGAATCACAAACACAAATGAATTGTGGAATAAAACTCTGAACCCGCTCTCTATATACATACTGTACATACAAATATATCTATATATATAGATATATGGGTTTATGTATATTTTCTATCCATTTAAATGTATATATTTGCATTTCCAAATGTGTTGCAGCTAGTTTTCCAGTCTTGTAACCAGCATGTTTTAAGATGATGGGGACAATAATCTATTGTTTAATGTTTTCCTGCATTCCACAAGTTGAGTTTGCGCAAACTGCTGAAAATAGTTGTACGACTTCAAACCCAGTGGTTCAGTGTTTAGAGAATAAACCACAGCCCTTATTAATGAACATTAAATTACTTGGGGATAAAATTGTCAACACAGGCTTTAGTGTTGTTTTTTGTAGTCATTAACTCTGAGCCGAGGGCAGAGATCAGCACTGTATTTATAACACTGTTGGGAAGCAGTGAAAGATAAGTATCTCTGTTCGGTCTCCTCCCTTTTTGATTATTGATTTCTTTGTCGGAAGAAGAGCTGAGAAATGCTAAACTAAGATTAGTCAGAAACCTGTACTAGCAACACATACAGAAATATGCACATACCGCCTTGAGTTTTTGTGTTTTTTCTCGTAGAAATAAAAGGAAAAAAATCTTAAAACTTTAAGTAATCCTCAGCTTTGTCCTTATCATTATTTACATTATAGGCTGAGCCCACTAAAGAACAGGTATCTATCTAAAGTGGCACCGAGTCATTTTTCTGTTGATGGTCTCGGTTTAATGATATTAGGGGAATGGCTGTTTCATGCATGTGTGCACGAATGCATGCTAAAATATGTGTACATCTTTCTCTGGGCCATGCTGTGGCTTGAACCCCCCCCCCCCCCCCCACGCTCATTAAATGAAAGAGTAGAATCATAAATTGCCAGTTATCTTTGGACGGAGACGCTCCTGCGGGTCTGGGGAAAATGAGCAGTGGCATGTAAAACACAGCACATCTATTATGTACCAAACAAACTAAGTCGCTGTTGGCTGATAACACTTGGGCTGCATCCCAGACCTGTAAATAATGACAGCATTCCATTAGCATTCATTTTCCGCCTGCGTGCAACTGTCAGCTCCATGTCGCCCGTGTTTTTTAATAATTGCTGTGTTTAGGCACAGGATGGCAGGGGCCTGATTTTTGCCCGATGGCTTTTAGGAGATTGAATAAACAGCCTTAAGCTCAGAGCTGTATACCAGGATCCTGACTGAGCTTCGGATGAGTTTGGGAATCAATAAACAGAGGATTTCCGTCTTGTGCCTTTGACAGGGTGTGACCGCCTTCATGATAAACACAAAGTGATGAATATAATGAACTTGAAAATAAATATTCAGTGGTATAAATCATCATGTGTGTGCAGAAGATAGTGCAGTGTATTTGGAAACTTCATTAGTGAGATCAGCAATGCTTTCAGAATTGCTGGCTCAGCCTAATTATAGAGAAGGCTGGCGACAAGAGGAAACTGGATCACAACGGTAAGAAATTTCACCAACCAATGACTCTCAAACTCATAATTTAGCATGCTGTAACTTACTGTAATAAAATTAAATTGTATGAACGAAGTGTTTTTACTTGCTGCTGGTTAACTGCTCAGTGTGTTTCCTCTGTCTGCACTTCAGACTTACCTCAGTGAATAAGCCTCTGGCTTCAGATTTAATGCATAGATATGCAAGTTCAGATTTTTCTGAGGTAATTCAGAATTGCCAACTACTTTGAGTATTGCCTTGTTATGCTTCTTTATACTTTGGCTCAACTTCGCTGCAGAGGGAGATAAAGGGCCTCTCTGTGCAGAGCTGGCGTGCTCTACCAGTGGCTGTGTGTGTTTTCTGGGGGGCACTCAGGCTTTCTCTCCAACTCCAGGAAAAAACTCTCAGGTTAATTGTTGATTGTGAGTTGACCCAGCTATGAGTGCCAGCTTTCAGGGTTGTGAGGCTTGCTTGTTTCTGTGTTGACCGTGTGATGGATCAGTTAGCCAGTCACGGTGTAGACCGCCTCTCACCCAATGGCCGTCGCAGCAGGCTCCGGCCCCCCCAAACCTGACAAGATGAAGCCCGTGGATGTTAATCATGAAAGTAATGGTTTTAAAGCGTTTAGTGTTTAGAAAGATTTAAATCGTTTTCTCGCACATTACGTTTTTAAGTCTGTAATCTGCAACAATAAAAGCAAATCGGCGAGTTAACAGCAGCAACAAATAGTGCTTTCTTTCTTGAATATTTTCACAGAACTAAATTTTAGATATTTCAAAATGACTGAAAAAAAAACCAAATCACAGAAAACCAATAAACATTTTCCTGGAATCACTATGTGTAAAAATCTGCATTGGAAGTACATAAAAGCCTCTGGACCCACAGCAGCAAGAACAGTAACGTGCACCTCTCAGAGCTTCAGTGATAACTTACTAATAACTGATAGAACGATAAATCATCGTTAGTGACTGATCATCTACTTTAAAAATGTCGACTGACTTCGCTGCAGAAAGTTATGCAGATGTACTTGGGTTAGGGCTATATTTCTTCATGTAAAACTTCTTCTACTGATTTCTCTGTGAATTTTTAAAGATTGAGACAGTTTAGACAACTAAGCAGGAGAGCCTGTCTGTGGTCTGCATCGGGGGGCTGTGGGTGCTTTGGGCAGCAGTCTGTCACCATGTCAAAACAGAACCGTGCCTAATATATGTATGATACAAGGCCTTTGATTTGCTTGATATATTGTCTCCTTGTCCCATATATTACACTTGTGTGTAATATACACTTGTTTGTGTGTCTTGCACAAACATTGAAGAAGTGATGCAATATGTGAGGTCGTGGGAGTGAGTAACAGTTTAAAAACAGATTGTGATTGATATACCCCTTTGTGGTTCCTCTGTGTCTCCGCAGGCTTTGTGTGTCAGGACCCCCTATCGAGACAGCCCCGCTCTGACAGAGTCCCCCATGACAAGCACCAGACAGGCCTAAGACCACAGGTAGAGAACGCTTCCATGCACGCAGACCTGTGCGCTCACCTTTCCTCGTGGAACACCCTTCTCTTCGCTCCCTTTGTTTCCCTCAGTACATTCCTGCCCCTGCCAGTGCGCTTTTCTCTTAGCCTCATGGAAAATTCACCGTAATGCAAAACAATTGCTAATGTAATTACTGTGTTTGAGTGACATCAGTTTGTACGAACTACACGCTGCGCCTTATTGTTTTATCATTTCTAATCAAATGAGTAATGTTCTCTATGGGTCGTGTTGCTTAATGATGCCACAACAGCGAATGTATTTGGCTCTTTCGCCCGACTACTGCACCAAGTTTTGACGCAGCGCTGCTGGAGAAAGATTACTAAACTGGACAGATTTCTGCTCCACCTAAAATGTGTTTAGGAGCTTGTTTAGACATACAGTAACAATGTTTCATCATAGCACGCTGATGTGGTTTGCATACTGTCTGCATGTGCCTCTGTGAGGGCGAAACAGTAATGCTGATGCAATGTCTTCACTCAGAAATGTTTTTCTGCACCGACAGCCACTGCACACTGCAGACTGGTAAGTTTTGTTCAGACTTAGACACATTAATCTTCTTTTGCCCTGTCCCTTTGCAATTCCCTGATGCCTTTTTTACATTACTGGAAAGAGACTGCTTGATGCTTTTTGCTGATTTCATTATGTGGCTTTACAATTTTTCATTGTGACAGAAAGATGGCTCATATCGATTCCTAATGCTTTAATAGAATTCTCATTACATTAGCGAAATGAACTTTGTAAGCAAGTACCATTGGTGCTGCAATGCACCACTTTACTAAAAAGGTCAGGAGTTCCGTTGTACCGTGCTTCAGTTCTAAACCAGGGTTGTCACAGAGGCTGTTTAAGAACATGGGGCCTACTAAGAACCTGTCCTTCCCTCTCACTCTGATCAGGGGCAACAGTTGAGGCTTTTTCAAAGGGATCATTTTTTGGCTGCTTATGTACCGCTCCCCCCCTCCACCTCCCAGTGGTGTCAGTCAAATTAAACATAATCCCCTGCTATTAAGTTGACAAATTTAGTATGTGATCGTGTGGGGTTGTGCCCCACTATCTGGCCCAAGTTCCAAAGTGCGTGCCAAAGTTGTCAATCACAGAGGCCGCCAAGAATACAAAAGCATCACAAAAATGCTCTATTTCTGTAGCAGGCTGAAAGGAGAAGGGGGCGGATCTGACAAGCAGCAATGTAGTTTTCACATTTTTCATTCATAAATGGAGATGAGACGCATGGATGTGCATTAATGATGTTTTAAAAGTTTATAACCCTAAAAACATACATCAAGTAAAAAAACAGAAAAGATAACACTGATTTCTGACAAACCAAAACAGAACGCAGAAAACACATTTTCCTTTTGGATATATTTGCTCATTTATCATATCTGCTGAACAAAACACGTCTCCAAATAGTGTCAGTGAATGGCCAGTATTTCAGAATATTATTCCTCACCGTAAAATTGCAAAGACTTGAGTATTCCATCATCTACAGACTGAAAAAAAGAATATGGAGACATCTCTATTTACAAAGGACATGGTTTAAGATTAGAACCGGATGCCTGTGATCGTCTGGCCCTCAGGCCAAGGCAGTGCCGCATTAAAATCTGGCCTTTATTGTGTCATGGAAACCCCTACATGAGCTCAGAAAACACTTCCAGGATCACTGACTGGGAGCACAAATCACTTTACCATCCACAGGCGCATGTCAAACCTCCATCACGCACGGAAAAGGCCACATGTTAGCACACTGCTGAGCCAAAGCTTATGTCAAACGAAGTAAATTGAGGTGGAAATCAAACTGGAACAGAAATGTTTTGTTATGTGGATATGCCACATCCTCTGGTGTGACGATGGGAGGTACCTTATGGCTTCTTATCAGCTTGCAATCAGTGTTTATAGAAATGCTGACTGGCCTGATCCCCATGCTGCAGTCTTTGAGAAACACACGGAAACCCACGCGTTGTCCCCAGTGGACTGCTGATACTCAATTTTTTCTATTGAACTTTTTCACTATTTGCCCAGCAAACAGGTCGTTGTTCTGATTTTTGTTCATAAATCAGTATTGATATTTAATGTTATTGTGTCTGATCTTTATCTGTAGCGACAGAGGCCCACGTCAGCCGTTAGCTCAGAAACTGAGGGGTCCAAGGACAAGCAAGGTGCTAAACACAGCCATGGAGACAGCACTTTGAGTCTGACCGCTGAGGAGGTAAGACAGGGTGCACTGGGACTGGTTTGAACAATAAATCATGAAGGGATCTGGGGATGATTTTGTATTAACTTAATCAAGAAATATCACTTTTTTCAAAGCCCTTTTGTTTTCTGTTTTAAATTCAGATCAAAGTGCTGAGGAGGATAAAAGAAGAGTATGAGAGACGAGGAGGTTTTATAAGGATCTTCCCTTCTGCAGATACATGGGAGCTCTATGGGTAATTAGAGCTAAGAAAGAACAGACTGATAATGTTCACTCCATTAAGCGTCTGTATTACTCATTAATGCTCATCTTAGATAAAATGGCTCTAATTATGAACTGATGGAATCATAGTCTTAAAACTAGAGCACTTAACTGCTCCTGGCCATAATTACATGAATTGCCAGACAAATAAAGTAACTGGCAACTGGTTGTTGGAAGATATTTGTCAAACTTAGTGTGTTTCGTTCCATGAAATGATCCCACAGTGAGTTTATATTGAAAGGCCCCCTTTAGAGAGGAAATCCATTTTTTGTTCCTACAATTTATACGCCTTTGCGGGGATTTGTTGCTTGATTAGATCCATGGCTGGGTTTTGTGGCATTTTTAAAAGCATATTATTGAGCGGTCTGGGAAAATATTGCCACACTTAATAGCAACTGCCTCCACAGTTGCAGCATCACAGTGGCCTCGTCTTAACCTATTAGCCACAAATAAGGAGGTCAGGGCTCTTTGAGGCCCATGCATTTATTATTCTTATACTTTTCCTATTATCTTCTTCTCCCAGTGGATATCTGGAGTCCAAGACGTCAATGAACTTCATGTTGGCAAACAGACTTTTCCATGAAAGGTAAGCATTTCCACTGTGGTTGGGAGCAGGGAACAACTCTCCCCATCAGTTAGTGGAAACGCCTGGGTTTTAACGTGGTGTTTGTTTTATCTTTCGATTGGATAGGTGAGGGGAACAGCTGAAAAGATTAGGCCCTGTCAACTTTTCCAGCTCGCGCCCAGTGTCTGTGTGGCATTGTGGTGTTGATCTGGTGGCAGGAGGGGAAAGATTTACCATGTCTTTTTAACTGCAGATCATCGTTGTTGTTATAAAGCTGCATGCATTTAGATGATTTGACTTAATATTGGTTCTCAGGGCTTTAAACACAGCATTGACACAATCACTGCCCCCATCATTGATCAGAGATTTGTCTCCCAATTAAACCCAACTATAAATTTTTATATATCTTTAAATAGAACAAGAATAGTTCTTGCTGTGTCACATCAGTCGCTGTTTTATTTTTCCATTTTCGTTCTCTGCTTTGGATTGTCAAGCCTCTGCACGAGCCACTCAACCTCCCTAACACTTTTCAGATCTGGCCCTGAAATGACAAGCTTTTCTCTGTTTTGTAATTGCTGATTTTCTGCATATGAATCATAATCGCTGTTGTTATTACCACTACGTTGTCACATCTGGCTCCGTCTTTCAGGAATGTGAATGGGAATGTGCAGCTGCAGGTGGACACAGTCCATGGCTGTCATGATGTCCAGTATGAGAGGAAGCTGCTGTCTCTTGAGGCAAGAAAGAGGAGACAGCACCACCTGACTCATCGCTTCACTGCAAGGAAGAAAAAATCGGGTAGGCTTGATGTATCCTGCCTCAGTTCGAAAGACTGTGGCTGCAGTTTGTGGGTCAACATCACATGCTAATGCACTTTTGGTTCCAATAAATAACTCCCCTGTGTCATTGGAAGGTGGGCCAAATATGACTCTGAATGAGTTCATTTCTTTGCAGCAACAATAAAAAGCCTATTTCAAGCCTATGCAGGTTTTTAATCCAAAATGCCAGTGATGCAACTGACATTTGTCTTTTCTTGCACCAATGTATATCCCAGGGAAAGAATCCAAGGCCTCCCTGTCTGAGAATGGCAGTCAGGAGGCAGAGGAGTGTGCTCAGGAGGAAAGACAGGAGGTGAAACAACTTCGTGAGCCAGTCTCACACAGGGCTTTGGTAGCAGAGCAAAGAAAACAAGTGGCCACACCACTGGAGCGCCGCCACAACGAGGCTCTGTCCAGCTCAGAGGCAGCCATGCACAGTGCCAGGCCTACAGTCAACCTGCTCAACATCCTTCAGCAGGGGTGGGACCTCAGGTCAGTCTGTGTTCTGGGCTGCCGCTCATGTTGGCCGCTGCCCTCTTCTTCCTCCCTCTATTTCCATCTCCCTCACATTTCCAGTCTTCCCAACTTAATAAAAATGATTGTGAAGTTGCTTTGACTTGGGGGGATGTGAAGAACTTCAGTCCATGGTTTGTGTTTTCATTGGTTTGTATTAGCTGCGCATGTGTCTTCCTGCGTTACCACAAGAGACAAAATACATAGAGACCTGCAGGGTCTGGTCCCCCACAACACAAATGAACTGCTGCCTCTGAACTGGTGTCTGATCCTTAGCAAATAGTTTCCGATGTGGTTTTGAAAGAAAGAGGTGGCTCATTTCAATTAAAAAGGTGGGTGGCTTATCGTATCAAGTCAGGCTTGCAAAGTATCTGAAGTTTCCAACTTTATGAACATTTTTCTTAAAAGAACAAACCCTGCAACACAATGTCCACTATGAGAATAACATAAACTCTACACACTCATACTTGCACCCAAGACTTTCCTGACGATTTTAAACGTGTGTGTAAAATAATAATTTGTGAAGGAATTACAACAACAAGTCTGAATTTGTAGAAATTCCTCGGCGCCTGCCGGGACTGTGCACAAAGCTCAGAAATTATAGTACAGCCTATCATCGTTTGTGTTTGACAGGTTTTATTAAAACCTTTTCTTTTTTCTTTTCTGGGCCACGATGACAGTTTATCATTATCATGCTGATGGAGGACAAGATACAGTGTCTGTCAACGTCTCTTGTCTGAAAGATATACATGCCTGTTTTTGTTTGTTCACTTTTCCTGGGAGATATGACGGCAAATGGAACGAGTCCAACACCTTGTTCCCACTGTCGAGGCAGATTTATCAGCGATTCCAACGTGAAGTTGTCCTTATTTGATCTATTTATTTGTTTTATTTTTGTTAAAGTTTGTATTGAATTTGGAGTTCTTTGCAACATGAAAAAACATCAGAAACAACAAAATCAGAAGGGAAACAAGTAAAAGATTTTGGCAGCACAGCACATAAGCAGATGAAACTCTAACTCCTTCAGGGCTCCAGCCAAGACATCACCAAATATTGCTAAGAAAATAGAATAAGTGAGAACAAAACAGAAAGACAACTCAAGCTACTCCATATCAGTTTACTGTAAACTTAATTCTTAATCAGTTTGTATGTGAGCCCTCATCTTATTTTGGCTCTCTGTTGGCTTGGAAGTCTCAACCCGTGTATTTACCTAATTAATTTAGCCTATCTCCAGCATCAGAAAAACCTGGTAGTTATGCTTTGATGCATTGTGTATTTGTTAACTCGAGTTGTTTTATTCGGAGCCTGTTTTGTGCTTCAAATTTACGTTTAATTTGTAAAGTAGGTTATATGAATTACTACTTCTTATTTTGCATCTTTCTCTACCTTTACAGTTTTTGATTGGTTTTCTCTGCTCTGCTTTTGCCTCTTCTCTTCAGCAAAGTGCAGGCCCGGATTGCTTTTTCCTCTTACTTGCAGCGGGTCCAGCAAAGGCTGTTAGCAGAGAACAGAGCCAACGCCGTGCCAGCTTGGCCCGAGAAGGACAACGACCAAATGGTAAAATCTTAAGCATTTTTAAATCTTCTTTTACTGATAATTAGAGGGGGTGGAATACCCTGAAGCATTGTTTCCCTAGTATGTGCTTTATTTTCCTAATCATTACACTGTCACTCATGTGTAATACTGCTGTAGCTGAAATGTGAATGAGACATTTGTGGCCACATTGAAGGAAAAATCGGACCATAAAAGTGAGTCTGATTGGAAAGTCTGCTTTGTAATAGCATACATCATCATCATCACTGACCTCAAACGTTTCAGGAAAGTCAGTGTGGACTCCAAACAGTCTCCTTTAAGTTTAAACGTTTTCGAGGAGGCGTTGAAGGCTGAAAGGAGAAAGTGCCCACTGCGTAAAGCGCAACATGATGATTCAGTTATTCAGGACAGTCGCAGATATCGACTGTGTTTTAATACATATATTTTTACGCACAGGAACTGGTGATCCGATTCCTTAGAAGAGCCGCCAGCAATCTCCAGCAGGACATAAAGGTCATTTTGCCCAATCGCCAGTTACCTCTCCAAGACCGACGACGCATCCTATCCCAGCAGCTAGGGGAGTTTATCCACTGTTACAACCAGGTAACCCTTCCTAGAACTTACTTTAATCGCTAAAATGCACTTTTGAGACACTGTGCTCAGAGTAACAGCGACTGTCTTTTTCTCCTCCTCTTAGGAAACTGAGCACATAGTGAAAAAACAGGAGAAAAGCAACGAGGCGCATTGTGTTAACCACAGTGTATTTCAAGAGTACATTTCTACAGCGAGGTTTGTGGATTTGAGTGCTCGCTGACTTCTGTTCGCTTACGACATAATATGAGTCTGGTAAATACATTCACATCACTTTTTTCCCCCTTTCATTTACAGTGAAAATGAGCTGGAGGAAGTCCTGACATACTATACACAGAAAAATAAATCGGCCACCGTCTTCCTTGGATCTAAAGTCAGAGGTGTTAGGAGAGACGCTCGTGACATCAATTTCCCAGAAGATTCAGGCAGTGGCGATCACTCCAAATGTGAGCTCCAGCCATGTTTTTCTGGTCATAAGTCTGGTTTGTATTGAATTCCATCTCATTCAAGCTCAGTAAATAAGAATTGTTTATGTTTGAAACCCAAAAAATGAGAAGAGGGAAAAAATCATTTGAGGTGAAGAGCAGGTCAGCTTCAAATGATTAGAGCTCATTGTGGGAAAACAAATGTGTGTCAGAGCTGAGGAATGGCTAACCGATGATAAGAGGGCTCTGGCTTCTTTCCTCTTTGAACAGCTCTGCCTGTGGCCAAAGAGGATTCGAGTGCTTCAGAGTCTTCATTCTCAACAGGGAAAGTCAGCAGTGACCCAGACATGAAGGCCACAGAGAGTCAGTCGTCTGTGCTGCCTGCAGACCGACAGGCGGAGGTTACGACAGGTAACATTCAGCCAGATGTCCAGTCGTCTCAGCACGCCTCCAGTTTTCCCCTGACTTTAGACTGCACGCACATTCATCCGCAGCGCTGCGCTCATGATCCAGCATCTGTTCCTCTTCACTGCCCACCACCGCCACCTCCTCCTCAGCCTCCGTCCTATGCACAGTCCCTGGCAAAGTCCCACTTTTACCACTCAGAGAACCATTCTGACCCTCCTGCATATACCCCTGCCCCTGTGGTCACACCGCCTCCAAAAGTTATGTGGAAGGCAATGCCCCCTGGCCCCACTTCCGTGACTATGGGACAATCAAACCAGGTGCTTAGAAGGATTAAATCTTTTACTATGTACACATCCAGCTCTGGAAAGGCCTCCTCAGTCCCAAGTGCCACGCAAATCTATTGCCAGAAGGCGTCTAGACCCACATCTGCAGGACAAGGTAAGCTTACTCCCCTAAATGCAGCATTACAACCGACTAACAGTAATATCATCTGCCTTTTTCTTTTTGGTTTTTCAGTGATCAAGAGGAGCAGTTCCAGCAATCTCAAGTCAAACTCAGTGGGGGCTTTCAAAGACTTACATTCTCTGTCTGCCCAGGCACAATCTAACCAGCAGGCCTTCATCTCAGCCCTGCAGAAACTGGCAGATAAGCAGGTTGCTCGTCACTATGCCAGCTCCAGTCATGTTAACCTGCTGACCCAACATGTAAGCTTATTGTGCACTAAATTATAACAACTACTTTGAGTTAAGTTATGTTAAGTTATTAAGCAACTGTAAGATGATCTGTGTGATGTGCCAAGCGCAGAAAAAGAATCTGGCCCTCTGCAGAAGCCTCTCACTGTGAGGTCTTTGATATTTCTCTTTGTTGATGCGTAAATCTGGCTCTGGCCCCATGCTGATGAGCGGCATCTAGCCACTCATTCTTTCAACAGACCTGTTGGAGCCGGAGGGTCTGCTGCCTCGCACTGCGCACCTTCAGCCCTCAGCTCGCCTGCAGTCTGTGGGCTGGGGCTGCTGTGGGGGTGGGTCTGGAACTGTAGTTTGAAGTTGGCCGGCCTAAACAGTGGTGAGCCGCATCAAGCCTTAGCTCCGTGTGAGGTCTCATTATCAGATGCACCATGGGGGAGTGATTTCTGTTGATACTTAACAGGCAGGCACTTTTTTTGTGGTAATTGAAGCTTTAAAATAGAGGAATGTGGCAAATTGGCACTGAGCAGAGGAGTGGCAGCTTGGCTGGCTCCATCACCACCTTGTCCTGTATTCCCTGATGGTTTGGGAACCCCTCTACCTTACCTCCCTCATCTTTCTCCCCACCTCTTCCTCTGCCTCACTGAATTTTTCCTTTTTTTTCCTGTCAGTTTTTTCTGTGATGGCACCGGACCACACAGACAGCAGTTTTTTATGGCTTCCCTCTGACTGTACATTATTCTGTCTATCTGAAAAGAGTTTGCTGTATTTTCTTGGGGAAGTTAATCCAGGACATGGCAGCGGCTTAGTCAAATACTGCAGTGTTTGGCACTTAAAAGCTCAGAGAACATGTAGTCTTTTTCAGGGCTTTGAATTTAAGTCATTAAATCACTCGCTGGGCTAAATGGAGAACTTTGTAAACATGAACGACGCGGGGGTGTGCAGTTGACCTTGGGGTTTAAGTGATTACTCACTCTCTTGCTTGGCCACATAAACAGATAGAGAGGTTGAACATGAGTAAAACCAGGCACGGTCACCATCACCATCCTACTTTGTTCAGGATGCACTAATTATGATGGTAGATCCCTCCAGTGTGTGAGTACATTTATGCCCACACTAAACAGACAGCCTTTTAATATACAAATAATTCATTTGAGATGACAACCCCAGTGAAGGGGTGGAGGGCGGGGGGTGACTTATCATAAATTATCTCATACAAACAAAAGAGAGACACAATCATAATAATACATAGACTTATTCATATACTGACATAATCACAGTTTCTTGATGAATCTCAGCAAACATTCACATCATTTGCATGTTCATACTTTACATTAGATTAAACCTGGCTAATAATATGTCCGATTTACCGTAACAAGTAAACTAGCGCTGTGGCCTTGCAACAGCACGCTGACGCATTTCTCCTCTATCCTCCACACTGTGCAAGACTTGGCAGCTCTTCCATTTTCCCATAGGACATTTAGTGCACAGGAGGAAATAAAGTAAATAAAGTACCGCAGTGGTATGATTAATTTTCCCATTAGATTTTACTGAACATAATTCTATGGTGAGTACGGAGCAGCACAGCAGTGCATTTTCTTCAGAAGTGCTGATGTGGTTTCAAACATATTTGACCTGGGGAGTCATGATAACTGATTCTGTTAAGGACGGAGGAAGGGGGGTTCAGCTGGATTCACTACTAAACAGAGACTAGCTGTGCCATGTGCTGTGTGTACATTTCACAGAGATACAAGAGACAGAAGTGGTTAATGGAGGGAGGGTTTCGTCTGTTTGTGGAGTTCTCCAGGAGCTGGACGTTTGGTTAAAGTGACATCACTTTCGTAGTTGCCGAGTGATTTCATTTGTTCAAAGGAATCATCTATTCAAGTGCCCCTCCCTTTTTACAGCTGACCAACCTCAACCTGGCCAACAGAGTGTTGACCAGAGAGAGTTTCAACCTGAATCCTAAAACTACTGCAACCCAAGGGCCCATGAGAGCTGTTCACTCTGCAACAGATCAGCTGAGCTGCGCAGGGTGAGTTCAAGAAAATGCAGCACATACAAAGTTATTCAAGGTCCCCCACAGACACGTATCAGCACATAACAGTTATCTGCTCTGAATGACATTAATCTGACATGGGATTTTAATTATATGGTTCGATTATGCACTTGTGAACTGCAAAATAATCTCCCTCAACTGTCTCAAACTGTTTTGAGGGGGGATGAGATTGAATTTCCCCCCCAACAGACGAATTTGAGAACAACATTCGGTGCCAAACTCTGCACAGTAAAGCTCAGATATCCAGTAACCAAAACCCATCTCCTCTTGTGCCATCGCTTTGATGGACTGTGTGTTATTACTCTACAATTTCAGCATCTTTAGTAGTATATACATATCCATTTTCGGATTTGTAGTAGAATGCATACTTTATTGTAAGGTGACCTACCCTTCAAACATAAGATCCTGGAGTTTCATGATGGAAGAAAACAACAAGTGGGTGCATGGAGTCAAAAATCCATGTGAGAAAAAGAAACAACTCATGCATGACACTTGGCTTCTTTAGAGTTGCTTCAGAAATGTTCCTGTCACCAAACTGCTCCACTCCCCTCACACTTCATCTCTGCTCCCGTATTCCTAGTTTTGGTCAGCTCTGCTGCCATACATTTGCTGTGCCGTGAGACAACACAGATAATAACACCCTACAGCGTCAGTGGGGTTCAATGCCAAGGTAAACCGCTGTCCCTCCCCTGTCAGATGCTGTGTTGATGTACGCACAGCCGCTCTTGTTTATCAGGGTTTGTTATGAGGCTTAAAGATTCAAACCCTGTCATTAACATAGCTCTTTTCATACATAAAAACTGATGTTTGTGCAGGCTATAGGAAAGCTGTCCAGGTATTAAATCTAGTTCACTTGAACCAAATCACTGTTCTGAGGATTTTCTGTATCATCAATTTTATTTTTACTTTGCCTTAGACGTTTAAATGGTGGTAGCCTTGTTGGTCACACTCAATAGAGTCTGAAGGCCTTTTTAATGATCTCTAGATTGAAGATTGTTGGTCTTTGGAAAAGAATTGTGGTGCGCCAACGCCCCTCTCTGAAGGCTAATTCAACTCCATGTCTGGAAATGATGGGCATTTTGTTCTATTTTTAATTGGGCTTTGTGGAACTAAGTAGCAGAAGAATTGGCTGCAGAGAACCTTCAGTGTGTAAAGCATGCTGGCAGCTTCGAACCTTGTGTTGGAAAGGTGCTGGAGGCAGTGGTGCAATGTCAATATTCACAAAGTCTGTCTCGACTCTCGCATACAAATTCCCCTTTCCTCACCTCTGTCAAATTATTCTAAGAGGAGGAAGGAAACAGATGGACAGAAAATGATGACATTGTCACAGTGTTTGGCAGCACACAAGGATTATAGGCCTACACGTGATTGAGGGTATAATTCAACGGTCTCCTCTTTTCTTTTTCTTTTAATGTGTGAGTGGCAATGTCTCAGACAGCTTGGCCCTGATCGTGGACTCTGTTTTTCCAGTCCAGCCCTTAAATGTATTGAGCTGTCAGGGTATTCCAGGAATGTCTGGCCGTTTCCCTTTTTAAAATGTTTTTATTTCCAGAAACCAAGAAGTGACTTTTAATAGATTTTATAATTTTACAGATGGCTTCATCTAACTTTTATATGACACTCTGGAAACAGAAATCACATCTTGAGTGATCCAGAGCTGTGATGGATCACATTTTTGTTCTGTGATTTTAGACATTTCATTCACATAGATTGTATTTTTTTCTTCTTTCATCAGAGAATAAATGTTAGGACGGGTGTACCTTACAACTTTTCACAATTCAGCATAATAATTCCAAGGTTTGGAGAGAAACTGGCCTGTCACACAAAAAGACCTCTTGTGCCTCAGCCCCCGGTTTGGCATTATTGTGCCGAAACGTTTTTAACAAGATATTAGGATAAATTGTCTTGATTTCATCCCGACTCTGTTTCTTAAAACACAGAATTTCCTGAGTCCCCTCCCCCTGCACTCGGGCTGATGGTTTGTGCCAAACATACTGAAACTGTTAAGCACACTGGCTCTTTTAGCAACCACAGGGGTGAAGTGTGATGGGTTTCAAAGAGTAGCACGGCTCTTTGAAGTGCTGCTGCCAGGATCTAACAGGTATGCTGCATCAGCACTCTCTGAACTCCTGCCTAAATCCTGTGTGCTGACAATCAAAGGGCTTAGAACCGTACGCCATGTGCTCATGCCCCGACAGTTAAAGTGACCACTTCCGGTGTTGGACATCCGAGCGCCGGTGAAGTGAAGGGAGCTGAATAAAACACTGGCGTTAAAGACGGATCAGGGTGATTCAGAGATCGAGTTGCTGCATAGTTGTTGCACTTGCCTGTTGCTAATTTTGTCTCGTTGAACCTGGTAAATAAGTACTTGTCGAGGCTTTGATTTGCTAGAAGAAGTTGAGGTTTTAGTTTGTGGTGGACCTCCATGTAGGTTTTAAATTAAGTAAGCAGCTGGGACTGTTGGGTTTTCACCATTTGCATTAGTCGAATAATAAGTTTTCTGAGCTACGTGTCACCTTACCACAAAAATTTCCCCCCTATTTTCTTCCCCCGAAACAGACAAATCGCTGCAAAACTATTATCCTTGCAGTGTTATATTTGCCCCAGCTCCATGACATGAGGAATACCACAACTCTGCTTATCCAGGGTATTTTTAGTTCTGTTCAATACTCGGCTGAAATTGGTGTTTTATTTGGTTGAATGTTGTCAGGACATGCCATTCCAAAGGATTTCATGACCGCCTATTTGCTGAACCAACAATCCACCTAATCAGAAAAACTCTGGTAAAAATGTAAAAATTCTTAGATGGAGGACAAAGTCCCACAAAATTGCTCTGATGACTCTTTTCCTTTGAGTTTAAAAAGAAGAGAAGGGTTTATTCACACTGATTGGAGCCAGATGTGGTAATAGGAAGGAGAACCCTTTAGGTAAGAACCACAGAGTCCAGTGAACAGATTTGATCATTCAGCATAAACAGAAACTCTTAAAGTAACACTGATAGTTAGTAGTTTTGAATTAACATTCAACAAAGTTGAGCCTTTAGCAGACTGTAAACCGAAGTTTTAGGCTCAACCACGTGAACAGGAAGCTCTGCAAAATGATGAGCTGTTATATCATTTTCTTTACAAATAATCATTATGATGGGCCAAGCTATATCAAAACTCCAAGTGGCCATAGTTTATATTTCAAAGATCCTTCCACCTGAGATAAGCATAACAAATTGATTTTAAGGTGTATTTTAAATGCTTTAAAATCCTATGGAATGGGTAACTGGCTGAATTTGAATTATTAAAGAGTGGCTTCTGTTGTTTCTTTGATTCAGAAAAATACATCTCTCATTCATTAAAAAATTGCAGATGAATTAATAACAAAAGTAGTATTGTTGCAAACAGGAACATCCATTATAAGTGGATGGGTTGTGGAAATCAAGCATAGTTCATTAAAATTATTATTTTTTTCTTTCTGGTGTAATATTTAAAAGCTGAGTGTGTATACTTATTTTGAACTGTTCTCATTTACTGATGATGAAATATCTTAATCTTAGGTTATGACTAAATTAGTTCTCTTATAAATTAGTTATTTTATATTTACTTCCTCTTGCCTTTCAGAGGTTAACATAAAACAATAAACATCAGCCCATGATTTAGATTTAAGGATCTTCAAAGTTTTACAGACTACCGGTCGCTGTGAATTAAACTTTTTTCGTAATTAATGGAGCGCTCTCTCATGTTTTGTTGTTGTTCTAAAGCATTACAAGCAAACAATGATTAATGGCTGGAAATACCCTCACACTCTTGAGGCGGCTGATGTTTATACTGACCAGGCAGAACTTTCAGATACTCTGGCATGATGTCATCTTAAGCAGTCCATTTTCCCACATTCGCTCTGAGTTAGATTGATGTTACACATGTGCTCTCGCACCACTCAGTTGTTCAACAGTAAGTTATATCAGCATATTAAAGGATGGCGAGCACTGCGGGGAGTAAACTGACACCTACAAGCAGAAGTCCAGCTGGGAGGGAAGTCCTGGATAGGTGGAGGTCCTCACTCGCACTGTGATGAGAAACTCAGATGTCCAACCGACATTGTCTTTCTTTATTTTTTCTTTGTATTTCAATGGTTGCTATGTTGGACAAAGCTACTTCCTCCTGGTTTTCAGATCCCCATTGATCTGTAGTATTTTTTTGTGTGATTCTATGTTGACAAGACCACTCCATGGGGTTCTACAGTGATACTGTACTCAAGGAAAGCATACACACTCAACTTTAGATAGCCTGTTTAAGACCACGTGCTAATAAAATAGCGGCCCCTTGTGCATTGTGCAGCCAAGTTAGAGGAAATCACTGTTGTAAACAAGGAATGAGTTCTTGTTTTGTCTCCTGGCACTGTAAAATCTCTCGAAATCCAAAGTTTGCAGACAAGCCTTTTTTTTCCAAGGAGCCCCCCCCCCCCCCTGAGTGGCCCTTTATTACACCAGTTGTTTTTGCAATATATGTGCTATTATGTGATCTGAGAAATGCATGGGTGGATAGCATGTTCACATGACTTTAAGATCCCTTGTGTCTTTATTTGGCCTCACAAGACAGACAGACACAAAGGCCTTTTTTTTTTTACTCGAGCGACTCAAGATTATTATCCCACAGTAGGCATTGTTGTCCAAGATTAATTGAATTCTAATTTTAAAGCTTATCATAGTTTGGTTCTAAAAATATTGTGGCTATTGTGATTTTTAGGTCTGCCTTGTTTTCTTTAACGTTTGACCAATGGACAAATGTTATTGCATGAAATGGGAGAAATTTCCAAAAACATTTTGGTGAATTTGTCTCTTTTTTATTGCCATCATAATATTGTTTCTTGCAGCTGCGAGTGGTGCTCTCTCTGAGGTGGTGTATGACGACAGCACGAGGGGGTGGCTGGCCACCTCAGACCTTTAGCAGGGGTGAAACAGGGGGGAAAAAAAGCTTGAGTATAATGACGGATAATCCAGTTACAAACTCGTGCAGCTCGTCAAAAGGTTTGCTTTCCAGGTTGTGGCTTTGTGATGTGAATGGAACGTGAAGCTCAGGGAGCGCTGAGGCAAGGAGGAAAGGCTTTGTAGTTCACTCTATGTTTGCCACAGGCTTGCCCTCTGCTTTGACTCGGATTTGCACACTTTGATTTGACATGTCTGTGGGCCCATCAGGCCAGATAGCAGTGAGCTCCTTTTGAGTTTTTGTTAAACGTTCTGAAGTAAATGTGGAGTGGACCCAAACACAGGTAGCACACTGAAGGCAGGCCAATGGCGAACAGAAACAATCTTGTATTAAACCAGGTGACCAGAGGTACAAAGAGATGAGGAGGCTCAGAGCCTCTGGTATAAGACAAAGGTAGAAAGAGAAATTCCTTAGAACATACAAAGACAAAACAGTTAAAAGCATGGGAAAAAATAAGCTTAATACAGAGATATGATTAGCTACTGCCACATTTCTGGATGGAATGGTAAAACATTTTAATACTTCTCACCTTTCACAGCTTGATGTTGTGGCACCACTGAGCTGTATCCGTCAGTAATGCTGTGAGATTGTTGTCACTTATGACAATTTGAAGGACAGCAAGGTCTTTCAAAAGCAGGACATTTTATTTTCTGTTATTACTTGTTCAAGCAGTATGTGTCCACCATCAAAATTCTTTGTTCACCCAAAGTATTTCTAAAATACGAGAGTTCTCTTCTTGGTACATTTTACCTGCAAGTGGTTTTTACATGATTCAATGTCTTGACCCCTATTTGTTCCTTAACTGTTGCATCAAACACACATACATACACACACACACACACATTAAGTTAAGCATTGTTTTAGCCTTTGTAAATGGAGTTGTTGACACTTGACATTGAGGAACAACAGAGGTTACATTAGTTCAGAAGACAGACTTTGAATCTCAGTTTTTCACTCTTTTCTCTTTGTCATCACTCTCTAAGCCACAGACCGCTGAGGGACGAGGAGGAGATTTGGGATGGGCAGAACAAGGCCGCCTCTAGTCTGGTGCCGGGGGTGAAGCCCATGCAGGGTAATCAGCCAACACAAGGAAACTACCAGCTTCAGTTTGCAATTCAGCAACTTCAACAGCAGAGACTGAAGTCTCATCAGTTTCGGGACCAGGATCACTGCAGACACCAGGTACACAACTGGGTAGCAATTGCTTGTTTTGATAAAAAAGATCAGGGTTTCTTGATCACATTTGACCTTTTTGTTTGTTTTAGTGCACCAATGCTGACCAGCTTACATACTTAATATTCTACAGAAGAAAGCAGCATATATAAACATTTTGAGACTATAACTCAGGAAAACTCTTGTATTTGTGTCTGTTCAAAATAAGTGCTGCCATATTTGCTTTGAAGATGCATCCAGATGAAGAGGAAAGCTTTGATGTTAGCATTTACACGGCTATTCTGTGTCCCTCCTTCCAAACCACTCACATGATGTTTGGTGGGAACATCTATTTCAACAGAGGCTCATTCCTGGAGAGCCAAACATGATTTACCAGCCCCAGTTTGCATAGTTAAGCTGATTGACTTGGCTAGTCTTTTTTTGGAAGGTGAGCAATCAAAGAAAGCTGCCCAGGAAGTACTACAGAGGCCTCGATAAAGATTCCTTTGTGGGTTCCAAGTCTCACGATCAGAGTTTATATCTGATTTAAGATCTATTTATGTTCCCTTTACAACACAAATATAATTGTAGGATATGATTTTCAGAGCAGGATTAATGTAGCGACAAAAAACCCTTTAAGTCATGGCTAACTAGCCATGACAGGAACAGTTTGGCCGATTTAAAAGGGAGATTAAAAAAGGAAAAAAGTGTTGGTCATTTTGAAGCAATTTTGATATTTAGAAGGCAAAAATATATATTTAAAAAGCTTGTGATTCCAGGAAGCATGCGCTAATTCTTCTGAAAATTTTGTGGAATCAACCTATGGATGGCGAGTAGCAGAGGCAGGAAAGTACCATGGTGCAACTTACAGGGCGGAATGATTGGATTCACCCATTTTTTCCATCCTGTCCTGAGTAATGCAGCTGCTCTTACGTCATTGTTTTTCATCATCTTGGTTGGGCCTCAATTAATGCAATTTAGGTGATATTTATTTTGGCTTAGGCTACTAGCCTTAAGAAAGGCAGCTTATGAAAATGATCTTTTGCCTTTGTAAGTTTGGTTGGTCTTCTCTTTGTTTCCTATAGACTGAACACAGTTTACCACAATTTTTTTTGTTCAACATGTTCCAGTGCACAATGCACACTTGTGAGACAAAGATGTTTTGCTGTTTGCCCCCATGAACAGAGGTCAAATGAAGGTTTACTCTGGATTCAGCTGTCTTACCATAAAACCACACATCCCGCCCTAAATTCTCGTCTATTCAGTCCACCTTCAGGGATCCCTCTTGCAGTGTATGCATATCTGAGCTGTTAATGTGCCTTTGCACTATGTACAGCTTGATTGGTCCACAAATTAATGACTGGTCTTTATTTTTCTCTAGAAGTACTGAACAGGGGCTTTGGTCTTTTGGATTAAATTGCATTTCATATCCTTGGCCTCACTGCAAATTATTCATGATCTTGGGTCAACTGAAGACCCCTAAAAATGAGGTTTTCTGTCTATTGTGTGTATATATGGGAATACGTTGTGCTGTGAGAGAAAAAGAGACACCTCTGTTCCGGCGCTCCAGTCAGCGTTCCAGTTACTGGGTGCAGACTCCTCGGCTCCTCGACTGGCTTGGCCCGGGGCCACCTGGCAGCCAAAGAAAGGTGCCCTTCCTGGCCCTGCTCAAACTGAATTGTGGCCATAGGCCTTGCAACCAGGAAACCCGACTTCTCATTTATCAACACAAAAATTACATCAGATATTCTCTGTCACCCCGCTGGCCCTTTGAATGGCTGACACTGTGAAGCTGGAGAGCCATTAGCTTGTTAGATAGCCGTATAAAGCAGCAGAGAAAATAGCACGGACATGAGATGTGGAAGGAATGTATGCAAGCATTCCCCAGCGCTGCACGGACAGAGTAAAATGTGGTTCTAAAATATTAAGTCAGAAAGACAACAGTATTTTACCCCCTTCCCAAGCCTTTGAAAAGCTCTTGCATAAACAAATAAATAACAAGAAGAATTTGCTTGTCAGTGCTGCCAAGTAAAAAAAATGTTAAGCTTGTTTTGATACTGGATGGCATTTTATTAATATCTGCACAGATTCACGTCAGACACTTTGATATTTCTTCTTAATAACTTTTATTTTCCGAGACTAAACCATTTAAAATGCAATCGCCCTTCCCTATTGATTAATTTAGTCTGAAAACCAGCTCTACACACATGGGCATAAGGATGTTTTTATTTCAGCTGTGTGCTTACACAGCCTTACTAATGCCTTGTTATTCAAATTGCTACATACACAATGGAACAGTAATACCTCAGTCTTCAGTCCCTTCATGGCCAGCAATGCTTCTGATAAGCTACAGTTATGTACACTAGCCAGTTCTCTTCCGCTTGATCTGTGTTTTCAGCAGAATACTTGGAAATAAACATGTTTTTGTGTGTTTTTTTTAGACAGATGTGATAGCTAAATGGTACTCTGAAAGCTCCTTCTCTTACCGTGCCAAAGTTCTGTTTTCAAAAGTCTTTGAAAGGAAGAGGAAAAGTGTGAGCCTATCTGCACAGATGCCTAACCCCATAAAGTGTAATTAAATTCACTGAGGCAGTTATTTGCCCAGTCTTGCTGACTGACGACCAGTGGCTTCAATGAATATGTTCTTCACAGGATTACTGAAACCTCACATTGAATAATCATCTTAAATTGGTTGTAATGTCCCAAATGGTTTACTTGTCAAGAGTAGTTTGATTGTTGTTGAAAAGTCCCTTTCCCCTTAAGTAACTGCCTTTTCATGTTTTTTTAGGCACAGTTTTTAGACCAAACGAGTGCTCTACACACCCAGCTTCACACAAAACCATCCAGCTGCCATTCGCCCAGCTTTCAGTTTCAGCCTAATCACAGCCATGGCCACAGCCACGTCCAGACCTATGCGGGTCCAGCTCTCGCTCCGAAGCCACCCAGCTGTGCCCGAGAGGGACAAACCAGGAAAACAGCAACAAAGCGCCTCATCAAGTAAGTCCAGCCTCGCAGGTGACTTACTGTATTTGTTCCAAATGTTTTTTGAGGGTTTGAAGGAAACAAAGGCTCCATGCAATTTTTAACACATCAAGTGTACTGGGGTGGCATTCATTGGCTCCAGCTCATGGAACAAGATAGGGTTCATGAGATTGGTGAGTTCAAGAGGACACGACTAATGCTAATGAGAGTTAGAATATGTGTGCAGTGGACTGCTCTCAGTCTTTTGGCCACGGGGTGTATCTGCCTGTTCAGTAAACAACCTCATCACAGGCCTGATTTCTGCCTGAACTGTAAACAGAACGTGGTTCAGTGGAAGGGCCTGGGCTCCGAGCTCCATTTGAATCCTGTTTGGTTTGGAGATAAGCTGAAGAGTACAGAAGGAAAAATAAAAGGAAAGGGGTGAAACTGGGCTCAACTGCCAGCTATTTCCCTCACTTATTTTATGACTTTATTACTGCAACATCTGTCCAAATTGCACAAGAACAGCGAACGTTTGTGATCAGGGCTGATTGTTTGTTTAAAGCATGCTGTTGCAGTTGCCGAGGGGCTCTTCACAACTGTTTAAAGTGGAGGAGTAAAGTACACAACCAGACTTAAACACAAGCAGGTTTAGTAATAAATGACCAAAAATCTCCATGTGACTACACACAGTCGCTGTGGATTTGCAGCCCAGCTGACGGTGCGATCGGCACAGCCCATCGCTCTGCTGACGTGTTACATTCAGTCATCCTGCTCAGCTCTGCCTGGCGAGCAAAGAGTTAAGAGGGCAGGGGTACGGTGCACGGGCTGTATAGAACAGTGAGCCGGGTAGGTGCCGTGTTTGCTCCTGTGTGTGTGTCTTCCTGGCAGTTGCAGTGTTTACCCTCTGCATGTGGAATTCCAGAGCCCCCTCACACTCTCCTCTGTCCTGCATTTTTGTGGTCGACCAGTGTGACAAGGGAGAGTGTGGGAAAAACGGAAGCTTCAGGAGCAAAAATGCGCTGATGGAAACAATGAAAAGAAAGAATAAAGAGATGGGAAAAGTCAGAGCGATAGAGAAAAAGTAAACTGTGTCCAGAAGAAAGGAGATGATTGTTTGCAGAAAATGGAGGAGATAATAAGTTGCTTCCCCATATTTCCAGCGCTCATTTTAGGGGCAACTCAATACGTCTGTTATTGAGACACATCTGAAATGTATCCCTGTGTAGGCCCAGGCCCCTCCAACTTATAATAGAATCACTGTGCGGGGTGTGTTCAAACAGTTCAAGGTTATCCAGCTCTCCAAACACCTTCCCCTAGCCAACTGTAAAGCTATTGTTTGATATAAATATACCCACATTGACTTTGCCAGCGTTTCCCTGCAGTGGTATGCCGTTGAACGTGTTCCCCGGCATGAATCTTGGTCCATGCTGTTTGGAGGAATGGAGGCCTGAAAACCCAGTCCAAAGTGCCATGCAGTCAGTTTTGTCCGAAAGTGTCGACTCATGTCCGGTGATCGGCCCACAGTTCTCAGGAGCGTAAGCTGAATAGACCTTGGCAAATCCTTCGCTCTCTGCGCTTCTGTTTTTAAACTCAGTTACCACACAGCACAGTGGTTTGAAGCAAAGTGCAGCATGTTGGTATCTTACTCAGCAGGGCAGGGCTCTCTTCTCTATCAGCATGCCACGGCTGCCAACTCAAGGGGCTGCAAGAACTCAGAGTAGTATGACTTCAGCGAGGGCTTTGAAAGGAGCAATTTGTAACACAAATAAATTAGCCTGTTTGGTATTTTGTTTGCAAGGTTTGGTTAGTTGCAGCTGTAACTACGGAAACCAAGGCTGTCGTGTGGCATTACTAATAGGGTGACAATTACAGCAGTGCCATTAATGTAAGCCCTGCTGCTGCTTTCACTCCCTATTAATCAGCCACAACAGTAGTTATTTTCACAGGATCCTGTATACACACAGAAGCTGCCAAACGTGTGTTTATGATTAAACTTTATCCCCTTTGGTCAGTGTGAGCAGCATTAGGACACAGTAACTACCTGAAGCTGCACATGGATCGTGTTTACACAAGAATTTCAGCTCCGTGTGAGAAGTGTGAAATGTTCGACTTTGGGCTTATGTGTCTTCTGTACATACTGCAAGTTCAGAATCAGTTCTCACCCGCTGTGTTTCTGGCTGCTGTCGGACTCGAAAAGTGACAGAGTGAGAGACTGTTGACAAAGAAAGTGATGTGAAGAACTCAGGGGTCAAGTTTTTTTTTTTTTTCTCCCCTCAATATGAAAGGGGCTGCTTCCTGTCGAGGTATGCCACGCTTAAAGTGGGCCAGTTCTATTTGTGGTTGTGTAACGGTATGAAAGAACAACTGTGCAGCCCCTTACAAGGAGGCAGTGTGTACCCTCATTACCTTATTAATGCTCCTTTGGCAAGCTGCTGTTCTGGGGCGAGAGGTTAATGCCAGCTAAGCTTTATTTATTGTTCCCCCTTTAAAAAAATGCTTAGCAGATTTAATGTATAAGGTTACAGACCTGTCTACTCTTTCTCTATGCTTCAGTAGATCTCATGAGAGTTTTCTCTATGAGAACGCTGTACACGAGGTCTTTATTATGTGAAAAGACTTGCTTAATTCTTTGCCTGTAATCTTCAGACTTACTTATGAACCCCTGTGAGATAAACGTGCAGTATTCGCTTTTCAGCTCGCATGCAGACTTGCACAATACATTCCTTTTCTCAACATAGTTAGTAATCACCAGAGTACTTTTGCCACTCTGGTAATCACATCACCCTGGACAAGGAGCAGGAATTTCTCCCCTTCTTGTCACAATAGCTCTCGAGAGGCACTCAGTAAACACTTAGCCTCACTAGCCCCCACTGACTGCACACAAAGAGCAACTATTTGAATTTGACTCCACTTCTCTCATGTCAGAGGACGCTTCATTGGACGCCGCGCACACGCACTAGCTCAGACAGTCACCTGCTGTCAGAAGCTTTTTTTTTTTTAAAGTTCCTTTTTTTGTTTATTTTTCCCGTTCAACACAGAATTGTACATGAGAAGCCCTATGAGATGAACACCAGCTGTCTGTTGCACATTGTTCCTGCGTAAGCCCCTCAGGGAATGAGAATTTTCAGTCCTCTCTGAAACTTGCTCTGTGTCTGATTAACAGGCAGATGTCCTCTGAGAGTTCAGCTAGTGGATCCGTGTCAAGTGGTCAGCAGGTGGTCTATGAGGCCGTCCACGGTAAAACAGGTGGGTTTGCTGCTGCAGCTCTACATTTACTTTAGACTGTGCATAAGAACTCAGACTGGCGGAAGTTGTGCCTATCTCTATGACAGTGTCAGTGATTACAGCCAGGCATAGTGGACATTCCCCATGGGGAACTGATAAACACCACCGGATATTTTTACCAGTCTCCTTCTTGCTCAGTGACATACTGGTAAAAATAGGAGCATTGTCATAGTAATCAATGTACACACTTTGATCACACCCTAATATAAACGCACAAAGAGAAAGGCTTTGCTGGTAATTGTTTTACAGCATTCTCCAGTGGAAACAGTAACATAGGGATTTTTAAATCATAAAAAATACATTCCATATTGATCAAACAAGGTGACTTTATCAGGGTATATTAGAAAAAACAAAAACAAAAAAAAAACATTCCAAACATTAAAATGAAAGCATTATGTTTTTACCAAAGAAACCTTTCTGGGTTTGATGGCAGTGATCAGTAGGAGGAAAACAACACACTGGACAAGTCGAGTAATTCAACACAAACGCCTGGTGAAACAACACATCTGTCAGATAATCTAAATCGAGGAAGTCCACCACTTTGTTCAGGTGTTCAGGCAACAAAAAATGTCTTGTGCCAGACGAAACCCAGCAGTGAACATCTGCATTTCGTCAGAACGGCAGCAGACACACGATTACGTAAAAAAACGTTGCCAATTTACCAGGTTTGTCACTTCTCCATCGACGCAGCTTACAGCTCATTTAAGATGGAGTGAGGTAAAATGGAAGCCAGTCCTGTGGTCTGACTGAAAGATTTCAATTCTTTTTAGAAATATGTACACTGTCTTCTCTAGACCACAGAGCAAACGGATTGTCCAACTTGATTTCAACGCACAAGTCAAAATACAGCATCAGTGGTGGCGTTTTTGTGCACGAGCTGATCATCCTGTTCATCTGTAAACCTACTATTATTACTTAAACTCATAAATGTATAGAATGCTCTGCATGGCCTTGACTGTTTATAGCATGCCAGCATGCATCTGGAGCCAGAAAAACAACAACTTTGGTGTCATACTGGCCTGCCTGCTGTCCAGACCTGTCATCCACCAGAAATATTTCGACGCATATTAAGCAAAAGAGTGGGAAAACATTTCCTGTGAAAAACTGCAACATCTGAACTCCATAGTTCACATAAGGTCAAGCTAACGGAGACCTCCAGCAGGCACTAGAATGTTTTGCAGTCAAGTGCGAAGCAGCTGGTAGCAAATGAGCCCCTCCAAGTCTTAGGCCATGGTCATCAGTTGGTGAGGGGAGCATTGCCACAATGCCCCCTGCTCAAAGGAAGGAGTGCATTCGGTTGTACCTTATTTCTATCAAAAAGATGTTTGTTCTGATCCGCTGCTCCTCTTTGGCTGCACTTGCCAGATGCGCGTCAGTAAGGCCAAAGTAGCTGAATCAGCTGAGGGATGACGGCATCAACGGCAGCTGCTCTTACATTTAACCTGTTTCACCCCTGTCCCTCCCAGAGGCATCCACGGATCGACCTGGACCCCCCCTGTGCTGCCTTACATTCACACAATTTAAAAGAAGCTGAAAAGTTTAACCATCAGAAATGCTGCCTTGGTTTCTTTACTTTTTTTCTCATTATATAACACTTAGATTATTTTCAATTATTTTATGCTTCCTTCAATGAAATATTTCACTGTCCTGCCTTTTTTTTTAACAAGGTTATAGACTTCTCCAGTGAAAGCTGAATGTGTATAAACAAAACTTCCTGTGTTGTCATCTTCTGCCTGATTGTCCGTTGTTCATTTATCCAAGGCTGGAAGTCTGATTACAGCTGAAAGATGAAAAGGCTGAGAATGAGAGTGAATGAGGACATCTTGTGTCTTTTGTAATGAGATCCAGAAATGGGAACAGTTCGGGCATTCCCATCTGTTGACCATTCCTGTGCCTGTGCAATTACTGTCCATCCCCTAAATGTTGTCCTGCAGAAATCACACCTCTCTGGAGACAAATGCAGCTCCCACTTTGTGGGCCCCTACACTCACGTGCGCCCTGTCATCCTGTTTCCACAGCCCTTGCCATCCCGAGCAAAGTGCTGAGCTTATTGCAGCGCAGTTTGCGTCCGTGCACACATCTTATGGTGCGATGACAGGCTTTTTCCAGGGACCTGCTATACATAAGCACTAGCAGACTCCTCACATAATGTCACTGTCAGTCAAGCCAACGCAAAGATCAACATGCTGGAAAAATACAGAGGATATGCACCTAGTTAGCCCCATTGCTTTGCCCCCCCCCCATCCAAACACACACACACATCACCACCAGCGCACCAACACACACATCCAAATAAAACGGTGCCTCTGACTGTGGTAAGAATATTTCTTTTTGTTCTCCCTCTTTCCTCGGGCCCCAAACTATGGAACCTGGCTTAGGGTAACAAACATCTTATAAACTCATCAATTACTGTAACTGGATCCTTTGGGAGCAGCTTCTGAATTTTATGAATGCACTTTTTCCATCTTACGGGGCACATAAGCTGGGGGACATGCTGAAGTTTGAACTTAAAGAAATGCCTGAAACAAAGGAATACTCGAAAGATAAATCACCAACCTGAGAGTGGGTTTAACTTAGAGACTGTGAGAGTCTCAGTGTAGCGATTGGGGGTTGGGGTGGTGTTATTAGAAGGGGCACAGCTTTGTAGAACATAGATGTGTTTCAGGTCTTTCTGCCTGCTCAGTGTACCTTTGTAGCGAGATGACTGAGCTCCCCTGATTGACTCTGACAGGCAGTTAGAGCGAATCCAAATGGAGAACATTCTCTATGATCAGCTGTCGCCCATCATTAATCACACGCTCCCTTTATCTCCCTCCTGTGCGCTCTCTTAATCTCTTCCTCTCGTTGCTCATACAACCCTGCCTCTATCCCCTGAAAAGCTCTCCTCCCTTGACCCTCCCCTCCGTCTTTTCCTGCTTCTTCGGTGTTGATTTTTGACATGACACGAGGGCAGGGCTCTGATGAGGACCTATGAACGCTTACAAAGCGAGATTATGTCCGCCACATGTGTTTTACAATGCTCCCCTTGGGGTTTCCTTGAAGTTCTCCGAGCTCCACAGTTGATGACCGTTTCCAGATTTATTGCTAGAGTCTTAGAGGGAAATAACTGCAGCATTTGTGCCACTCTAATGGGAGTCTGATCATGTCAGGATGGATAGCTTAGGCTCTTCTCTATCACAACTGGACTGGAGAGCATTGTTGAGGAAGGATGGTAGTAACTAGCTGATATCTTTTTGGATGCAATATGCAACTTACTTTTTTTTTCAGTGTAAACTAATTCACTTCTTTAAACAACTGGTCCCCTCAGCAGTACTTTGCTGGTACTTCAACAGGAAATATTTAGTCAATTTTACAACTATTTTCAATTGTATAGCAACCTGGCTGACAAGCAATTTATTAGGAAGATTACTAAAGAAAGGGGGATGTTGTCCCTCTGTCTTTCATTTCCTTAGTTTGAGGAAGCCACTTCTGTCATGGCACCAGATTTTGCTTTCCAGCACGGTCAGGCCCCAAAGTGTGAAAGAGTTCGCAAAACAAACAGTTTGCGGAGAGTGAATGAAAGGGAATATTGTTTGGGAGGACAAACACAGCAGCTCTAATTGTGCTTGGAATGGCTTTTCTGCCGGATACCTGGCTGCAAGCCAGGCGATAAGACAAGGGGATCTGGGGCTGCAAGCAAGGAAGCAGCTCGACAAAAGACTAACAAGTCAGCTTACAGAGCATATCAGCTGGGAGACACCTCAACAATGAATAACATTAGATCAGCAGAGCGGTCGCCTCCGGGCTTTTAATCATCTCATGAAAAACCTAATTAGGGTTTGACAGACATTTCTAGTTGTGCAACTCGGTGAAACACCTTTGCTGCTCTTCAGCTCTCTTTAATTTGTTCTTTTCTCTGCTGTTTGTCAGGTCGCTCGGTGTACCAGAGGCTGTTCCAGGGCCAGGGGCCCTCTCATAGATGACATGAAGGAGATCAGGGGCACGTCCTGCCACTCTGCAGGCCTGACAGGTGTCTCTGTATGTAACAACATCTCGCATAGGTATATTCTGGGAAAGGACAACAGATGAAAGTATGCCAAACATTGAGCAAGGTCCTATTAATTTCTGTACGATGTAGCCACAGATATGCAAGATGATAGTCTGCCAGGCCAGGAATGCCCAGCTTTGACGCAGGTTGGGATTTAGTTGCGCAGCTCCAACACCCCCCCCCCCCCCCACATTGCCCTTGGCTACAATCAGCCTACATCCCAACAGCTGCCCGCCCTCATTCCCTCCATGCTACTGATGCCACAAGAAGATTTCACTGACAGATAGCCTTCGGCAGATGGTTCTTTCAGCTCAGTTGCCGTCCAACTGTAGGATTCAGCGTTTGAATCTTCGCTCAGGCAGCTGCATGTGCACCCCTGGCCACGCTTCTCTATTTTCCTTCCCCTTGGAAATAAAACAGGTGAGATAGGGGTAATCAGAGACTTGTGATGAGCTTTTGGCACATATTGTTTAGGCCGCGTTCACAGCTTCTCATCTTTCACCGGTGCATTGTTAGCGCACAGAGAGGTTCCTTTCATGTGTGGACTGACACGCCAGACTCCGTGCTGGAAGCCACAGAGTTGCCAAATCTCTCCACGCAAAATAAGAATGAAGTTAAGTTTAGCAGACTTTGATTGTAAGCCGTAAAATTCTGACAGCTAGACCGTGAATATATTTGCTGTTGCCTTGTTTCCTGTTATTAACAGGATGTTAAGGTTTATGTCCATCAGATTTGTGTTATGTTGACATTTTTTCTCTTGGATGGAACAAATGAAATATTTATGTTTAGTACAGAAAATTCTTGTGGCTTTGTATATTATTTTTTTGGGTATAAACACACATATGTATGTATATATATATACATATACATGTATGTACTTTCTGTAGCTGAAAGAATAACCTAAAGAACTGTTATAGTTATGTACAGACTTAAAGGTGAGTGTTACACAGACAGAACAATACATATTTACAAATATTCTGTTGGGACCATATCGTGAGTTCACTCAGGGCACGTTTATAACATAATGCATCTCTAATGTCAGAAGGTTGGTTTTTAAATGACTTTGTCTGAAATACTTGAACTTTGTGCATGCTTTTCTCAGCTGATGGTTATCATCAAGTTGATTCTGCACAGATTGTAGTTTGCAATGCAGTACGACAAAAAAAAGCTGGCTGTAGATCGTTTTTGTAACGTGATGAATGTCATGTTGTGGATTTATTGATGTTCAACCCAGTGCATGCTGTTTTCACAAGACTTAATGTTTTACTGTAATTTGTTTTGTCCATGACTGTTTACGCATCACATGCATGGAAACTGATCCTTTTTTTGGGCAGTTTGTTTCAAACAAGACTGAAATGAAAACTGTCGAACATGAATATTGTACCAGTAAATGTCCAAAAATAACAAACATTGAACAGATCTATCCAACTGTCAACTGTCCATTCTTTTTAATAAAAAAAAAGTGTTTCCAAGAGTAATAAAAAATTTACAGTTTGTGATCTATTTGAGTTCACTTAGTGACATACATCATCTCATACAACAGAAAGGCTTCACTTTTAAATGAAACAATCCCTGGAATCACCATCCTGTTGCATTACAGAGGTAAACATAACCTTGGAAATACTAAGAGGAAATAAAGATTGTTTTCCAGCATGTTTTCTTCTTCCTAACGTCATTTTTATTCGACAGCATTAACTCCTAAGCGAACAGTGTAGGCAGCTGTGGCGTGCACAGCGTCGGCTTCCAGCTCGGACATCCGGATGCATCCTGTGTGTTGGGGCTGAGAGAAGTGTTTGCACTCAGCAAACAAATCATTTTTATCCTACTTTCTTTGACGCATGCTGAGGTTAGTCTGCATTCTCACTTTGTTCTTGGTTTCAACCATTTTTAAGTCCTTGACAATTCATTGGTCATAGCAAGAAAATGATTGTCCTGTTCCTCTTTCAGTGGAAACAGGCTGCGATTACCAATGTGAGGTACAGGCATCTCAAAATACTGGAATATTAAAAAAAAGGAGAAATACTGATTTGAAAGTCAATGCTGAGGGTCGACGAGAGGTCTGATGGGTTTGAGAGCGTTGTTGATAAAGTGGTGTCTGATAAGTTTTGATAAATGCTGCCAATGATTATGAGCAGAGTGGTGGACTTGTTTTCTTCCTTGAGAGACCGTGGTGTGGGGGGGGGGGGGATGGAGGCAACAGGGGAAAGGTGTTGGTACTCATGGAGGAGAAAATGTACCCTGCCCACTATACTCCACGCTCCGTCCCACGTCTCTCGCCGGGGCTCGAAGCTCCAAAGTTTAGCTGCACTTGCAGGACTTGACGACCATGTTTGAAAGCTGCTCCACTTTTGGAGAGCGACCCACATAGTACAAGATGGTGAGGGGCTCCAAGTCCTGAGGAACACAGCAGGGTGAGGCAGACGCTTCGGGATTCAACGTGTTATAGAGGCTCAGCATCTGTGGGGAGAAAAAAGGAGTACGAAAGGGTGAGGTTCGGCCCCCCCTCCTTCTCTGAACACCTTCAAGGCTGAACTGCTGTGGCTCTTTGTCTCACCGAGCTGTGGGTGGTGTCTGCGCTGCGGAGGTACGGACAGGGGCCGGAGCAGAAGTTAGCGTAGTACCCTTCCGGCTGATGAATCCACCTCCAGCCCAAATGCTCCCGGAAATTGATGTATAGTCGTCGCACACAACAGTTCTCCTCGTAGTTACTGCGGAAAAGAGAGGCAGAATCAGCCCGGCTCTCAGATGGCAGAACTTTGAGGCGCCGTACACATGCCCTCCCTGTGGCCTCAGTCACAGAAGAGAGAGAAAAACAAAGATTCCACTCTTAGGTGTGCCCTTATTTTCCCTCTTGGAGTCAGCCCAGGTGTCTCTGGGGCTGCCTGTCTGGCTTACGGAGGAAAATGAAAAGCCGAGGAAACACTGTGTAAGAGGGGGTAGCGCTTTCTGGTACTGGGACAGATCCTGACATGCTTCAGCTAATACCTCTGTCATGCTTGTCTGGGTGATTAACAAGCTCATTCTATGTACTGCGCTTCTTCCCTATCAGGGAGACATTTTCATTTAATTTTGCCTCGGCTTGTTTGTCTGATGCCCCCCTTCGACGTCACAGCCACCTATCTACAAGTTTAATATGACCGGTTTTTAAGCCGTTCAGTCATTTCTAAAACAGATTATTTAACAAACGTGAAGACAACGAACAATCGTCCCAGCATTACGTTTTTCAGAGTGAAGAAATAGGCCTTACTTGAAGCAGTAATTGGTGTCAATTGCTCGCTTGCGCCTGCGGGAGTGGGTGTCCAGCCTGTGTGGGGGGAGCATCATAAGGATGAGGTGCGGGAACAGCTCCTTTTGATTTTTCACACTCTGATCACCATATTCCCAATCCACACCTGCAGGAGGAGGCAAGGAGACTTCAAAAACTCTTCTTCAAAAGCTGACGATCAGGACTCCTACATGAGGATAATCTGCAGGCACAGCATCAATTATTTCTGTTTCACTTCATCCCTTTCTGAATTTAACGCCGCTCCCCCTAACTCCCCCTCTCCCTTCTGCCTGTGTCTGCTCATCCACTCTATCCCTGATAGCTAAAGCAGTCGATATCTCAGGAGAGATGCTGGTGGATGTGTACGGCCCTCTTTAATTTGGGGCCAAACGTCTGAGCGCCGTCACAGCACATTCCTTGTGGCCAGGCCAGTCAGGATTGTTCCCAGGACCGGGGTCCCGGAGGCCCCAGTGCTAAGTGAGATACCAGATCAATTTTATTCCCATGCTCTGTGTCTCTCTCTTTCGCTAAGAAAAGAAAACTATGATCTTAAAAGAAAAAACACCTAATTGACTCTTGCCGGTAGAGGAACATGTTGATAACTGGACCAAAGGAAAGTTTATTCCCTTTGTGAGAGTCTAGTTGAATGCCTTCTTTATAAGATCTCATTAAAAGGCTTTCAAGTTTTTGCAAAGTAAAGAATAATACAGACACCCTCACATATGGACCATGGAAAACATTTAATCTAAAATCCTTTTGAATCCAGAGCCCACTTTGCTAACACAGCTTCATCAAATGGAATATCCTGTAGTGGCTATATGCTCCTATTTCGCACAAGTGTGTGAGACTGTATTGAAAGGACAACAACAGATGTGCTGTAATTAGCAAAAATCTATTATGTTCTTTTGGATATTTCTAAAAGCAGGTAGACATGAGAGAAATTAGCCTTGAAGGACTTCTTGAATCAAGCAGTCCCAAAATCCAACTATGCAAATCATCCGGAAAAGAAGCAGCCCCAACAGTCCCGCATAGAACACAGCAAATTTTTCATCCCAGCCGAGATCTTTATCTTTCACATTAGACAAATCAAACTCAGGTCAAACAAACCAAATCGTTATCTGGGTTTTGATTGTGAATAGAAACTGGCAGGGCATCTATTTGCTTTGAGACGAAAGAGATCAAAAGCAGAGGCAAATCCTGGCACAGACTCAGCAACCGCAGTTTGGATTTAGACAGCCACACAAAGACGCCAGCTCGATTGAGACTGAAAATGTGTTTTCAAAGGGGGAATATGATGTTGTTTCATTGTTTGGCTTCCCTTCGGTGTATTATGTAACTTTTTTTGTGCATATAAATATAGCTACAAGGTTTCAAGCACAAGGTCCACACCAAAGGAAGTCATTCTAGCTCACAGAACAATTTGCTTCTGACCTGCCAGAAACATCTTGTTTGTAGTCCAGGCATTTCTTCCCTCATTAATCTTTTAACCGCATCCCTATGAATCCCAGTGACTAGTATTGCACGGTGTCATAAAAAGCTTTCAGCATCAAGTCATATATGCAAACTTACATCATTTCTGAATGGGGTCGTGTATTTTCAGCATGCGGGTTAGGGTTACGTTTGGATTATGAATTGCGTCTTATGAGAAATGTCTTCTCTTCTTTCTCTCTTCACTTTATGTCAACTCTACCTGGCGATTCATATAATGTTGGGACAAAGATTACAATCAAAGAAATTTGTGAATGAAGATTATTTTTTAGATAATCTTGAGATATACTTATTGTAAAAAAAACGGAGACATGTTAAGGTGAGACGGGCCTCAAAGGGACAAGGTATGATATCCATCTACAATATCAGAGAAACAAGTTATATGAACATTTAAGTTTAATTTCTTGCTATGGGATGACAAGCATTCATTGTTTAATTCACTGGCAGACAGAACGGTTTGTCAATTTAGAAGCTGTCCTTAAACAAGAGCTAAAGCTAAAGGCCACTTGAAACAGGACTGTAAAAGCTCATCTATTGTGGTCTTAAGCAACTCTAAAGTTTATGTTAAAGCAAATGTTATAGCTTTGTCAATTCCATACTATAATTTCTTTCGGTATGAGTTGTTTTATGCTGGAAAAGTCTTGGTCTAAGTGATCTTGAAAGCTTCACATTCACCACACAAACAGCACTTTGCCCACAATGCTTACAAGTTACTTACACAACCTCCTTTCAAAACTTAAATATCCCTTTAAAGCATATGAGCTTTACTAGACCCCTAAATTAAAATCTTATCCCTGAACTGAATGTGAATTATTTGACTACTTTCACACAATGTTTGGTTACGGAAAACATTGACCTCAGTATGGAGATGGATGCAGGTGGAGTATTTATCTGTCTGTTGTGTGATGCTGCAACCAGCAGCCAATAGCTCGGCTTTGTTCTATCTCCTCTCAGTGTCTGGTGTAAAAGTAAAGAATTTTAGCCAGGATCAAAGATATCCTGGAGAAAATCATTCCAGTTGGTCATATTTCATCTGGGACAGCTTCAATTTCATAGTATACAAAAGTTCAAACCACAACTATGTTTTTTTTTGTTGCATGGATTTGAAAATAAATATATGTAAATATTTGAGCTTGTAGAGGTGCTGTGGGTAGGTAATGATACTCTTTGCCTTCAGTCTTTGTTCTAAAATATGCAAAAGATGCTCATATTTACTGTGCAGACATGAAAATGGTAACATCTCTAAGAATCTGTCAAACTGCAGCTAGATACCTTAAACCGTTATTGCTGTTCACTTTGAAACCTTGCTTGAACTTGTTCAAATAAAACTAAGGGAAAAGCGTGTCGATGGTCTCCTGGCAAAACAAGAAATCTGGCTGATAAATATCCGAGCCATTGAAATCTCACCGTTGAACTTGACCTCCAGCACCTCCTTGACTTTCTCAATGATTCCGCCATTGGGGATAAAAGTGTGGCAGGGACAGTGCACACTGATCTCCAGGCCAAGATTGGTCTCTGAGGACAGATCGAGAACAGAGGGATGTGAGGAGATGACATCCTCCCCCAAGGCCATTAAACTTTTATCCGTTAAATGACGTAGTGCTCTTTCGGTAGGCCGCGTAATAAGGTTTGAAAGGAGGAAAACCCGAGGTGTCCCACTCACGTCGGTCCATCAGCCACTCCCTCACCGTCTCCGTCACATCAAAGGAGACCCACTCAGTCGTCCCCTTGGTCAGAACGTTCTTCGCCCCAATGTACCGCTGTTTGATTTTGGGGTTGTCTTTCTGGCGGATCTGTGAGGAAAGATGAAAATGTGACCCAGCTGCATAAACTTTTTTTTTTTTTTCACACACACACACACACACTTTTTACACACAGAATCAAGGCTGTCTGCCTGAGCCAGACTCTCCAGGATGCCTTGGGCCAAATGTCTACTCTTCATGGAAAAAGTGACTCCCTGTGTTGATATCCCCATTTTGCAAGTTAATGCCTGCGTGTTACCCTCTTGCCAATGAGAAACTGGCCATATTTCACATCAGCCATTCAAACTTTGACTTTGACTCCGGTTCAGTGTCACAGTTTTCAGAAAAAGAAAGAGTCTCCGAGGGCATTTACATTAACATCCCAGCTCAGGCAAAACTGATGAGGGGGGGAAAATAACAGAGCTGGTTTCAGCCATTTATATGTACATCAGCACCTCTTGGACAAAGGTGTTTATCTACAATGAGAAATGTGTGTTTGGGCCCTTGGCCCCACAGCAGCGCCATGGATAACCAGGTTCCTGAACATTGTCAGCATCTAATCTGTCTTCCTGTGGGAACGGGGGGCCACGGGACTGCCAGCATCAGCCATCTGCCAATCACCCCCAGCCTGAAAAGTGTGGGGGCGAGAGAACAGCTCCATTTACTCCCACCAGTGGGTGACCTTGCCTCTATCTTCTCCTAGGCCCCTGGAAACAATCTTGAGGGCCTGACAGTCTATATTCAGTGCTGGCCAGACCCTTGCCTCAGAGGCGGTATGCAGTCCGGAGACGCTTGTCTCCCTGGCAGGAAATGTTGGAACCTGATCATTACTCCTAGTCTCTCACAGGAGATTAAGGGGGAGGCAGAAAAAAAAAAGCCCATTCTTGCCACCCTATACAGACATCAACCAGATGTATGCTTTAACACGCTTCACAAAATGATCATAAACACACTAGCACAGAGGCAGATATAAAACCCACTCTTGATCTAACATGTATGGACAACTCTTTTGGGATTGCCAGCTTGGAGGAGGAAACCGCTCCACGGTAATGTGGCGTTCCTTAAAGACGGCTGCATAAGCTCTTAAAGTTACCCTGATGTTCAATCCATTGAACCGAATGCACATGGAATAATGATCAGCGCATGAAAAGGGGGGAGAGAGGGAGTTGGACACCCTAATATAAATGTTTTCATCTTTCTCACTGACCTATGCAGGCCTGCGGAGAGAAACGGAGCACATAAACCCCCCTGCGCTCAGCTCGCACAGTGGAAACCCACGGTCAGCTCACACACCTGGTAGAGCTCAATCCGCTGCTCATTTTTCTTGGCGCTGGGGTTGGAGATCCGCAGCGCTCGAAACTCTGCCCGGAACAGGTTGGTGGCGTTCTTCTCCATGATCGACACATTGAAGTGAAATGCTTTGGACGTGATACTCTTCGAGCAGAAGGGCAGGTCATCTGCAGGTGAGGAGAAAACATGACTCATAAGGGCCTTTATAAACGTTCTCATGGATCGTTTTGTCCACTTAAACCTTTATTAGTTGATTACTTCAAGTTAAAAAGCAGTTAGCAGATAAAAGTGCAAGTCTTATCTTTGTCTGAAAAAAAAAAAAAGTTAGTTTTTTTTCAAGTACGTTACTGGGAGCCATTATCACAAGCCATCTGCTAATGTTTTGCGTGGTACGAGTTAGCAACAAGTCGGAGTCGTGAAATGAAAACCAAATGGCCCATGTGGTAGTGCAGAAGGCCAGAGAGGGACAGGAGCGTGCTCCTCCTATTCCCACCAGTACTTTCACCCAACAGGTGCTCAGAGGGCTCAAACAGAGGCCAAGTGTTCCCCCCGAAACTCAGAGGATAAGGCGGAAACAAGTGGGCTCACATTCTGGAGCCCAACAATACCACTTAGGAGGGGGAATCCATCATAACACTCAACTTGACTAAAAGTTTGTTTGACAAGAAATCATTTCTTAATACACCACAATACGGTGTGTGTGTGTGTATGTGAGTGATTACACAGCGATTCGGGCCTCTCAAAAGCTCACTGATAAATTGGAGCCTTTCGCCTGTTTTATACCATTATAACACAAAGCAGTTTATTATTTTAACAGGCAAAGCACATGCAGCGTTGAGCAAAACAAGCACATAGCAAACCTTTTATGAGCCAAGTGGAAACAGTCATTTACAGCCAAGCCATGGTTAATTTATTACCTCAAGCTTAAGCTTTATTACCGGGCCTCAGATTCGCTGGTGGCTGAAAGGCGTACTGCACCTTTAGCCGACCTGCACCTCCAGCAGTTTTGGGACAAATGGAAACTCAGAAGCTGTTTCTGTGTCATGCAAAAGGAACTCGCACAAGTATCTGTACTTCATTTGACCTATAATTCTATTTTGGCGCCCTCGCAGTCATTATCTGGTGTTTCCACATAGTTTTTTTTTTTTTCAACTTTCCCTATTTATAGGTGACCTTTTCAGCGATCATCCCCAACCAGATATCTGTCCAGTGTTTCCACACAATCTAAAAGGAGGAAACCTCAGTAGCTTTTTCCTCCCCTCACTCACTGCTTCTTCTCCCCCCTTCCTCCTCCATCCCTGCCTCCCCTACAGAAGGTGGAAAGCCCCACTTTGAGGGGAGATTTGAAATTCTAATCAAGTCTTTGGTTTCCTTTTGGGTGACCTCATTTTTCCCATTGCAATGGTTTTAGTTGGATTTCACATTACGACTTTTTTTTTTTGCCAAGGGTCTAAAAGGTAATTTATTCCATACTGATGAGCAGAGGGTATTGCTTGTATAATTAAGATGACACATTCACTAATTTTTTAACCCTTCCACTTTTGGACTTTTGCTCCTCAGACTGGATGCTGACACAGGCTGAGGCTGGAGACAGAAGCAGTGCGGATTTATGTCAATAAGCTTCTTCTGGGTCTAATTTCTACCAGTAAATCCACTCAGAAATGAAAGCTTGTGTGAGCGTTCTTTATATTTGAAACCCTGCAAATAAACAAATGAAACCACTAATTATCCCTAATGATTTGCTTATGTAACAGCTCCTATGATCACACTTGCTTGGGATTTTACTGGCGTTTATTCTTATTAACACCTTTGCAAAAGTCTATATGTAGGCTGGACTCCAAAACCTGATCACAGACTGCTTTTATTGGGGGGGGAATTGGTTGTAAATCTGCACAGACAAGTTGCCTGTGAACAGATATTTGAATAGTTTTCCTGCAATGCCTCACATTAAGTGCCTCGCCCAAACACCACTGGCCACACCTCATACCCTGGCGCACGCTCAGCCCTGATACAGATACAGAAGCTGCTTGATAAATGCTCCCAAGAATCACCTCTCTTTGCCCTTTTGTCCAAAGGATGCTTGGTGATGTCAGTCTCTCCAGTGCTTTGGGGAGGTAAACAAAGGAAATAGAAAGCATAAGACGGCAGGTGCTAGCCAGCTGCTGTGGTGTCTAGATCTCATAAAGCATAGCAGCGATTCGTTTGGAAATTCATTCGAGTTCTAGCTTGAGCTTTTTATCCACTTAAATTCCAGCATCTGGAATTTGAATTTGTTTGCATAATGCCCCAATGGTGAGGTCTGATTTCCCCTCACAAAGACATTTTGGTTTCAATGTACAGAAATCAAACTTTGCATCGAGAAAATACCCTAACTGAGGCAGATTGAGTAATGTAATGGACCCCTGGACTGAGGGAGGAAAAAATAACTTCTTTCTAAGAAGTTGTAGAAAAGAACTTCTTTTTTCCTCGCTTGATTAAACATGAGGAAGCAAAAACGGTCAACACGTGGGAGCGAGTTGGAGGGATGCTATTTCTTTGGAAGGCAGCCAAACTCCTCTGTCTCTGTTTGCTCAGATGACATCATTTTTCTACTATCCCATATATCAGATACCCTGCTGTCCTCAGTGCTGGTCCTTATTTTTTTACTGACCCAGCTCTGAGTCAATAATTGGCTTGAAATTTCACTAAAACTGCATGATCCAATCTGCAAGGCACGGGCAAGTCAGTATCCTGCCACGGGTCACCCTTCAGCTCAAAGACGGCCGTCTGTGCTCACGCTGGTCCTCTGACAATGGTTCTAAAACCGCTGCCATCCCTAAACCCTGCCTCATTGACTCATAGATGGCAGGAACAATGATTTCCATCAGCAGTAGTGTCTAGCAAAGTGGTCGGGAGTCAGTGGTGCATTGAAGTATGAGAAAAACGTTTCTATTTAACTTCTTAGTCGTGCCTGAAAAAAAGAGAAAAGATTTGACCACGTTCCCAAAACACCCCCACCTTCCAAAAAGGCGATGCATGTAAAAGTCATTATAGCCAGCAGGAATGAAAATGAACCACACTTCAAAATGATCAAGGTGACAGACATTATGTTACTACACATGCCACATGCCAGGCACTCTGTAAAATTACATAATGGAAAGGCAGAAAAAGGTTTGAATGAACCTTTTTTAATCTGAGTAATATCTTCCCTGCTTCAGTCTGGGCAGAAACTGCCGTCCATAAGTGAGGTTCAGGTCTTCTTTTATCACCTACAGCGTGGCTTACAGTATGATGTTTCCTGGGCACCTGGCCATCACTGATCCCACTCCTTAGACCTCTGTTTGTTTTGGGAGCTTTGGCTACCTCTGACCAGCGGATAAACCCCGAGTTGTGTATTTGTGAATGTCAGAAGCACTTTCTGGGACCCGTGAAATGGACTTAATTCAGGGCTTGTGCTGAAGCTCTGCTCAGTGTCACAGCACAGCATAAACACCTGTTGATTTCAAAATGGTAACGCCATACACCCGTCGACCTCTGACTGTGAATCGGCAAAAATCCAACTGCCCCACTTAAAAACCGACTTCCCTCTGGAGAATCCACCGCTCACTGAGCTTCTGCTTCTGATTTATGGAACAATCAATGAGCCAGAGTTTATACAGGAAATACCAATATGGATGAACAAGGGAATTGGATCATAACACGCAGCTACTAAAAAAAAAAGGGGGGGTGAATAGAGGTGAGCAACAGTGGATGAAAAATACTGGGGGACACATGGCCAGAAAATGGAAATGAGGTATTAGAGTTGGCAATAAATTCTAAACTCAACAGCCTGAGAATTTTCCGTGCTTAGGAATGTGTCAGGCTTAAGCCGGAGTTCCCATGGCTTTAGTGTGAGGTACGTATGTGGAATGGTGCTCATTCCAATTAGGCTGTTTACCCTGACCTCTCCTTCTGCACAACCTCCACCGGTGCGTCTGTGCGTAAAAGCCGAGCAGACACTGGTGGTTTGGGATCATTCTTGGAAGGAGTTTGTTTTGAAATGGTCCAAGATTTAGCCATTCGCTGGACAGCACACGCAAATGGTTAAAAATGGCACCACGATTTACCTGCACCTTCAACGAACGAAAACTTTAAGAAGGGATTGAGGAATGGAGATCAATGACAAAGACTTACTGTTTTCTGGTGGACCATTGATCATGTTGAACTTGTAAATCTCTTTGGCGTAGTACTCAGTCTCTGTGTTGTCCTGTCCGCAGCTCTGCTGCCGGTCTCTTCCCAGCTCCTCAATGAGCTCCTTGGTGCTGTTGTAAAGGGCCAGGACCTGATACGGTACCTGGCTCGGACCTGTTGACTGAGGCGGACTGGTCATTCGTAGTTTACTCAGGATCTGTCCCCGGACTGCCTCCACTCTCTTTTTCCTTATGTGGTCGATGTCCACAGTTGTGCAAGTGGATAGTGAGAAAGTCATTGTCACACAATTTGAGAGGAGGAAAAACAGAAGCGCTTTGCCCAGATTCATATTTCACTCTGCGATTACTCACAACCGACGTTTGTCAAGTAAAAGAGGTAAAAAGACAAACAAAGCAAAACCAAACTCCGCTTTGAATAGAATCCCTTTTATCTTTTCTTTCAGGTCGTGAACGAGTTCTGTTCTTGGCGGAATTCCATTTTTTTTTTGTCAAGTGCTATGTCATTTTGGGAAAATACGCATTTGCTTGAGCGCAAATCCGTGCCATTTTGGAAAATAATCTCAATTCTTCATCAAAACTCGTAATTACACTCTTCATTACCCCTTGTCTCATTCAAGCATCTCTCCCTGTTTGCTTTAATTCAGATGGAGCCACTCTCTGCGTCGTGCCTCACTTTCTCCGTTCCACTGGGCTCTTCCCATCCACTTGCTCTTGAGGAGCCAGTGCGCCTGTTATCTTCCCGTAGTCCAGCCTCAAACACACTCGGGTGCTCGCTTTTCTCACCCGTACTTTATACTCACACGCAGTGACGCTTCGGAGGGAGGAGCAGCAACTTATAACCCGTGGTGGGACAATGAGCTCTGTCCGCTCCAAAAATGTGCCTGAAAAGATCATGATCTGATGTTGATGATTTTTTTTTTCTCTGAAAAGCGCAAAGAATTGATCAAAGTCGTTTCGCAAGAACGAAAAGAAGAAAACTCAGCTGATTGCGTAGACGTGTCAAGGGAATATGTTGTTTTCTGGGCTCTGGGCTGAAGGGGAGGGAAAATACCTCTGCGTATGTGTTTTTTATTAACAAAATACATTAAGGAATGTTTTATCCTTCAATCATTTCAGGAACTTGAGCTGGATGTGGGGGTTGGGGGTAGTGAGAGAGCTTTACTGTTGAAGTTTTTGGACAACATACAGTACCTCATTTTCAGAGTCAATGTGCACAGGTGAAATCATGAAGGCCTGATGGAGGGTCATGATTAACAGCTGTCTTAACGGTGCACAGGGAGCTCAGACAGCTTTTCTGATCCGCTGAGCTGCTACCGTTCATTGACTCTTCAGTTCAAGGAAAACAGGAGCGATACTGACATCTAGCGGACGAGATGGGGAACTGTCTTCCTCCGGTTGTTCTGAATGGGACAGATCCCCTCATGCTGATTGGCGTAACCATAGAGAGCGTTGCTATGTTACGCTGAGCGAGTCCGGAAGAAGCTGGGCTGAGCTGTTGTAGCAGTGCGGAGAAATGGACGATAACTTTCAGCTCGAAAATAGCGGAGTGGGAAAAAATGTAAGTTACCAGCTGAGTTTTTCACAAGACAGTAACGACACGTGAAATAATACTAGCTTCCATCGCTGTGAGACGAGTTCAGGCCACAGCCAAGGGAGCTAGTGTTAGCTGTGGAAATATTAAGTGAGCATGAGTCTGAGTACGAGTCGTCCAGTGATTTAGAAGCTGTTTAACTCACCAGCCACAACTTAAAAAAACTAATTTAGGCAACATCAGTGGGCTATGGTGTCTCCAAGTGTCCAATAAGCATTCACTGAACGATTAGCAACGCTAGCCTAATCCTCCAGTTATGTTCAACTTGTGTTTTGAAGCTGCTCTTGGCAGTTTTCTATGGCCTCTAAACATTATCTGACTAGATGGCCTACACCCAGTTATGACCATTGTCTGTCCCCTGAGTCTAACTGTAAAGCCCAGTTTGGCAGTATTTACTTTCACGTTTACATTATGTTTCTAGCCTGGCTGTGCTGAGCTGTGCTGGGGGCTAGGGGAGACAGTTCTTTCCAAATTCTTCAAAGAGCAACAAGTGGAGTTGTGCATGTAGTGTTGATTATTTGTCGTTAATTTGTAGTGTGACGAAATATTTAAGAATGCAGAGAAACATATAGACGGAGAGAAGAATGCACTTGCACACAAAATGACTTCCCAGGACTGGAAGTAATGTTAACTTCTTATCTGTTTGAAAAAATGTTTTTAATAGTCTAATAAGACAACAAATAATTTTGTTGATTTACTGCTTTGGATTTTTCAGATTAGGGAATGTATACACAGCAAAACCTTTTTTTTAAATGCTTGTTTTAAACAAGACTTAAGTTTCTCATCATCATGTATGTCTTTGTCTTGTTTGGCCATTCTCTCTAACTGCATTTTTTATGCAAACGGGAAACCAAAGATACTTTTATTGTTGTATTCTTTCTTCATACTGGATTCCAACTGTTCAGTACCTCCCTTGTCATATATCTATTGTTTCATAATAGCAATAACATTCAGTGTTTTGTAATGTGTGCACAATGAGATTTGACTCCGTCTTGCCAAAATAAGTTTGAGAAAAAAAAGATAGTGGCTTGATGGCAGCATGTTTTTCCAAAACCTGTTTACTGTTTTGCAATGATTTCAGCTTTCACTGATTTGCAGTTGTTCATCTCTTGCCAAGAGGCATCCTCTGTTAATTAATTGATCATTGATCTTTTTTCAGAATGAGTAAATGTGTTTGAAAGCAAAACCGCTGAGTATTTAGTACCAACATGACAAAGATTTATAGATTGACTCTCCAAAAATGACTCACATTTCTCAGATTGCCAAGTCTGGACGAAGAGCTCGCCTCGCAGCTGACCAATCCTCATTTGAAGATTCTCGCCCCACTAGGAAGTCTTCCACCTCCGCTGCATTGGGAGAGGTATGTTATCTGACAGTAACAGAGTCACCTTATTTTTATGAATTCACTTTGTAAAATGTTTTATAAATATGGATTTTGGTTTGTCTCATACATGAATTACAGAACGATGATGAGGTGGGTGCAATCACTTTGCATGGCTTTTGCTCCATCTGCTTCAAATGTAGTCTCTGCATCATACCACAGTCTTAGATATCCTGAGTTATCAAACTAGCTTGCTTTCCTTAAGCTTCTTTTTTTGTGTCTGAGACACTCACGGCCGCTCATAGCACAGCGCACAGTTAATACTCTTTGAATGAGTTTTAAAACGGCGTGCTTTTCTGCTCAGATGACAAGTAGCTGACATGCTGTCTTTTTCTGACTGAACAGGTTTTAAACATGTTTTAAACGTAGTCATCTCGTTCTGTAACATACAACGTAGCTGTTTTTTGTATGCTGTGTTTGTGTTTGTCATGTCTCGTGTTTTCAGTGCGAACTTGTGTAAACTCCACAACTGCTTTAAAGTTTACGCCGTAGTTGTAAATTCATTCACGATCATCAGTTTTTGCATGATCACAAGTGAATAACCTCAAAGCAAGGCAAATTTGTGTCTCATCCCTTTACATATGTTCAGTGTGGTAATGTTAAACTTAGCTTTTAATACATGGGAGAAAATATTTGAGTGAATGAAAATCAACAGTGGAAAAACAACAAATGACATCACTCTAACCATCGTTGGCGTTTGTGGAATCGGTCACATCTCCTGCTTGGCCAAACTGTTAACCAGCCAACATTCCCAAAGTAAAGTATTCCAGCAATGCTCTCGCTTTAAGGGCTTCCCAAATTAGGCCAACTTCCCTAATGTATGAACCAGTATTCTCGCGCCCTCGCTGACCTGCTGTGAACATGTAATACATTTTTGTGTGTCGTGCAATCGCTTGAATTTTTTTCCCCGTCTTCCTTTGTTTATCAACCCTGTCCTCTTCTGCCTTATATACCCATCTGTTTGGTCACATTCTTGACATCCTCAGACTTTGTTGCTTTTATGGGCTCATAAGGTTTGGCCACCAGAAGTTCCTTGCCCTAGAGACTATCAGAGAGTCCTAAATTAGAAACCACAAAAGCTAAGCTAATTGCCTTACAGCCCTAACTATTTTACTACATCTGTGAGGTTCATATTTGGTCATAAAGAATCACAGAGTTTGTTATGCTTCTCAGGACACGTATGGTCCTCTCCATTTTTCTGGAGTGATATAAATGCCAGAGGATGTATTTATTTTATTGCAAGGACATTTGACATTATTATCTTGTCTCCCATGAAATTCCAAAACATCAAATATCTAAAAAAACAGACTCTGTATCTTGTAAATTAATTCTGTAATCTTGCCTAGAAAGCCTCAATTGTCTGTGTAATCATTTTTGTTCTTATTAAAGAGACAGTTACTAATTACACAAAGTTGAAGGAGCTCGTTCAGCCTCAGCTCTCTCGATTAATGGTAATATACAATAGAGCAGAGTGGGCTCCCTCCTCCCTCTGTCCTGCTTAATGGTGATATTCAAATTTATAAATGGCTTCGATAAAGGAACCAGCCATGAAAGATTATTTCCTCTTTCGTCATAAATGAAAGAAATTTGTCACGAACACTTTGTCCTCTGCAGACCTAATTTAGTAATGAGAAATGTTGTGCCTTTTTTTTTTTTTTTCTCTAATTCATTTTTCTTGAGCCCAGTCTTATGCATTCCCAGGAATTCATTCATTCAAGTGCTGGTCTCAGGGTCCTGTTGTTCGGATCATGAAACATTCCTGGTTTACTATTTTGAGTTACAAAGATATAGGGTGTTTTTTTAGTTTTTAAAAAATCCCCCCTTTTAATCTATTTTAGGTCAGACTTAGTTCCCATGCTCTCCTCCACATGTTCTACTACTACAGATAGGCGGAACTTTAACTTGTAAATGCATGTCCATGACTCCTTGATGCACCAACTTGGAATGTTGTTTATTTTACTGGAGCTTTTTTGTAGGTTAAAACTTAGGAACATAACCTTAGTTTTAAAGGTCTGCATACCTCTTGCAGGCGTTTTGAGCTTATTGCACTAGGTTTTTCTGTTAAGACTTTTTATTTCTTCTGTAGACACTTCTCCTCTAATACGTTTGACCCTTCCAGAACGCATGAACAAAAACCTATTGTGTCTCTTTTGGATGCTTCTCCTCTCAAATAAAGCACAAAATATGGTCACTTCAGCTCTGCTTTAAACATGGATCAATGTGACACAAAAGCCTAACCACTATGATGACATTTAAAGCTCAGACATGCTATTTTTGTGCTTTATATCCTAAGATCAAATCTTCGTAGTGGTCAGAATGCTTTAAAACAGGATTTATTTGTCGTCTATGTTAGTCAGAGGACATGTTTTTTATTAAAGTGCTTTTTTTCCCCTAGGGCCCCCCTCCTAAACCGGCCCGGCGGCAGGGTGGCTGGGCAGAGGAAAGCTCTGGGTCTGGTTCTGCCAAGTACGTATCGTCACCTTACCCCCGTTCATCTCCTGTGGCAACACTGAAGGCTGGGACCGCGAGCTTGTGTTATGTGTTATTAATGAACTCTCATGCTGTTGAATGAGCTTATTTATCAGTGCATATTTGGCACTCAGGCTGTGAATCAACAAGGTTAGAGGGAGCCTGTCTGAGCAGGCAACTCTCCATTCGTCTTCATCTGCGAGCAAGGCGGTAATTGACATGGTTAATGCATCAGCCACAGGAGGGCACTGTTAGTCAGCTAGCCACTTCATCACAGGGGTTCAAGCCCCTTAATCACCCCATACTGCCGCAGTCTGCTCTTTATACAGGGAGCACAACATGAAGAATTCATGAAATATTTGGAACAGATGGAAGGTGTTTGCCAGAAGCTTTGATCTACAAACTAACAAATGTAAAACTTAATATTGTACATGACTGACTGAACATGAGAAATTTTAATATAACATGGAGCAGTTTCATCTTCTTCCTGGCACTTTTCTCTAATCCCATGTTTCGCATGAGATAAGAGCACAGAGGATACATTTAAATGAACAGGCGGAGACCGTTGTGCTTATTTACATGGTTTACTGCAGCGTTAGGGCAGCCAGGGAAAGCAGCACACCCAGTAGATCTTTCCTCTCACACAGAAGGTCAACGTGTTGCATCTCAGCTTTTGCATAACCCCGCTTGATTCCTGGTCTCAAAGTGATTGAAATACAGGAGGTGTAAAAGGGGTTTGCACGTGCATTGATCCTCTCTGAAACAAAGTAAGTAATGGTCCCCCCTGGAACCGGCAAGGACTTTTCCTTTCAATGTCACCCCTCATGCTCAATCACCACCGCCCTCCTCCCACTAATCCCAGCGCAGAAATCCCAGGATTTGTCGATCTATCACTTCTAATTGACACTAAATGATCTGTCAGTTTATTGATGAACCTTTGAAACCAGGTTGTCACAATATATTTTATCCCTAACAACTTTTTCCAGACAGTTTTACCATGTCTATCGCTTTGCCTTACATGAGTCTTAATCAAGGGGCCTGTAATGTGTCTTAAGTGTCACTACCCCCGCCCCCCAGACAGGACACAGTCCAAGGGCAGGCAGGTAGGCTTTTTCAGCTTCTTGTTGGCCTTTAGTCCATTCATGGATTTTATTCTGGCATCAAACCTCCGGCAAAATATGGACAAAGCATAAATAAATATTATCATAGAACTAGATGCCTCCATAGTTGTGAATTGAAAAGTGGCAATAGTATGATACATGTCAAAGATTTATTTTTGAGGTTTGTTGTATTATTGAATAAGGAAAGACCCTTCAAAGTATTTCTGGAATAAGAAGCAAATATTTTTTACTGATTAAAATACTAATTTCAGGTGTTGTGCAGGTGACTGTGTGATGCACGATTAAACTAATTTTCCTCTCATGTCGTCACTGTTGTTCCAACTTTGTCACATTTCGATAAGCAATTAATATTGTTGTCTTTGGATTAATGTTTGATTAACGTTTGTGCTTTTAGGTTTAGACAGCCAAAGAATAAAAAAAACGTCACGAATGCAAGACGGTTTCATAAATGAGCAGTAGGGGGCACTCCTCCACAAGGAGAACTAACTGAATTATTTTGGTTCATCAAAGAAGATTTAAACTTGCTACTCTAAAGCACAATTTCATCTGATCATGAAAAAAGCAGAGAGCAGTTTTGTGGGTTGATTAAACTGCGGCCCCCATCTGTCTCAAAAGATGTGCTGTGTTACGAGAAGTGCCAAACTGTATTTTGGGGTCTGGCATGTTCTCAGCTGAGCCCAGTTTAGAGAGAATTCTGAAAATAGTTCAATATCCAGCAGGACACAAGGCTGAGACAAAATAGAAAGGAGAGAGAGTCATCATAAACTCCCCAACGTTTGGTTTAAACTGACACCCCCACGATAGATCTAACGCAGCAATGTTTCTTTATGGAAGTTTTGAGGGTTTTGCTATGCTACAAGGGAAAAGCAAACTTTGGAAAAGTTGTAGTTACTTATAATTAGTTTATTTTGTTCAAAACTTTTTTTTTCTTAACAGATCTGGAAGAAAAACAACAGCTGAGGACCTCGAAGAGTAAGCTGCCTCATCTTTTTTACATTACAATGTTTAAGTTGTGAAAAGAATTTGGTGTTAAAAAAGCAAAACAAAAAAGATGCAAGTTTGAATAGCTCTCCCCGTCTTCAGCGTGCTTGAAATGGTGCTGCACTTTCAGATTGTCGCAGTCATCCTCGCCTTCCGTGAACAATCACTTAACATGATTACAAAAGCAGCGTGACTGAGTTGCCGTAACTTTCATTGTTGTTTTCCTGTAATTTTAGTTTCTCGCCCTCCATCACATCATTCTGTGCCTAGAATAGGGGAGGCAGGTAGAGCCGTGCATGTTTTACTCATCATCACAGCTGGAGCTTGGTGCCTGAATGGCTGCAGAGAGACGGCGGGCAGAAAAATCCCTTATGTTGTGCTTCTGTTGTAATTGTCCTCATAATATTTATTCAGTCTCTGGCTCCAGCTGGGTTTGTTTTTGAAGAGCTTGTAGAGGTGATCTTGTCTGAGGCTGACATGCCGGTCGGACTGGCAGCACCGCACCTTCCCATAGCACCGGCTTCACAAGTTGTCAAGTCAAGACTGTAGAAAAATGATGTAAAGCGTTCCAACACGAGAGGGAACAAAAGCGGGCACATAATCAAAGTAAAGTCTAGCAGTCAGCTCACTCACTCCCTATGATCACCTCAACATCAGGCCTACTTCTGAAAGCATTAAATAATTCATACTCTCACACTTCCTGTTTCTGCAGCCGTCGCCTGCGACCACAAACTCCCCAGGGATCCGATGATGAAGGAGGTGAGAGCACCCTTGCAGTCCCAGAGTCTTTGTTTCTCGTCACGGGCAAAGCAGAGCCCTCCTGTGCCTCTCCTACACATTTATCCTCTGAAAGTAGAGCAGATAAGCAGACAATCAGACCATCGCTTTTCAGTGCTGCTCAAACCATATATTTCCCTGCTTCCTGCTTGGACTCATGTGGTAGAAGTGCGAACATGTTCATTTGATACAGTGCTGTTCAGTTCTGCGGAAACCTCTGAATCATCAAGACATAATCTTGAATAACTTCAAAGATATATGTAAATGAAATGATTATGTAAAATGACAGCATTTGAAAACAAGGTCCAGTTGATGGATAGTGAAAAAGCAAAGCTGTTAGATGTACTGTAATAAGAACAAAACTGCTTTTTGCATTTTGTGTTTTTCATATTTAGATTTTCCAATGAATGAATGAATTATAATGAATTCTGCCTCAATAGAGATTTTGTAGGTTTAGGAATGAGGCTAAAGTGGGACAACATGGAGTGGTGTTTCCAGCCTCTTCCATACACTTCACACTAAATAAATTAGGCCCCTGAAGCTAAAAGCAAAATAAAGGACACCACACAACGTCCCCAAATAGGATTGTTAAATGTTTTCAAAAACTTGCACATAATAAACTTGCACATACAAAAGCCACAAAGCGTCTTTGATCAGGTTCTGCTTAAAGTGATACTCTGGAAAATGTGGTCTTATTTTGGTCTTGTTACGCAGTAACACAGCTTTAATGCATTTGCTAGTTTAAACATGAATTTTATCAAAGGAGTGGTGAAATCACAAAACTCAAATCACTAAATCTCTCAAGACACACTATCACAATACTGGATTTGAGCTGAATGTCCCGGGTAGGACGGTGACCTAAGACATACACAGAACAGAAAGGAATGTGGAGTGTTGGATGTAGGAGACAGTGGTCTAAACCCAAATCACAATGCAGAAAATGAACATTTGTATTATCAAAAAAGAGTTTTTGATATCTTCATAGAGCTTGAACACAACTGTGACCCAAAAATGACCAACAGATACTTCAGTTTCTTGCTAGAGATATGTTAAGGTCATTACTATTTTTAAAGAATCTGCAAGTAAATATATGTAAAGTCTTTGATTTGGGGGTTCAGATCATAATCTGAAAGTCTTATGTTGGTGGTGGACAGAACATCTAATTGAACTATTTAGATCTAAAATGTTTGCAGTTATATTTAAAGACCATCAAAACACCTGGCTTTGAAATTTAGGATGCCAATAATTCTGATAATTACTGAGTCTGGGGCTGACTGAGAGTGTTGTGGCTGGATAGAGGCAGCCTTCCATCCAGAGTGACCGGTCTGTCCAAACACACACACACACACACACAGATGGGCATACGGAGTGTCAGACAGGTGATGTTGAATACAGATGTAGAGGTAAGGCTGCTGCTTTGACCGAGTGACCTTTGGGCTCCACTGTGCACATCACAAACAGTGTTAGGACGAAGGTGTGGAATTCAATTTCATTTGTTCTATTTTGTACTTCAAATCATAGGGTCAAAGGCCTAAAGAAGAGACCAGCATGTGCACACTGTTCACTTCGTGTACAGAACAATTTTCAGAAAACAGTGTTTCGATATAAATGTGAACATATAAAAAAGCATAGACTGTTAAACTCATCACTGTAAAATAATCTATTTCTACAACTTAAAGCATAGCCGTATGTGATGGAATTCAAAATAACAGAAAACAAAATAAATCACCAAAACATAAAATTATGCGCATTTATTCCTGGTTTTCAACATTTGGACTATCCCCAGCCTTTACAATTTTGTATTTGATTAATTTTTTTGTACTTTAACCCCAGTGGCAGTTAACTGGGGGAAGGATTCCCATAGTTAAAGCAAAATAAAGATGAACTGGTAAATGTAAGGTGCAGGGTCTGCAACACTGTGGCTCAAATGGCCAGTAGAATAAAGAGTTTGCAGTTAATGCTGCCCGAAAGACTATTACTTTGTGAAGGGAGACCTCTTAATACAGAGCTGGAGGCAGGGGCATTGGAAATTACAGCGCTGAGGGTTAGTGAGATAGCCTCTGCAATCTTGATTGTGTCCCCAACCCTTATCCCTTATGTCCACTGGCTACACGCACAGGGAGAAGGCTTTCCCAGTCCCCTGCTCCCAGCTCCCTGTCAAAGGCTCCCACAGCTTCCAGCCGCTCCCTTAAAATACCACCAAGATCACGAACACACTCATCTTTTTCATAGCTAACTCTTACGCTGTGATGTGTCGAATAATATCCTATGAGCCTTTCAAAGGGATCTGTGCCTAGGTAATCATTTGACTGGACCCCTGCTTAGATTACAGGAGCCCAAGTGGGGTGGAGAGACGTCCCTCCTCCAAAGTCGCTGACTGGCGTGCGCCCGCCGGGAGCGTGTCTACATCCAGAGCAAATTATCCCCTTTTGATATTTACATGCTTCAGCGAAGAGGCCGTCCGCGGCTGTGTAATAAGGATACGCGTGGCCCGCTCGCTGCCAGACAAAAGCCACCTTGATGCATGTCCAGCTGAGTGCGGGGAGTCAGCGAGGGCAACGCGTGCCTCCGAGAGCAGCTCCTCCTGATGGAGTCGCCCTCTGCGCGGGCAGAAAACACTGGCTTGTTTGCAGCTGCTTTTATGGCCTGCTTGACCTCCTGTAATAGGCTGAGTTTGAAACCCATTTAAAACTGTTGTTCCTTTTTTCACTTAATAATAGACTTTGCATATAGACAGCATACGCGTTTCTGCTTCACACTGAACTCTCACGCAGTGCCTTAATAGTACATCAACGCTTGAAGTGAAAAAGGGAGTGTGTGCAGAGACAGACAACCCATGAAGCTGTTTGCAGAGCTGGACGGCAAAGCTTTTTGATGTCATTGCACTAAGACCATTAAATTTGATTGGGAGTCCAGGGGGGACGGAATCTGCTGAACGCTGTGCTTTGTAAATGAGAGGACAAAGTGTCACTGGGGCCTCATGAATATGAAATACCCGCGCCCGCATTTATTTGGATATCAGAAACACAGATGAATCTTGTCAGCGGCTAAACGAGTGTGGCATTTTTAATTTGGTTTAATTAAAAAAGAGAAAGAAATAAGTTATCAGCAGAAGGTGGGGATTTGCTTGTCAGAAAAACTTGGCGGGTTTTGTTTTGACCTACTTGTCAGTATTCTTCCTCCATCTGAACTATATGGCTGAAATGACCATGTTTCCTCTGCGTTCCACCAAAGATCGATATTTTTTTTCAAACCAAGTTTATTTTCGGGGGTTATTTTGATGGAATGGTGACACAGATGCTAAGATATTTCCCCACATCAGATTCACACTTCCATCTCCTCACCTCCATTTAGCTCCTCTATTGACTTTCCCCTCAGGGCGCAGAACTGTGCTTAGAGATTACTGACAGACCTCTCCGTGCAGTCCAGCACTCTCTTTTTCTCTCTGTCGCTTCTTCTCTCTCTCGCATTCTGTCTTCTGTTTCTGCTCCCATCAATGCTCAGCTGTACAGCTACTAAGGACGTGTAGTCTGCACCCCCACCAGAAAGTAGACTTCTAGAGTGACACTTACACCACAAGAAAGTGCACCTCTAAAGCCTGGTGCCTCAATTCTCTTTGTTTCACAAAAGATGCATGCGTTCAGGCTTCTTTTAGTTGTTTTGAAAATGAAAATCGGCCTCCTTGTTACGCGTCAGTCTGCTCATTTGTTCTGAACTATTTAGCTAACTTCCAACCAGTCCAGCTGCATCCCTTATTATCCCTCCCTTATCTCACTGCCTTCACATGTCAATCTGAAAAATGCTGTGAAAGTCTGCCCTGTCCTTCTTGGGAGTGGAGCCATCCTCTATCCTGTTGCGTTTTGCCAATTAAAGTGGGTTCCCACTGTTTTAGCAGCGGGCTGGCGGCTCCTGGTACCGCAGCCCCTGCCAGGCCGCACTGTGACTTCCGACCCCACACAGATGGGCCCGCAAGCAAATGCTTCTGCACATGGCTGGATGCCGCCCCAGTTGGAGTGGCAGAGTGGACATGGAGGTCGGCCTACCGGCCAAGGCAGGTCCTGGGGGTGGGTGGCGCTGACAGGGCCCAAATGCTAGGGTAGCAGGGGGTGCTTTCTGGGGAGCCCCTGGCCTGCACCCCCCTCACAGCAGGATGAGCTGCTGCCTTACCTCCTGAATATTCATGGCCGCATGGCTATTGTGACAGGGCAGTTCTTCAGAGCATGTAGGCAGAGGGAAGGCAGGAAGAGCCACTCAGATGTGATCACACGTAGTCTCACACGTACACCCACCCAGCAGCCAAAGTGAGGGGATACACTGTACCTGAATCGGGATTCTTGGTTTAGTACACAAAAGACAAATTACATTATCTTTCTTCAATATTATACTTTGAAAATGTCATCATCGGTTATGTTTTTTGTTTTGTTTTAGACATTCCAGTCATCCCAGACCTGGAGGAAGTTCAGGAGGAGGATCTCACAATGCAAGTTGCCATGCCACCAAGGTAGTGAGATCCTTACAGTTGCAGCAGTTACAGAGGACTGACACACACTTCAGCCATGTCCCCCCCAAACAGGTGGGGAATAGTTAAGCTCTTAATCTCTGACCATTGCTCAAGACACTGGATCAGTGGTCTAATCTGGTGGCTGTGATGTTGCCGGTCCCCTCGCTGAGGCCAGTGCAGAATCCCTTCCTTTAAGTGTCCAAAATGGATAAATAACACTTTGATGTGAATCATGCATCTGTGGTAGCAGCGTCCTTATTAGCCGGACTCTTTGATTTACCGGGCAGTGGGAGACATGCCGACATGTGTCGCCTATGTAGCAGGGCTATGACAGTGGTGGAGGTTATTAGGCTGGGGCTTGCTCTCTGTGCGAGATAATATCCACATTGAACTCATTGCAGGGGCAATGTAGCGTGTAATGTGCAGTAAGTAGGACTGGCATGCACTGCTAGGCCCCGGCCACTTTCAGAGCCCCCCCACTTATTTTCAACCCTCAGATAAGCAGCTGGGTTTCAATTTGAAGCGTTTAACACTTGGCAACCATCTCATATTCTCCATGGCCTTTGCTTGAAGTCTTAGAGCTTGATTGTACAAAAACTTAAAACTTATCTAAAACCACCTCTCAGACACATTTAGCATGTCATCCAAAAAAACGATTCTCCTCTCATTCTGTTCTTTTAAGTTAAATAAAATGTATATGCCAGTCATAGTTCATTAGCCTGTTATTATAAACTATTCTGTTACCTTGTCACTGTCTTAGCATCCAGGTGAACCGAGTGATGACTTACAGAGATCTCGACAATGATCTGAAGCACTATTCTGCATTCCAGAACTTAGTAAGTCAAGGGCATTTATTTCCATACATCTATATATCTCCTCTTCAAGGTGGTCCATTTAGATTTTGCCACCAACATCAACTCATCCAAGTTGCTCTTCAAGCTAACTGAAAGTCGCTGAATTTCTTTAGGATGGAGAGATTGACTTGAAGCTCCTCACCAAGGTTTTAGCACCAGAGCAGGAGGTGAAAGAGGTGAGTGAATTTTTAGTAAATATAGCATGGAAGCTCCCAATGAAGACCAGTCCAGCTGTTCCTCGAGCACCAGGGGGGAAGTTGCCACTCTTGTCTCCCAGGTAATCAAGATTTATGATGTGTACATTAACACCCTCTGCTCTCCTTCCCCCTTTCTCCTCTCTTTGCTCCTTCTGTTCCTCTTGCTCTCTGTCTCTGTATTTCTCTCTGCTCCGTCCCTCCGTTTCTCTGCAGGATGATGTGAGCTGGGACTGGGATCATCTGTTTACAGAGGTGTCCTCAGAGCTGCTGATGGAATGGGATCAAGGAGAGAATGAGGAGCTGGGCCAGAAGGGACAGTGTCTTTAGTTCCTTAAACTTTAATCACAGTTTTCTGATGCGATTATGTTTTATAAATGTATGTACAGCATTTTTGTATATTTCAAACAAAGTGGCCTCTTCACATCTTCACATGTCTGTTAGTTTGTTGTTTTGGTTTGTCAGGTTTAACTTAGACAGCCCAAAGGCATTTCTTCGAAAAGCCCCACTAAAAAATGCAGTTTAAGATAAAAATGTCCTCTCTGTACTGGCAGCATTATCAACATCCACATACAAGTCCAAGGTTGATAATCAGCTAAGCTGAAATCCAGTTGATTGTCTTCAAATTAACATTCCTCATTAAAGCCTACAACCTTATTGTTATTGACTATGCCATTGACTTTATCTTGCAGCTCTTCGATAGGAGCAACCCCTTATTCACTATTATCTCAAATGCATTGAGCAGATTTCTCATTGACACCTGGGGGATTAGCATACATTAAACCTTTTTTTACTGAATTAAGAGGAACGCATGTAAGTCGTGAAGAAGACAGCTGCCGCTATAAAGTGTGCGTTCTTCACAAGAATGTGAAAACAGAGTGAAGAGTCAGCAGGATGTGAAAAAGAGATGTGGTTTTTATGTCTGAAATAACATTTGCTCAAAGACACTGAAGCCACTCAGTGTGAGCTTTTTCATATATTTTGAATGAGTGGATGTGTCCAAAGTTTTGACTGGTACTGACAGAATTACTTTGCAAGGTGCCAGCACGCAGAGAACACATGTATCAGCATTCAGTTTTGTCTTTGGTTCATGTGTGTGAATATAAATGCAGGCCTCCAAAGTCAGGCCAGCTCTATTAGGGAAACAGCTGTAACATTTACAGATTGTGATTAGGTTTATTTCTGAGGCAGACATCGGTCTCATGACATTTGGAGATGCACAGCAAAGTCCTCAAGGACACGCAATGTACGCATCTAACAGCTCAATCACTGCCCATCACAAATAGATCCAGATTTTTTTCATTTGGTCGGCGCTGAATCAACTTCATCAAGTGTAATGCCTCAAGATGAAGCTATCATGCAGGATATTTGTGCTCAGAATATTTCTGTGGCACTATATTTGAGCTCAGCACTCGTATGCGGCGAGCGCACCCCCTATCAGATGTACAAATGCACACACCCCCCCCCCCCCCCACCCCCCTTTTTGCCGCCTCCACAATTGGCTTGTTTAGCCAGACTTAATGAATTCTGCCCATATGCCCTGAGCAGCTGCTATGTTGCCCCTTCCTCCTGCCCCCGCCGAGCTGCGAAGTGCCCATCCATGTAGGGACAACCTCTAGCTGTCTCTCTAGAGAAAGCTAAGCCTGCCACTCCTCCGCTGGCAGCCAGCCGGTGCTGTCTTATGTGGACTGTGGAAGGGCCGAGGACTCAGATTAGGGCCCAGTAATCATGGGTTGCGGCCGGCCTCAAATGATTGGCCCGTGCGTCGGTGGATCAGAGAGGGGATTAGAGAAAGAGATCCAGAGATGCTGTTTGCCATGTGCTTGCATCCAGATTCTCAAAGTGACCTCTCACCACCCCATCATGCTGCTCTCCTCTCTTCCTTTATTCTCACCATGTCTCTCGGTGTCTACAGTACTTCCTGATGCTGCAGCGAGGCAGCACGCGACCTCTCACTGGGCTCAGTCAATTCACTCGCATCAAAACAGCTCAAACATGAACATAGTTTTGAGTAAGACTGAGAGGGCTTTGTGGTTGTGGCAGTAGCTTCCAGTGTCACTCAGAGGTGAGCTGAGTCTGAGCCATGTTGACTGTCTATCAGATCCGATTACACAAGCCTCACATTTGTTTTCAACATAATTAGTCTTTATACTGGAACTGTTACCACAACAAAAACTTTCCTTCCATGTTTAGCTTATGAAGGGACAGAAATCTTCCCATTTTGCCCTGGATGTTTAAGAACTCTGAGTGTAAAAACATTGCTGACTCTATAGACCGGCTGACCATCTAAGTGAACAATTTATTGTTATTTATTGGATCTTTTGGTTGAAATAATGTTGAATTTTGTTGCAAAGAAAAGAAACTCTGGAAAGTAATGCAATTTTAATAATAAAAAAAAAAATCAAAGGAAAGCCGCGTTTACTGTTTTTTCCTGCTCTCTGTCGACAGGCTTGTCTTAATGTATTTTGATATTGGGCACTAATTGGAAGCATACACTAGAGCAAATATGCTTCCAGCTCTACCTAATATGCTATGGTGTTGACGGATGTTTATACATCTTATCTGTTCTCAATATCTCCCCTTCATATGGTCTAAAAGCAATATGCCAAGGTGTAATTAAAGAAAATGGGGAGATGTAGAGATAGCCGGGGCCTGATGCCCGGGCCCCTCAGACACAGAGTGAGGGGTGAGGACAGACACGCTAAAGCTCAAGGAATATTAGGTCCTGTTCATTTCACCAGGGGCCACGTGCCTGTTACAGGTTCCCTGTCCGTGACCTGGCCGGTACTGCCTCAGTCAGTTGCAATGAGAGGATGATTAGCAATTTGAAAAAATTAAAATCTCATAGACATGTCCCCTTTCAAGCCTGGATGGAATCCCGTTTTACTCATTAGGTGACAACATATAAGCATTTGCAAGGTCAATTTAAATTCAGATGCTGGACGTAATACATGCAAACACAACCACATTCAAATGGAACTCTTTGAAAAGAACCTCAAAAAGCAGCCACGGTATTGATTTGCAACAAAGACTCCATGATATTTCAAGTTTAAAGGAGAAATCCTCGGCACACAACTAAGGCAGTCAGATCAATATCATTTTTTGATCAAAAGGGGATTTGCCTTTGAAAAAGCTAGATTAAACAGATGTTTTAGTTTTCACTAGTTGTACTGCACCTTTCAAAACCCCCGGGGGCTCCGGGAGAGAAAGGGGTATTAACTCCACAACAAATAAAAAAAAAAGGTATTTTCTAAAGACCTGAACTTTTTGGGGGGTTGAAATGTAGTTTTGGTATTTGTTTCTCTTCTTCCACTCTATTTTACTTCATTTTCATTTGCTTTGATTTTTTTTTTGTCTGTTTACCCGATGTGGGCTTGGACATTCACTCCCTGGGATGGTGGCAGCTTGGATGGCCATCATGTTAGAAGCTGCTTTCAGTAGAAACTCTTTTAGTGACATTTAGATTGGCTGAATCCATTAGTTACTCCCTGCTTTGTACAGCTGTGTGCTGAGAGGCAGGAGGGGTTCGAACATGAAATACAGTCCGACTCCACATTTGTCATGTATTTTATTATTTCCCTTCTTCATCTCTCTGTCTTGTAGGCAAGGTCCTTCATTTTACACATGACTGGTTTTCTTATCATTGTAGGCCCTCTTCGTGGCCTGTGAGTGACTTAAAGGCAATAAAACACAAAACATTCTGTAAAACACGGATGCCTCTCGGGTCCGGAGGCCCTGCAATGCTTCCCCGTGAAATTATAATAATAACTCAGTGGCGGTTGGAGTGGCCGGGTCACTGTGGGGGGCTGGGAGAAAAGGTTCACCAAAGTCCTGTGAGCAGGGACAGGTCAAGGTGGCCTGTTGGTCCCGGCCACCCCGGCCTCCCCTCCCACCCCGGCCATAAACTCTCTCCATCACGCAGGATGCCGGGCACGGCCAGGTCCACAGCTGAGCCCCTTTGTCTTGTGGCCGCGGGCGATAAAGCAGTGGCTGACGTGAGAGTGGTTGTCTTGGTCGCCTGGCAGTGGCGGGGTCAGCCGAGGAGCTTATCATTGCCAGAAGAGGAAAATGCCTGAGTCAACACAAGTCTGTGTAGTTTGTGGCCTCTGCGGGTCAGCTTTGCCCTGAACTTAGTGCTGTGTAATTTTGTTCCTTTGAGAGCGAAGATAGAAGGCTCTGAGGAGCGACATTTATTAGTCCTCTTATTGTTTGAACTGTGTCTGGATGTAATTTTTGGGTGTCTGGATTTGTTGCTGGGTGGAGGGAGGGGCTGGACGGAGTCCCACAACACCTCTTGAGTGTGTGAATGAGAAGGAACGAGGACAGGAAGAGAGCGCGGGCTCCACCACTGAGGTGCTGACAGAGGGGATAGAAGGGCTGAGATTGCACCTGTTCCGGCCCAGCACCCGCCCAGCAGGGTCTCGTCAGGGTCTCGGCCTCCTCCTGGCATCTGTGAAGGGAGCCGGGGCCAGTCCCACCGCCGGCGTTTGCTCCACCTCCTCTTAGCTGGTGGAAAAGAGACGAGAGCTACTGGGGGGCTCCATCTGCCGAGGGCTCGGCGCGGTCTCCGCGGCCTGCCTGGGGAAGGGGTTGCGGGGCCTCTACCACTCTGCCACAGGGGTCTCACAGTGGTAGACCACAGCGTTGCACATCACACATCACTTGCCAGCTGGCCGGGCTTTTTCCCCCTGTAAACAGAGACTAATGACCACTCAGCACGCACACACCAAACACTTATCCCTCGGTAGATTAGGGGAAGGGGAGACAGTTTAGTTGAAAAGCCTAGCTGATTTGGGGGAAAGGAGAGTAGCCTGCTGAGGTTACTTATGGGATCTGTGGTTATTTGAGCTTTGGGAACCGTGCTCGTATCGCAGTGGGACGCTACTATGTCGCTACTTTTGAATTATGACCCAAGTCCATTGAACCACAGTCCACTGCTTTCCAACATCACAGGCCTCCTGGTGCTTCTCGAGCCTTTTGGATCCGGCTGAGGCTTTAAAGCTCTCACGCTAGATCTCTATCCTGAGGAAAACCATGTAGCAAGAGCTCACACCTCATTTTTCTCACAGAAAAGCCCATTCATGTTGTTCAAGTTGTCCAGTTTTACGCCTGGAGAATAATTTTAGCCCAATAATTTTCCACAAAGTGGGTTCTCCAAAAAGATATCAAAAGGCAACCTGACAGTAAACACCTGGCTGGTTTGCGTTTATCCTTGTGATAGATGTGGTGTTCAACACAGCGGCCTTGAGTTCTGTGTATTCAGACTGAAGGACGTTTGTGTCTCCACGTTTCCTGTCCCATCTCATCAGAATCTCCTTCACTCTGTCTCCAAAGCTCAGCTTCTACCAGAAATCCCCTTGTTCAATTAAATTATTATTTTTTTAGCGTACCCCCCGACCAGATCATTTCATATATGTCCCGCAATCTTATTTGCCCAGATGTCCCCAACACATGCTTTCATGGATATAATTATAAATGGGAAAAATAAATAAATATTTCAAATGCGGGATAGGACTAATGTGACATTGAGTGTTATTCCCCAGTTAGGCGGGGAGAGGTAGGGAGGTCAAACAGCTACACTGAGCCACTGGCAGCCCGGGCCCCACCGGCCCACCGGAGTCACTTGGCTTCATCTAAAAACTCGCAATAAATATCTGGCCATCATTTATTTTAATTCACTCCTTTCTTGCTCAGATGGAATGGATTCTTAACCTTGTAGGACAAGGACACCCGCATGCTGCCTGCCTTGCGTTAGCTGTTAAATTATTCTTCATTCTTCAGGGGAAATAAAAAAAAAAAAAAGGAGTCCGGCGTTGCTCAAACTGTCAGCTCCAATGAAAAGCACGCCTGAAAACGTTGTCACTGAACCCCTGGACAAGGAAAAGAAGGCAAGTGGGCAGTGAAAGACAGAGTGAGAGAAGTGGGGGGGGAGAGTGAGAAAGAGGGGTGGCGGAGGTGGGGGAGTCAGGAGCCTCCAGAGTGATTTATTTGCCAAATCAGGACACAATGAGTCGATTATGAGTCCTCTAATAAGAGAGAGTGTTTGGGGACCCACTAATTGGGCATGATTGAGTTGCAGTCTGGGAGCCGGCGAAAAGGGAACCTGGTCGGCGGCTGTCATGCAATCATCAGCTAATCAGAGCTTTGAAATTAAAACTGCGTGTTTAGGGTAGAGGACGGGATAATGGCAGGGACCTGAGCTCTGAGGCTGCCTGAGGAGGCTGTCACCGTGCCTATCCGTGTGTGCCTGTTAGTCTGTTTGTTTGCACGTGTGTGTGTGTGTGTGTGTGTGTGTTTTTTTAAAGCACGCTGTGGGCGCAGTGGATAGGGCAGATTAAGGTATGTATGGCGTGTATGTGTGTGATTTTAATGTCTGACTGTAGTCTGTGCTGGTCCTGATGAGGACAGCAAAGGAGCAGTAATCAGCCCC